ATGCTGTAATTGAGTGCATTGAAAAACATCATATTCCACTCGATAAAATTGTCTCAATTTCAACAGATGGGTCGAAAAGTATGACCGGCGTAAGAAACGGATTTGTTGCTATTTTGAAAGAAAAATTAATCACGAGATACTTACCATTGCATCATTCATCAAGAAGCGCTTTATGCGCAGACATTTCCAGAAGAAATTTTCATAGTTATGGAATTGGTGATTAAGATAATCAACTCCATTATAGCTAAAGCCCTTAATCATCACCAATTTAAAGAACTTTTAGTTGAAATGGAGAGTGCGTACGCAGATCTGCTGCTGCATAACAAGGTACGTTGGTTATCAAGAGGAAACGTTTTGAAATGTTTCGCTTCCTTATTAACAGAAATGAAAGCATGTCTCCGTGAGAAGGGTGTTCACTATCCAGAACTAATGAACCATCAGTGGATCCAAACATTTTATTTCATGGTAGACGTTACGTTTCATCTAAATCAGCTTAATCGTAAACTACAGGGGAAAGGAAGCACAGTTTTTTCGATGTTAGAAGAAGTTATTTTATTCGAAAACAAATTATATCTTTTTGCTCAAGATTTTGAAAGAGAAACTTTGATTCACTTTCCAAGCCTGTTGAAACATTGCCAAGAAAATAATTCTGATATTGACATTTGCTATTTCAAAACAACACTTTTAAATATGAGGGAAGCTTTTCTCAATAGGTCTGAGGAATTCAGAAACAGCAAAGCGACGTTTGCCTTTGTTAAAAAACCTCTCAATGCTATTGTAACAGAATTAAAATTTTCTCCCTTTAATATTGACATTGGCAACTTTGAAATGCAATTGCTGGATTTAAAAAACAAAGAACTGTGGAGCTCTAAATTTGAACGTCTTTGTGCTGATATAGAAATATTGGAGAAAAACAAATGTGAACTTAGTTCACAGCACAAGTGGTCTGCTTTGAAAGACCTGGAGAAGGAAGATATGTTGATTTTTTAACACCTGGAATAGTATTCCTGACTCATATGATCAACTGAAAAAACTAGTGTTTGCTGTTCTTTCCTTATTTGGGTCTACATATTTATGCGAACAGTCATTTTCAAATATGAACCTTATCAAGAATAAATTGAGAAGTCGTCTTATTGATGAGAACCTGGAATCGTGCCTAAAATTAAAAACAACAACATACAAACCTGACTAACCCAAACTTTCCAAGGAGATGCAAGGCCATTGTTCACATTAGTGTTTGTCAGTCATTGTCATGATTTAATTTTATGGATATTGTAAGGTAAATTGTAAGAAATTTAATTTTATCAATAAATAATATCATTATTAAGTATGATATCAAGTTTTATTCAACATACCTATAGTTTAACTAAGACTTAAAACTTTAAGTAAAGTTTATTAAGTTAATTTTAGGGAACGTTGTGGAGTGAAAGAAGATGTAGTGTCGAGGATTGAGAAAGGTATGTTGAGATGGTTTGGACATATAGAGAGGATGAACGAAAGGAGAAAGATGAAACAAGTATACAAGACGAGTGTGGATGGGAGAGTTGGAAGGGGTTGACCTCAGCGAACGTACCTCAATCAGATTGAGGAAGTTTTTAGCAAAGGCCAGCTTAGGAGTTCCCTAATTAAGTTAATAACAATGTACCTACCTGTATAGTTTAAGTTTAAAAAATTTGGCTCTCAAAAGAAATTTCAATCGTTGTACTGTTGATATTTGGCTCTGTTGACTAATGAGTTTGCCAACCACTGGCCCACCCTATTTATATGTATGTGTATATTTGTATGTATATGTATATCACACATACACAGTGACAAATGCAGTTGATTGAATGTTTCAATGCCATCCTCTGTCCCTTGTGGAATGGAAACTAGCAGACTGCTGACACTTCCTTTGAAGGCTCTTCTGCTTGCATTTGAGATGACTTCTTGAAGCAAGTGATTGAGAACATATGGTGAAACAAAGTGAATCAAATAGTCTGGTGTTGTGGACTAGGTGCTAACTAGAGAGCTCAGGAGTTGAGGGCCTGAGGCATTATCTAAACAGATCCAGGTACCCTTTTCTGTTTCTTTGATGTCCCCTCAGTCATCCTGCCAAGTTGCACAATTATAACTGGGAAATGGGCTGTATCTCTCATAGACAGTATACCCATCATGGAAGCAGCCCTTGCAAAACCTGGGGACCTAGAGTCCTGAGGGTTAACAAAAGAATAATCCAAAACCCCTGGGGCCTATGTAGACATAAAAAGCTTTGGATAGCTTCTCAATAGATCCACACAGAAAGCTGCAGCCACCAAGATGAGTCCAATGAATGTGCCCAAAGCAATGGTGCTTCAATGCCTAGCCTTATAAAGGTTCTGCAAAATGTAGTTCCATGACCTAAGGCTCCATAAAGCATTTTACTGTTGAAACTTCCAAACTCACTAGAGGTACTCCCACAGGCTGTGAATGATGTGCAGACATGTAAGACAATGGAAAAAGGCAAGATCAGAGAGAGGGACTCCTCTCCCTAGAGCTTGTGCTGTAGGGTGGATTGATGGTGGGTTTCCTCGTCTATGTAAGTTGGGAGTAATTAACGAGTAGGAAGATCTTACTATAATTTTACCCCCTGGGACCTAGGATTTTTTTCTTACATTACTGAATTTTTTTTACATTACTGTCATCTTCTGTTGGGGTGGCTCTACATGTATGTGTGTGCATGCAGGGGAGAAGGATGTAAGTGGAACTACTCACTGGTTACCCTCTTCTCTCTGTTTGAACTCAAAACTAAGTACACTTTGCTAACCCCCAGGATGGTTTGGATCTTGCACCCAACTGCTTTGTGGTTCATATATTTCTCAATTTAACATCTCTCTTCCATTAGCCACTCCATAGCTATATATAAATGCCTAATGCATGTGATGGCTTATGGTATGGAGATAATAAATATTTTCTTTTTTCTCCTTGTCTCACCTTTCCTTCCTCTACCATTTCCTCAGATTGCAACATTATTAGTGGTAATTCTGTAATTTTTGTCTCTTGGTTTTAAATTAATTGCATTTTCATGAGTCCTGGGGGTTGACTTCAACTTTTCCTCACTCCTTTATAAACCTATTGTAAAATTGACTTGAAAACATGACTTATTCACTTTATTTCAGAGTCCTGACTCAGTACTAAATAGAGGTTATACAATAATATGTCCAGTATGATCCCACTTTTGCCTGCATATTACGCATGTGCGCATGTGTGCGCACACACACACACACACACACACACACACACACACACTTCTATGCATGAGCAGAAAAATACTCCAGAGGGATATGTTTCCAAGTGTAATCTTTACCTAAAAATGGGACTCTCAGTGATTCTGCTTCTTCTTTTTGTTCATATATATTCTCTATTTTTCGACAATATGCATCTGTTGCTTATGTAATTAAAAAATACTTTAAAAAGTCATTCTCAAGCTTTCTGTGTAATATCAGTGCAAGATCTGATATCCACCCACTGGTGTTGTTAATGGTAATTTATTTAAATGGCTTATTTGAAATGGCACTTATTTTTGGAAGATGTTGGGACAACTGAGTCAGCCATATCATATTTTAGGAAATAAGATGAGCAAGAAACCCCAAAGGAACAGGTGAAGCTTTGCTAGGCAGAGGTCTGTCTCCTACCGAAAGGTTTTTGGGTCAAGATATATGTATGTGCATGAGCTCAGCTGCAACTTTTCTGACCTGCGGAGGGGCTGAATTTAGCAGTGAGCTAAGGCTCCTGGTCACTGAGTGAGTCACCAGCAGAGAACGGCTGGGATACATACCCTAGGGCTTTGTAGACTGAGGAGTCCTGGGAGCACACCGTGTTCCTAGAACACGCTGGGCTTGCCTGTCTCCCAGTGACACCGTTACCAAGCACTTCCCAAAGCCACCACCAGCTGCTGTGCGGGCTCCCTGCCCACAGCCTCCAGGCCCACAGCCATAATGATCACAGCTCCCGGGCAAACTCAATCTCAGTTAACAGAGGTCAATCACCCGGCTGGTGTGGCTCAGTGGTTGAGCGTCCACCTATGAACCAGGAGGTTTCGACTGGATTCCCGGTCAGGGCATATGCCCGGGTTGTGGGCTCGATCCCCGGTGGAGGGTGTGCAGGAGGCAGCCGATCAATGATTCTCTCTCATCATTGATGTTTCTCCTTTCCCCTTCCTCTCTGAAGTAAGTAAAAATATATTAAAAAGCAACATATCAATAACCAAAATTGTGTACTCACGGGTCACTGTACACTTTTAAAGACCAAAGTGAGCTTTCCTGGGGGAAAGACTGTTTTACTGGATGGAACACAAACCTTTCTTGTCATCCTGGGCACAGCCAGGTGCCGCTGGGAGTGGTGGCTGTTGGTGATGGCAGAGTGTGTGGATGGTGGAGTGGGAGGAGGTAGAGGACATAGCCGTTGAGCTGGGGGTGCACAGTGTGATCTGCAGTGTGTTTAGCGCTGAGGTTTGGGAGAATTTTCAGACAGTCGAATTGGGAAAGTGCTTACACCTTCTTGTAATTAACTTTCCTTGGGAAAAAATAGCTGATTACCAGGCAGAAACATTTTAATGTGCTGTTTTAGCTGAAGAGCAATTTTTAACCGAAGTGTGTTAAGCAAGCAGGCTTTGGTGGTGGGTTTAAAATTTTTTCTCTCACCCAGGTTGGTGTTGCTCAGTGGTTATATTGTTGGTCTGTGGACTGAAGGATCTTGGGTTTGATCTCTCTCTCTCTCTCTCTCTCTCTCTCTCTCTCTCTCTCTCTCTCTGTCTCTCTCTCTGTCTCTCTCACTCCCCCCCCATACTCTCTAAAAATCAATGGGAAAATATCCTTGGGGGAGGATAAAAAAACATTTCTTCTCTGAGCTGAGGCAGATACATTTTTCCTTCCATTGGTATGTCTAGAGAACACAGAGCAAATGCAATTTCTCTCAGCTTATCTAACAGATTGGATAAAATACACAATTCCCTTAAGGATAAATGTCAAGAAGAAAGACTGACGTATACTTCCAAGCAAAATTTATTAGATGTCTATTCAAGAAAAGCACAATGACCTTTGCTTGTAAGAATTCAAAGTCAATGACCTGAAAGCCAAGTAGGAATTTTTTTTTCCTTTCAAAATCAGGTACAGAGAGTAGAAACAGTAATTTTTCTTAAATATGACAGGCAACAGATATTGAAGTCTTTTCTCATAAATGGCATGGAAGATAATTATTCATTGATCAGCAAAGCTGCATGCAGTTGACCTAATTTCAAACCCAAGGCCTTTAAAATATAAAGCTGGTTGTGAACTTGACAGTAATCACGGTCGACTACTCAAAGGTGTTTCTTTACCTTCTTCCTATTGAAACCCCTCTGTACTGGATACTTATATACATTTCAGTTTGGCTGCTAAGATCTTTTAAGCTCATAAACTTTTGCATAAATGCTATCTTATAGAATCACACTATCGAGGCGTGCTTATGATCTGTGGGCTACACAAAGAATCAACCTTAGCTTAGTTTAAGTGAAGGATAAAGACCAAGTTAGGAAATTCCCTTGTTTTCGCAACAACTAAATAGTCTGTACAAAAAAAAAAAGGAGCAACCATATGTACAAAATTCTAGAGTCTACTTACATTGTGAAAAGATCAGTCACTGTCCACAGAAGAAATGCCATAAAAAGTTTTCTCTATAAGGTGCTCAAGATCCAAATATGAATAGTTCTTATGCAAAGTCATAAGAAATACAAAGCTAGTTCTCAGGAGGTGTGTAATTCAGGCACTGTTCGCCACATTAAACCTTCCAGGTCCCAATATTGTTTTGTAAATTTCTACCTCAGGGCAGAAAACAGAACCTGGATGAGTTAACATTGCCTCTAAAATGTGCCTAATGGATTTTGAGGAAGTATTTTATACACACCAGAAAAACAGGCTCAACATATTCCTGTCCTCAAATGAAGCCAGGATTCTGAGTTCCATAGGAAAAAAATAATTATTATAGTAAAAATAATTGTATTGATCATAATCCTTGCTAAAACCAGCCTTAATACCTGTGATGCTTCTAAAGGTTTCTATTTCTATAAAATAATGCGTGGGGTTCTTTTACATTTCCATAAAATGTATGACATATCATGTGGATTGCCTGTTCTCATACAATCGCAAATGGCTATGTGCACACCCAGTGAGATCCTACCTAGGAATATTGCTTACGGATACTTTCAAGTGTCTATGTTAGAATAACTCTTTGCACCTCTCACTAACACTGCTTTCATTTAAATTTTGTCAGATAAATAAACACTAAGGGCTCATTATTTATGATGCTGATTATGACATTTTAATATAAAATAGCAACGCAACTTTACAACACAATATTTTTTTTTGTAGTCTAGCTAAATCTCTTATATTCTCATGATTACTACCCAAAGCTCTTATTCACTTACTGTTTGCACTTCTAAAAAGTACAAAGGAATCGCAGGGCAAGACTGCTATTTGAAAACCCACATTCAATCCACAAAATTCACACTCATCCGAATGAACGCTCCTACGCTTGCTTTAGCTTGTGTAATCATCACTGTGCATATTACAACATATAAGTGCAGGCGAGTAATAGCTGAAGTACGGTTGTCATGTTGTGTAAACGAGGGCTCTAGGCAAACTCGTGAAAGGACCACAGACTGCCAAGCTAAGAGCATGGACACACACACCACGTATTTAGTGATAAACCATCTTCTGGTCGCCTGGGGAGGGGCGGGGGGCATCCTCAAAGTGGACCAGGGAGCCTCCTCGAGACACTTTTCAATTTTTTTTTGCCTCCAATATTTACCCCTTTGTAAGTATGGTGACTTTCTTTCTGATCCTAACGTACAGACTTCCAGGTTAGAGCAGAAAGCAGGGGTATGCGCTTTCACACGGAACAGGCCTGCCAACCCCCCAAGGCTGCGGCGGTTACTCTGCTGGTGGTTGGGTGGCAGGTGGAGGTGGGGATGGTGGTGACTTCTATGGGAAACATAAGGCATGAGAGCGGGAGGCCTGCGGGGTCTTTCGGGCAAGGTTCTGAGACGCAGCATACGCAGGAGGGAGGGTGCTTCACAGCCTCTTGACATAGTTTCCGGGGAAAGTACCAAAGAATTTGGTTCTTCTTGAGGTTCCTGCAAAGAGAAGCAACACATGAAAGGGGGGTAATATAACATGAGTGACCTTGTTCTCTCACACTGACCCTCACGGCTGACAACTGACACTCTCCACGGAACAGAGTATCAATACTTCTCATCTAGGGACCATTTTTGTTTTGTTTTTCTCTTACATCTCAGTCTTTCCTGGTTGGTGCTCTTTAAAGAAATTTTCTTCTCCCAGGTGAACCAGAAATAAAGCCAACAGAAAACCACGTCTACCTGGAGCAGTCAATGCTCAACTCTATTAAAAAGGCAGTTGCCTCGGGATGACATACGAAGGTATGGAAGATCAAAGGCTTTGTGAACTCAGAGAAAGCCTGACCGCCGTGCCCACCCACGCAGGGAGCAAACACAAGCACGTTAAATGTGGGCAAATGGTGTCTGCAAGGAGCTGTCCACGTACCCACAAACCATCCATCATCACATTTCTCCATCACGTCGATGACGTCACTTTCTCTGAGCTCCAGCTCGTCTTCATTCCTAGGAGTATAGTTATACAGAGCCTGAAACCTTAAACAGGACAGATGCATGGGTTTAAAACAAAATCCACACCTTTGTGAAACTATAGAAGATACACAACATTAATTTTGCTTTTAGCATTTCTATTATTGTAATTATAAAGACCTATTAACATAAGTCTTTGGTAAGCTTGTAAATAGAACTATGTAGACTCTCATGGAAATGAAATCACTCAGTATTTCAAAACTTGCAATGAGGAATATTCATGGAGGATGATAACATCCATGAGTTGGATTCAAACATTTTAACGTTTATAAGCCAGAGCCACATTTCAATTGGCCAGTCATAGATTCTAGCATTCAGACGTTAAACAATAGAACAGAATATTAAAAAAAGTGCCGTGTGTATTATTCAGCTATACGAAAACAAGGAATTACAGTTTTAGCTATCTATAAGCAGAAGTAATTAATTGCAGGTTGCGAGTTGAATTTCCGAAGGATTCTAAATGGAGATGTGCAACACGTCTCAGACATAGATCTTCTAAATCACTGAGTGGGAATTACTATAGAAAAGAGTTTTTTTGTCTTTTCACTATAAGAATTTTTTAAAAACGGTTTGGTTTCATAGTTTGAATCCGTGTTTTCTCAGATTTAGAATTTGAAAATCTGATGTTGTCCATCTATGAAATGAAATGGATGTATTCTATGCTCAACTATCACTTGAGCTAATATCAAAGAGTAGGGGTATTATGGGCATAAGTTCCTTTTTAAAAGGTTCTGGAGAAATAGTGTTTGATGTAAAAACTCTCTTGAAAAAATGTTACATAAAATACTACTTATCAGTAATGCTACCCACTTTCCTTTCTCTGTCTGAATTCTTTGAGAGCATATATTTTGGTGACATTGATCAGTAACAAATTCAGCCATTGAATTTTTGGTAATAAAGTCGCTTGTATTTTAACGCATATTAACATGGACTGGCATTTTGAAAAGTGAAGACACAAATTCTAGCAGCTGAGGTCAGGCAGCATTGGATGTGCAGTTAAGACAAAGACGTCCCAGTGCTTCTAAAATATTATCAGTATTGGGAGGGGGATTTAAAAAAAAAAATCAGTGAACTGGTTTCTGCTGTTTTCATAACAGTTGTGTAAGTCTGCCAATGTAAGAATATAAGAACCACATTTCAGGGCATTTTGGGGTTTTTAAAGCCAACTTTGAAAAGCTGATGACATTGAACACTGCTCAGGAAAAAGGATGGTGTATTTCTCATGTCTTCATTCAGTCGGAAAATCACATTTAGGTGGAACAAAACTATTCTGTCACGTGGACTCAAACATCATGTCATAAGTCAGGGACAGGGCTCCCTGGCTTCCTCTTGGTCTGTGCACTTGTTTGGATGGGGGGACCTGATGAAGTTGGCATCGGTGGGGGGTGTCTGAGAAAGGGTGGGTAAGATGTGGTGTCTAACACCTTCTAGAAAACCTTCTCTTCCCTGGCCTGGCCCGAAGCCTGAGCTTCCGGCACTGGAGATGTCTTCCCCTGCCAGTAGTTGGTTATCCTAGTACACCTTGTCAGCGGTTTGTACTTGTGGGGATGGCTCCTGAGGTCCTCTGTTGAGAGGGGACTGGATTATGGGAAAGGGCAGGGGAAAGCAGCCAGAGTCTGAGAACAGTGGCAACAAGGCAGGGAGGTGTTGAATACTGACATTGCTTCATTTGGATGCTTGCTTGGGTCAGCCCTGATTTTGCTGTTTGCTTTAAGGATTTCACTTTGAGGCCCTTCAGATGAATGGATGCTATGTTTTGTATATCCATGGGGCAAGGTGATGGCAAAATAGTTCCTTCTCCAAATTCACACGAGTGAGATAGTCATTCATCGCCCTGCTGCTAATTCAATGGATGGACACTGCGTCTCTCCCTCTGGAAAACTGATTTTCTGATTGAGTTTTTCAGGCTCAGCCCTCACCCAGGCACATCTCCAACCACGTAGGGAGACAGGCCTATTTAAGGCCACAAACCCCAGCTGCTTGAAGAATCTCAAGGTCCCAAGAGCTAAAATAAAATTGGCACGAACTCCTACTTCACTTGGGTGAGACGAAAGCCAGCGTGCTTGTCAAAATTTACTTACCATTCTGGTTTAGTTAGACCACAAAAGGCGGGGAGGGGTGAGGGGGGTTGAAGGGAAACATAAACTTTTCAGAAATCCTCCTGCCTCAGTGGCTTTCAAAACCAGTGTTGCACAACAGGAAATGCAGTCGAATTACAATGGCAAATGCTGTTTTGAAAGATGTGTTGGTGAGATGAATGATGGTGGTGGGTTAGGATGCCTCAAAAAGACCTTTGTCTTTTCAATAGGAAACCCTCAGCTAAACTTAAGTTCTCTAACTTGCAACTTTTTCTATAACGTATTTCACCACAATTCTGAATTTAGAGACATAAAGCATTGTGTCACTATATTTTTTAAATGAAAGAGATTAAGCGACACCCTATTATCCTACTAATTGGGGTTGTAGTCAAATAGAAATTTCATAAAGAATATTTTATAATGTCCAAGGCAGGACTTCGAAAATGTGCCATCTTCCACCCGTGAGCGCAGTAGTTTCATAAACAGTCAAATGACCACACTGGAAGCGTTAACTCCACGTTACTTAACGTAACATACCTATTACTTCATAAAGTCCTTAGAAGCTGCTGCTGTAATCTGTTAGTAATGCAATGAACCTAAACAGCCCTGACATTTATTTTTGTGTGACGTGATCCTATCGTTGTTTGAGAAAAAAAACCCCAAAAACCAAAAAAAAACCCAAAGTGAAACTTTAGAATAAAAGGCCATATTTAAACCTTTTCTTGTTAATGAATTTTTGAATGATTCTTATTTCCAACCTGTTCTTTTCATCGTCTTTTCCTTAGCAAGACCTTCTGGTTGTGCTTAGGGACAGCAGCCTCAGGTGAGAGATGGTTTCTGAAGGGCATGCTTTTGGCTAAGTGTCAGCTCTGCGAGGAGGGAAGGGGATGCATGGCCCTAGAGGACTTGCTCTGTCCCAGTGAGCAGGGCATGGGCAGTGGGCTGGGGGCTCACCTGTGCTCAGATGGGCCTGACGGGTCTCCTTCCAGGGTCAGCTCCTGACTCACAGAATAGGTGGGAGCCAATAGGAGGCAGGTCGCCTCTGAGTATCTCTCACGGGCAAAAATGGAGCAGGAGAGACACACAACATTTGGGTCTTAAAGACAGTGCCTGACACCTTCGGGTTGACCTGACTACATATCAGCAGGGAGAGGGAATTTGAAAGCGTGAAAAGGCATGTGACTATGAATGACAGTGCATTTTAAATACTGCCATTTCCAAAGACCCTTCTCAGAACGTAACTTTGGAATTACGCCCCTAATTTATCACCTTAGGTCTCCTGCTACATTTTCCTCCTCCCTAAATAATGTGCAAAAACGTTAGGACGTTTTCTGTGCCGTGAAAGCTGCAGTTACTAGGATCTACGTGGCCAGTGAACCGAGAGGAGACAGGTTCACAGTCTTGGGAATCACTGCAGCTTTGGGAGTGATTGGATCAGTCTTCTCTGCAGATCCCGGGTTTCTTTTTAAAATGAGCTCTTTCTGTTATGAAGATGGAGACCATGGCAACCTCTCTTCCTCTAGGAGGCCTCCGGTTGCACAGTGGGGCCTTCCTCTACTTGGGTACATCACTCATCCATGTTGTGGGTCAAGGTTAGTCTTGAATTTAGAAGAGAAGAAGAATACTTACGGTTCCCCCCCACCTTGAATGTTTTCATGAGTAAACACAGGACGCTGTGGCTGAAATGAAATGATTTGCAATGTAATCAATGTTTACACTGATACTAAGTAAGAGATAATTTGGATAATGGCATGGTACTTTTCTTAACATTTAATATATCCTGCTGTAAAAAACCAAGAGGAAGAAAAGAATACAACCACATAAAGGGTTTCTGCAGGATTAATCACTGAAATATTTTGGAGGGTCCTTTCAATGACTTCAAAATAACCAAGGTTCGAATGCTTTGAACATATCCACAATCCATTCTGCTCAAGTTTTAAGGAAAAGTCAGGGCTCTGTCCCATTGATTTTTCAAAGGCCAGGAACATGGCAAGAACAAAGACACCAAACCACTGAATGGGAAGTCTGGACACCCTCATACAGCCTCACTCCTCAGCGTTTTCTCAAGCAAGCAGAAAAGAAACCACATTGAGTCCAATAGCAAAGTATCCACACTCATTCTAGTATGCTTTTCCCCCACAGACAACATTTCCACATACAGTACGGATGAAAATATTGGTAGGCGGACATCCCATGCTACATTTGAATTAACGTTCTCTGTTCTCAGTGTGGAGAAACACATGCATTTTTAAAGAGAAAACAGAGAACTTTAAATAGAATGCAACAAACAATAATCCAGGTAACATGTAGCATTTTACCTTAGAAGAGAAATATTGGTGGGAATTCCCAGTGCACTGAACTCTCAAAAGAGTTTCCTTTCTTTTTATACTAAGCATCAAGACCAGTATCTGTAATAGATACTTATAATATTGGAAATGACAAAACCTTAGCATATCCACATAAAGACTGCAATGAATGAAAGTTAACATGTCGGTTGAATATGTGAACTCAATGTTTATACTGACTACCTAAATGTTACCTTTTAGGGGAAAATTACTGTAATATTCGCAACACATTTCAAAAGCATTCTCGTCTAAATGATGGCTACATGGTGAAATGAAGTAAATCAGAGTTTACATAGCAATGATCAAAGTGACTGCTTGGTGATTACTGAATTAGATATTAGATTGATCCAGGTCCGTAGACATCAGGGCGAAGGCCGATTCCTGGATTCCAGAGTTATGAGTAGATTCAGGCTGGCTAACTTTCCCCTGCAAATTATCCATAGAAACCCCACTGGTCCAAGATTGGATGGGGAACTCTGGGGTTCCTTTCAGTCTATGAGTCTTAATTTTCCCCCTTCCTAAATTCTCTATCCACTCTCTTTCCATCTAAGCTGTCTAGCATAAGAAGACTAGGTACTTAGTATACTACTAAAATTTTAAGCTTTGACTGTAGTAATTGGAAGTGTTTGTTAACAGTATTCTTAGAAATTTCACTCAACAGTCTGCATAGATTTAAGACTAAAGAATGGCTAAAAATGATTAGGCACATGTATGGCTTAAGAGAGTAGAATACTTTACCCCTATAAATCAATATAAAATTACTAACAATATATCTGTTATTAAAATTATAAAATATACTATTTTACAAATGATAAAGACTAAGCTGTTTTTCAGCCATTTTAAGATCATTTAATTTAATACATTAAATCAATTAAAATATATGAAAAGAGGTAAATATATTATTTATAAGCCTATATGCTATTACGTTTCTTCAATTTCTTGTCCAATCACACACACACACACACACACACACACACACACACACACACGTTATCCCCAAAAATGTATATGCACTTTAACAGCTGATAGCTCCATTTTGAAAATGAAATGTATTTTAATAAACACTGCCTTTATAATTATTCAAAGTGTGTGTATACAGTTTTGGGGGACACTATATATATAACTTTTTACACTTTTTATTATTGACACTATTAGAGATGCCCCCACACCCCATTTGCCCACCTCTACCCAGCCCCTGTCGTCTTCCCTAACTTTTAATGCAGAAATAAGGTATATTTATATATTGTATATATATTAATTGCAATCAATATTTTGTAATAATTTTCCAGTACACATTTTAGTTCTCTTAACCATTTTGCTCTTTTCTGTTCTGAAATTAAGATTGTTCTAGCCTTTTTTTCATTGTCATAAGTAACAATGCTATGAACATTTTATACAAAGAACTATTTTCTTCTTTTGAACCATTCCTGAGAAATCATTTCCAGGAGTAAAATTTCTGGCCAAAGATTATACATTCAAGCCACATGCTATTGAATCTGCTCACGACGGTCACTCAAACACACTGTATATACATATGTAACTAAAAAAAAATCTAAACTACCATATTTCAAATCACACATCAAGACAGGTACTGTTTTCTCAGAAATAGTCATAGCACCATTTCAGTGCACAACAAAGTTATAAACAATAAACATTATTTGTTCTTGCCTGAAGAGAACGTTTTCTAAAATATATTTCACTATGCTCTAAAAATGGTGTGCCTGTTTCCAAATACTTAAATCATCCTGATACTTTTCAGTTGAGTAAAAACTTGACTTTTACTTGTGGCATCTGGGGCTTGGTAAAAGCAAATGTGAATACAACTGATATAATACTTTGAAAATTAGTATAACACCTTGCTGTTATTGTCATTACAGTTTTACTGGTTTAATTCAATTCAACTTACCTCATAAATCATTGAACTGAATCATCCCTTTGACAATGATAAAAATTGGGCTATTACCAGAGGTCATGGCTCCCTGATTCCATAGGCCCCTGAGTCTCCAGCACTGTGTTCCTGGATTGCTGGCCAGTAGCGTCTTTGCTTTCACCCATCTTCCCCACTGTGTCTATTCTGTCACATCCTTCCAAAGGATCCTCCATTACTTTTTTTTTTTTCCCTGAATCACCAGTTTTCTATACGTTCACATTCTCAGGCCAGGATTTAGCACAGCTTTTATTAGCATAGATGTCATGTACCTACTGTAATGGTGAGTTTTAGAACTTCCCTAAGGTTCCCTTTAAGAGGAATCATTTCCATGTGAATGTGTATGGCTGCGAACCAGTGTTGAGGAAAGACGACCATTACAGTCTTTGAATTCATTTATTTTACTAGTAAAAGTATTAGGTCTCTAGAGGAATAGGTAGCATTAATAGATACATTTATGCCTTTTTGGTGTTGGCATTGACTATGTAACCTTGGGTATGCACCTTAGGTGCCTGATCTCTAAAATCAAGAAGTTGGACGAGATGAGGATTAAGATCTTGCTTGTCCCCCTCAGGGAATCCATAAAGGAATCCACATTTCACAGACATATTTTCTGTGTTATGTATAGGTGCTATCATCGACCTTACTCATTCAGTTGTCAGAGAGCTGCAACAAGGGACATTCACTGGATAATTCTCAAGTGTCTCAGTCATGTAAGAACAGTAATAGTAATAATTCAACTTCATTTTTGCAGATCAGTGAGCCAAAACCAAAGATGATTTCTTAATAGCACAAATAAGTAAGAAGCAATAATAGAATTATAATTTGGGCTCTTACTCTTTATTACTGTGAGGGAATAGATGGCCTAAGTTGGCTAAAATCAGCCCTAACCCTAACCCTAACCCTAACCCTAACCCTAACCCTAACCCTATTTATTTTTGCCTTTAGGCAGCTGTTTATGCTCTGTGTGGATACTCAGCGAATTCTCTTAGGGGACTATCTTTTGCAGTTCCTTCTCTTGGTGTTATGACCATGGGCACAAACCTAGAGGAAGAGCTCTGTACTGTAGCTGCACTCTACTGCCACCTAATGGTGAGTAGTGGCAGCAACATGTAAGAGTTCATGCCTTTACTCAGCTCTCACCGAGTTCCTTTAACCTGGATTCATTTTGGAAGAATATTTTAAAGACCACAGAGCAATGTGAATCGATATTCATCTGTTTTTCCGACCAAGATATTCCCTTCCCGCATTTTAAATTCTTGAGAAAGGATCACGCTGACCACCAAAATTTTTGGTCTATGATAATTTCTATTTTAACCATCTACCCAGGCATTTCTATTATTCATGACTTCGTAGACGTTTTGCGACAAATACAGAACAGTATACATTTGTGCCATCCAGAAAGGCTCACGTGAGCTGTGAGTGTATGAATATGGTTTTCAAGCTAACAGTTTACAGACACCGTGCTGGAAATGTCGGGTGAGAATTACATACATCATGCTTGCGTTATCTTGATGAGCCTTAGGTGGACAATACAAATGCGAGAGCCCAATGGGGCATCGTGCTGTTTTCTCAGAAGCCTGAATATTTAACCCTTTCCTGGGCAATGTAACAATTATTTTTTATCTTTTAGTGTAGCTATTTTTAATGTCAAATGTCAAATATGGGTACACTTGAGACAGGTTTTAAGCACATGCTAATTTTCAAAGCCAGAACCAAGTCACAAACCACTGCTCGAATAGGAAGCTGCTTTGAAATACCCCACAATCTCTGGTATCAGTAAAACATATACTTCCCTAGCTCGGTCTGCCTGACACCCACCTATTTATCTGTGCTGCTCAGAGGCATCTCTGGAGGATCACCTATACCTAGTTGTAGGAAATTCTTAAATAGGGAGTCATTGCTACTGTAAACACTAAAGTGTGGGAAAATCTTTGAAAGAGTTAGCAGCAGCTCTAGAGTTCTTAAGTCATCCCCCCCCCGCCCCGAAAATGTCACTTGTAGCACCTGCCAACCAGAATTGGATGAGCATCTCCTTTCAACAGTCCCCTGTTTCTGCTTCTCGGCTTATTTTTCCTTCTTAAATTATGAAGTTAAATCAAACTTTTGCATAAATCTAAAGAGTATAGAATATTCATGTTCCACAACAACACATATAACATACCTAATGTAAAAATCCGGCAAAGAAAAAAACCTTACGGTGACCCAAAGCACACCATGTCCCTGCCGGTGGGAAATTCGTGGCTGGCCATGCTAATTATGGAAAAAGCTTTTTTTTTTGCTTCTGGAGAAGGCCCTTCTGTGGAGTCTAAGAATCTCTTCAAATCAACATCCCTCCTCCTCTACGGCCACACAAATCTCTGCCCCAGAAACAAAACGAGGTCTTATTATGCAAAGACGTGAAAAGCACAATGATGGGATCAGCGCAGAGAAATCTCCACATTTTTAAAGTGTGGAAAAGGCAGTTTTCTTTGCAAGGAAGCCCTTCACCAGTTGCGGACCCACAGTCATGTAACAGACCAGGTAGGGTCAAACCAGGCCCAGCAAGACAGAGACGGTGGAAGGACTGGCTCATGCAGAGAGGAACATTCCCCGGCCCCCCGCCTTCCTCAGGATCCGCAGTACCGGTTAGCATCCCTCCACTGAGAATGCGGCCTGTGGTGTAGAACTCAGTAGTTCAAGGGAAAAGAAATATAACCTTTAAGTTTAATCAATGCTGTCAAGAGACTGGGCAGATGAAGCACACATCACCAGAGCAACTCAATGTTTTGCAACAAGATCACGGATTTTAAAACATCCCAATAAACTGGACGACACAGAAGCAAACATTACCGGAAGCGTGTGAGTTCAGTGCAGGGTGGGGCAAAAGTGCGTTTACAACTGTGAGCACGCGAGACACAGAGTTTATTCTTGTGTTATTATTTATGGATTCCTGTATTATTTTCCATACGTACATCTGTAAACCTACTTCTGCCCCAGCCTGTGTTTTGTTGGCAACAGCTTTATCCTTTGCACGGAGGACAATGACGGCAAAGCAGAGATGTACAGAGAACATTTGCACAGAAGCACGAGACGCGGTAGAAGACATCTGCACCCTTAGTTGTCTGGTGGAGAGTCTGGCCATGTCTGTCTGGATTTGGGGGAGTTCACACAAGCACATTCCGCAAACACTTAAGATAGGATTTTCGTGTTGATCTGCTATCATAGCTTATCATCAGTTGGTCACTTCATCTCAAGGTCCCCTTTACCCTACTTGACCGGCAAAGGACAGCAAGGACCACTGAGGGTGCGCGTGTGTGGCCAGGGTGCCTGGCGCAAGGCGGGCGGTCCGTCCCTACCCTGTGGGAACTGCTGAGCCCTCTGACAGGCGAGCTGCAGGACCTCCTAGTCATCACTGGGCTACGCGGAGGCTTACCCAAGACAAACGTCTCGCCTTTTACATCAGCCTGGAAAAGCCACAAGAAGGGAGTTAGTTCTCGTCTCCTCCTCCAGCGTCAGGAAGAGCTGCCTGCTTGTTCTCCATGCACACACAGCATGCCAGGCCCCTGCACATGGCCAAAGGGAAAGGTCTCACCCTGCAGACAGCTCTTCCGGCTGCCCCTGCCTTTCACACACAGGCATCCCTTGTGCTTCAATCCGAACGCACAGGCAGAGCAGAGCAGAGCACAGAAAAGATGCTTGAATGCAGCCGACATGGCTAAGAGCACATCCCAGAAAATGTATGCCTTTCACAGAATGCTTAACAACTGGGTTCAAGACACCCTCAGATCTGCCCTGTTTTCTTTGTTTATTTGAATAGATACAAAGTAAGACAGAGGGCAATTTTACTTACTATCCATCAAATTGCATAGGAAGTGCCAATCATTTGTTGGGGTGGTGGTGGTTGGGGGGCGGGATATTCTAACCAAACTCATAAGAAGAAAATATGACTTTTCTGGGGAAAATGATGAAATGCAGTTAAATACTAAATATTGCCCTAACTCCAAGCACCCTGAGACTATGTTGTCGTTCTTTCAAAGCAAGACTTTTAATTTGTTCGCGAATGAGCCACCGTTCTTGCGTCTGAGTGCTTTATTTTCCTTCCAGCGGTGGACAAAATTAGCAGTGCATCGTGTGGTATTTGACTTGGCTTATGAGAACTTTTGTGGGACTAAAGGACCTTCAAATAAAAGCGTGGGGTTTTCTCAACTCTCACTTAGGGCAATGCTCATGATAATCAGTGATGAGTGACCTGAACTCCGCAGCCTCCGGGGAAGAGATGCGTTAGGCATTGTTCTTCAGCTTATGGCAGGGGAGTCTTGATGCCCTTCAACTTCCATTCTCTCCTCTGTCCACCCTCAGTAATGGAATCCCGCATGTTAGGTAGGCATGTGGCCATTCTGAATGAAGTCTCTAGCCCAGTCTTGTACTGAGATGCGCTCATGTGATACGTGCTGACAGAGGGGAACGTGCGGTTTCTGGGAAGTGGCCTTCAAGAGGTACAGACTCCCTGCCTCTATCCTCCTTCCCACGTGCCAGGATGAGGACGGGACTGCTGGAGCTGGTGCAGCCACTCTGCAGCCACTTTGCAGTGGGTGCATCTCCTTGAGGATGGTGAGACCAAAGGAAAGGGGAATCTCTTGGGTTCTCTAATGACTACAGAGCTACATACAAGCCCTGGATGCTTAGCTTTATGCCTAAGAGAAGTATACTTCTACCTGGTTTTAAGCGTATACTTTTTTTATGTCTTCTGGCACTGCAGCTACCCCAGTCTTGACTAATACAGGGGAGATTGTCTATAAGCATCAGAGAAATACCATTTAGCTGTTAGAATGATGCGGATCAACAGCTGGTGAGATCATCTGAACACATTAGGGAGAATCAGGGTTTCATTTTATGTTGGAAGCTGTGCTCGGGGGGACCACCTTCTGATGGGATGGCAGGCGGGTGAGGAGACTTCCTGATGGGACCCCAGTGAGTTTCTTAGAAGAAACCAAGGAAGAGCCTTCCTAGCGCTTCATAAAGAGCTTCTATAGCAAGTAGAGCCCTCGTGCTGTAAGTCTCTTTTACAAAACATTCTCTTAGGTGGAATAGGAAGCTCAGCTTGTGGACACGCTGAGGAGTATAATGACTTGTATTATGAAACACCATTATTTAAAGAAAAGATGCTGGCAAGACAAGAAAATATTGGATGCTGATTTATCTATCAACCTCATTCTATTTTTCAGTCTTCTGTCACTTACAAAGTAGTGGTAAATTTTACTTTATGGAAAATTTTGGATTGCATGTGACAAACTTACATTGTCCGAGAAAATTTTTTAAAAGAATCAAATTGCATTAAATTAGGATAGGTTAAGCCCTAGCCAGTTTGGCTCAATGGATGGAGCACCGGCCTGTGGACTGAAGAGTTCTGGGTTCGATTCCAGCCAAGGGCACATGCCCGGGTTGCAGGCTCAGTCCCCAGTAGGGGGCGTGCAGGAGGCAGCCGATCAATTATTCTCTCTCATTGTTGATGTTTCTGTCTCTCTCTCTCTACACTCCTTTCTGAAGTCAATAAAAATATATATTAAAAAAAATTAAGGTGGGTTAAGTTAAAAAAAAAAGTGGTTCATAGGGGTTGATAAAGTTGTAATAATTTCCTGCATACTGTACTTTGCGTAGTAAAACATTATTAAAATTTTATTTTCTCTTAGCTTTTAGTGCTGGGTTACTTTCCTTTGTAACTCCAATATCCTTGACATGGAAGGAATAGGAAGCCTTCTTAAAGGACTCAGGTCAGCACAGTTTGTCACTGTCAGATGTGGGGTTAAACGACAATAATGGTCTAAAACTTGTAGTTGATTCCATTTGTATTTAATTACTGTCTTATTTAGGACAATTTTCATAATAATTAGTGATGATTGACCTAAAATTTGCAGTCGCTGGAGAGGAAATGCGTTAGGCATTGTTCTTCAGGGTTGATGCCAGCAAGACTAGAAAACATTGGATGCTGATTTTCTTTTTATCAAACTCAATATCTTTACAGGCACAAATAACTTCAGGCAGTTTATAATCTCTCTGCGAATAGAAAAGTAATTTATAAGGTTTCAAAAAAAAACCCAAAACAACCCACTCAGTGGGGGATTAAAAATAAACATTTGCTCTCACACAGGGGATGCAATAGAGAAAAAACCAGTTCAGTTTTCTGGAGATAGTTATTTGATGTGGTTACTACGGTATTCTTTCCAAACAGCTTTATTGTGAACACCTCCGTTCTCTCCTCACATTCTGCCAGTGCCTGAGACCTAAAGCCCCCGTCTCTTAAATTACAGAACACCGATTCTAAGTTATGTTCCCCTTACTGATTAAGCTTAATGGCTAGAGAACAAGGAGAAAGGCAAGAAATAAATACTTTGTCCTTAAAAAGAAAACCACAGAGAGAGCTGGGGGGATTGGGGGGTGGGGGGAGGGGGGTGGGGTGGGGAAGGCAAATTCTTAGTCTTAGACATTATCCAAGTGTTATTATCTTAAAAATTTCCTGCCAGCAAAGATTAAAACCTCAAAGGGCAAAGATCAATTAGTCTTGCAGTATTCCATTTTTCAGACATTTTTCCTTTCATGAGTAAGAGGAATTCACATGGCTGACGATTTTGGTGGGTGGATCTGCTGAGTGGGGGGTGGGAGATTGCCCAAATGGCCCTGCTCAGGTGCTGGCTCTTCCCAGAACAGCCTCGGCGTGGCCCCTTCTCTGCAGGGTCTCTCGTGTCAAGTTCTAAAGGTTGAGGGTGAAGGTGAGTTATGACTTGAAGTCTACCACCTCTTGCCTAAAGGGGAAAATTTTGGCTCATTCGCGTCATAAATGCAAAACTTGCCCAGGAGGGGGTGATTTCATTCTGTGAGTGTCGTCCAGGCTCGTTCCAAGGCGAGTCCTTCATTTTGGTGAGATCTTTCAAAACACTCTCCTGAGGGTGTTTGAAAATAGCAGTAGAGCTGCCAGCCTGCACATCTCAGAGGTAGATGCTTTGTTAACGCCTACAATGAAAGGAGCTGCGTTCCTGCATCCTCATCAGTTTACTTCAGTTTTGTGGGAGAACAAGGCTCAAGGCAGTCCAGGCCCAGGAGCATCCTGCCCTCAGGCTCTGCTGACCTGGCCAGTGGGTGGGCAGGTGAGCCCCCTGAGAAGTGACAGAGAGTGACAGGTACAAAGCTGACGCCTTTGAGTGGGATGGTTCTCCTGCTGACGCTCAACTTAAAAAAAAAAATCTTATGTAAATTTTAGTTTGTTTTTCTCCTGCCTATGGGTATAGCCGCTATGCAAATATATATTTTAACTTTTTGGATAGAGGCCATGCTGCTGTTGTTAAAAGTTAGCAATCAGTCTTGACATGACTTTTTTAGATCGTGTAAGATGGCACAAATCGAAATACATACATGTAAGTTAATTAAGTCCATATAAAGACATGCAAGAAACCACACACAAGATGCAGTTACCTTTAATTTTGGTGAACTTATTTCCTGTTGGTAAGAGTGTTTAGGGAGGAGAGGTGGTGAGAAGGACTGGGCAGGCTGAGAAAGCGTAGAGACCAGCTGTGAGGCCGAGGCCGAGGGAGGAGGAGAGGGAGGGGAGGGAAGCAGACAGCTGGGGATAGGTGTAGATGGTCCATCTCTCTAGGGAAATGAAGGTAGCTTAAATATTGAGGAAAGACAAGATGAGATTATGCTTGTGTCCAGAATGAGGTCACATGGTCAGCCTTTAGGTAACATCCCCCATATTGAAACAAGTTTAAAGTTAACCAGTACTGGTGACATTTATGACAAATTCTTGCTTTAAAAGCATGAACTTTTTCTTTTGAATTTCATTCAAGATTTCAATGGGTATGATCAGTTTCATTTTTCTGATGTGGGGGGTAAGAATCCCCATAGTCTATAGGCAGGTAGAAGTTCCTGAGACCCAAGCCCTAGATCTAATCATGTCTTAAAATTAAACTGAAGAGAATGTGAGCCATTTAAGTGATCAACTAGAGTCATGCTTGACTGACTGCAATGAATGATCTTTATTCTAAGCAGTGTGTTTAGTTGGTACAGATGCAGGTATGGCTGGGTTCTTTGTTCAGGTGACGTTTTCTCTCTGGGTTGAGGGACAGCCAAGCCTCAGGGTGTTGTGACTGTCCACGGGCCTCATGGGCACTGACCATTATTTAAGCCCAAGGAGACCCTGTGTTTGCCAAGTGCCTCTACATTTGTTATTGGTAAGATCTAAGTAGCAAATTATGGTATTTAAACATGATTTTCATGTTCAGAAATCTTTCAATAGAAGATCCATGGGGGACTTGCATAGTTGCATAATATGAATCATTCATTTTTTTTGTCTCATAATTTTGATATTTTCTAGTACCAATATTTGCTACGTAATTCACAGATTACATATGTGAGATATCGAGTTTTCGTTTTCTTAAAAGAGAACTTGACAAGCTAAAGACTCAGGGTGTTATCCCTCTTTACTGATTAAAATTATGGCCCAAGTTTCTTGGTTTTTAAAATGAAAATGGCAGGACCCAGTAGTCACCGATTGGAAGAAAGCTCTCTCTTCAGAAAGAGGTGAGAGGGAACCAGAACACTATCTTCCTCCTTCTTTCCTTCCTCCTTTCCTTTCCTTTCCTTTCCTTTCCTTTCCTTTCCTTTCCTTTCCTTTCCTTTCCTTTCCTTTCCTTTCCTTTCCTTTCCTTTCCTTTCCTTTCCTTTCCTTCCTTCCTCTCCTTCCCTTCCTTCCTCCTCTCTCTCCTTCCCTCCTCCCCTCCCCTCCCCTCCCTCCCCTCCCTCCCCTCCCCTCCCCTCCCCTCCCCTCCCCTCCCCTTCCCTTCTCTTTCTTTTCTGTATCAATTTCCTCATCTCTAAAATGATAGCATAACCCACCTTAAATATGAATGTATAACTATAAATAAATAATGGAATTATATTATACATTTCCATCATCTTATTAAAATTTGCTGTGTTGCCATACACTCCTCCACCCCGACTTATATAGTGCTTGTTTCTTGAAAGGACAACATCTAAGGCAATGTTTATTAATATGATTAGCTGTCCTAGCTAATTGTCGTAGGACAGGTTAGTTGTTCAGGGATTAGGCAACATTGAAATACCTCCTTATTGGTGTGAGCTGCACGGCTGTGTTCCTTGGGGGCTCTAGGACCTGGGACGGTGGCTACTGCACCTTGTGAGCAGCCGGGTTTCCTCTTCTCTTCCTCCTCTTCGATGTACAGACTTGGTTTCACCTCGGGGCCATCATGGCCCCACCACGAGGCATCTGGGTCTTGATATTCAAGCCCTCCTCGGATGCCTGACATCAGCCCCTCACAGAGTTCCTCTTCTTCCTCTCCAATGACAGGGAGGGTTTGGGGCAAGGGACCCACATTAGTGTGTGCAGAGGCCACAAACTTATCCCCTAGGACTTCAGACACCTTTTCAGGGCTCGCAAAGCCTTTTCTCATTGTCAAATCTGCACACTTGTTCTGAGTTGTCTTTCTGGGGTCCTGGACTGGCGTTGTCTCATAGGGCTGGACTGGAGTTGAGGTCGTACCTGTGCCACGTAAGGGTGGCCGAGGGGAAGGTGATTTGGCCGGTACAGCTGCTAGAGGCCATGGGAGGGGAACTGAGGGTTCCTCTTTAATTTCAAGGGTGATCTCCTCTGGGATATTTGGCTCGGCTTGGTCAGCTGGTAAGGTGAAAGCACTAAGCTTCTCTAATTCATCCAAGAAGTTGTCCAGGAAAGGAATCAGAGGGTTTGCCAGAGGACACTGAGCTGTCAGGGAAGGCCACCCCTGGCTAGGCCCCTGCTGAGCTCCGTTATCTGGGCCAGGAGAAGTTCTGTGCATGAGAGGAGGGGCTGGTTCCCTGGGAGCCAACTTAAAAATGAGCAGCGAGTGTGACGCCAAAGAAAGGAAGAAACCAAGAAAATAACAACAGTGCATCAAAACACAGAGACAGAAATGCAGGGAAGGTAGTGAATACAAAACAGTATTTTATGCTGTGGCGTAGATTTGAAGAGATTTTGCTGAATTTTTCCTACATAAAACCACTAGCATGTTAGAAATTTATTTGGAAAATGAAACTCTCCTAGTATTCGAAAGGGGTCGTCAGTGTCAAATGACAAAGTAGAGCTGTCATAGCAATTATAAGGATAGACAGTGAACACTTAAGAGGTTTAATTTCATTTAACAGACTACCTCTTTTAAACTAGGTTCCCAGATTTTGACTTAGTAGTAGAAATGGCTTTGAAATGGTATTAATGTAGAATGAAAGCCAATAATTAACCCTTTCTCAGCTGCTGAATTTGTGAGGTGTTCTTGCTGCCGGAAGCAGTGCCCAATCCCATGAACTTCCCATAATTTTCTCACCTATGTTTGCCAGGTGATTATAACATATGGCATAAAATATTTTTACATCTTTATATATGAACACATTTCTAAATGAGTAAGTTTGGAAAAATATGTTTTGAGAACAGAAACCCATGATCAGAATGAAACTGAACTTACACTAATTCTTCAAAGTTTTTATTTTATTATATTTTTTGACTTCAAAGTTTTTAAAAAATTCAAAGTAAGTGATTACATTGAAAGGGAGCATATGATGTTAGTGGGAAAAATCTTCAGCTAGGACTTTCATCTCTCTCAATAGCTTGACATTTTATATAAACTTGGGGGGAGTATAATTTAAGCTGAACCTTCTGAGTAAAAGTAGACTTCCGCGTATCTTAATATTATTGCTATATTCTGGATATATTGAACAAAACAGAATTTTTATGTAAATTCATTCAAAGGTCTAGAAGTGCTGCCTAGTAACATTCTAATACATGTACCTATTGCTATTGGGCTGGGAAGGATGGTTCATGCCATGCGTGTGAAGGCCTTGAGAGAGGCTGGAGGTTGACATTTTACTTTAGTTTTTCCCAGGGAATGATTTTGGTTTTGGAAAGAAAAAGTGTTCAAGAAAGAGTATGGAGATATGCTTTCTGGTTGGTTGTACAGGGTGAGTTGGTTGTTCTGCGCTCAGCACTCTGGGTGCCAGGGCCTTAGTAGGTATCAGCGCACAACACACCTCCACTTAACCTTTGACTTCTGTGTCCTATAATAGGAAAGGGGCATTTATAGAATTTATTTAGCCGTGTTTTTTCTTTTTTAAGCAAATATGCCATGTCACCATGTGGTGGAATAAAAGAGACAAAGTGTCATAAAACTTATGTGAGCATCTTATAGAAGATTCAGCACTAAGGCTTCTTAGCACCTGATACAAAGAAATACTCTACACGTGATCTATTACTGGATAGATTCCTAGCAAGTCCTATACATATTTAATTTTTAATAAGATAGAAATGATCTAAGTCTTATTTGATAGTCTAGAGAAGTTCCCTTATTGGCCAGAGTCCAATTGTATGCTCTATGCTATGCAACACAAGAATAGATTTTGAAAGCCTGTGAAATATATAATAAATTCAAGATGATTACTTTTCACTTTCTCTCATGGTCAGGAATATAATGTGGATGATAAAGATCTTTAAATTCTACCCCGATCACAATTACTATTGCAGTGTCATTACCACCATAGTTACTAATCTATGTTTAACAGGTTCAGAGCACTTAGCTTTATAAAGGACTTATTTCTACTGAACGTCAAATTAAGTATCCTGGGATACTCATATCACAAAAATATACCTATAATACAAAAATCATTAGAATTGGATTCTACTGTACAAAAAGCAGAAATATCAGAAATATTATCAACTTATATTTGAGCCACCCCTGAAAAACAGTATATCAAGAAATGTGATTGAGTGTGTCAAAGAGTGATTCATAAATCACTTAAATTCCTTCCTTATTTGCAAATATCAGTTAGAAAATAAGATATGTAACATATATTGGATATCATCGTTTAGAAGTACATTATAGTTCTTTTTCTGAAAATGATGGAGTTCTACACTACTGAGAAGTTCCCTTCATTAAGCCAATATCACAGCACAGATTATCAGATGGAATAAAAACCATTAAAATTTTTTTCCAAATTGTGGATGTAAGATTTTCAATATATTTTTCCCCAGCAGTGAGAATAAAACACTAATTATTTATCAGTGAAATTTGTACATTCATCTATTTATATAAAATGTAAAATCTGGTGTTCTAAGAAAAAACTTAGGAAACTGAAAATACATTTAAATCATATTCACAACGAAGATTAAAACACTGTGATCTAAAATATTACATGCTAATATTAATTAGGACATTATGGACGAATTTCTTAAATGTTAAAATAAGCCTTTGTAGAGATACATGCTTATTTTTTCTTATAAAATTTTATTTGAAAGTACAGTTGCTTTGAATTTATTTGGTAGTTCATTCATTTAAGATGACTGAGTAGTGGATAAGCCAAATATGCAGATGAGGATTCTTATATTTTCATTTATCAGTAGGAACTACTAAAGGAAGAATGTTGATCTCTAAGTGCTAAGCTCTGGTAGTGAAGTAGATATACTGAAGAAGATTCTGGAAAAGTTTATAACCAATCAACCAAAATTGAATGGTACCAAATGGTTCCATTGCCCAATGATAATGGATTGAGAATAATTACCCTGCAACTGAAACCCATTTTTCAAAGAGAAGTAGAATGAATATAATGCCAACCTTTGCCCTTTTAAAGAAAATGCTTCTCTTAAATAGGAGATCTTAGATTACTAGTATTTGCTTTTGTGAAATCCTCCTAAGACTTATTTTCAAGGAGAGGGTTAGGGCACTGGGGGTGCTATCTTGAGGTGGTCTGGCATTGGAACATGAAATGACTGTACAACATCCGATGTTGATGTTATGTTGCTGGCTCTAGATGGTTTATTTCCCATGTCCTAGCCTTGATCTTAATTATTTATTAAAATAATCAATAAATTATGCAACATCATACACTTTTTAAATGTTCAGAAGTACTTACAATATTTTGAAACTAATTCCTTGGTAATTTAAAGTTTTATACTTGGAGGTTAATAAAAAGTTGAAAGAAATACCTAAATACCACCCATAAGAAGAGCACACTATATTATAACTTAACAGAAAATTAAGAAAAGAAATTCACATTATGAGTAAAAAAAGTAGAATAGCCTTTTCTAGTTAACCAGTTCAGGGAGCAAAGTTCCTTTTAGACCAGATATTGAGAAAGATAATTATCTTCAGCCACTAGCTCAAGTGAGATAGTAGAACTGGTACATAATTACCCTAAAACTATGAACTACACATGAGGGCCCCTAATGACCAATGATATTTTCATTCAGTCTAATAAACACTTTAAAATTTTACTCTATTTCTCTTTCTATATTAAAAAATCTCAAGACTTATACAGAATATTTCAACCTAATTACCATGTACTTTGAAATAAACCATTTTGGGATCTATTGATTTTTCTATATATGCATACATACATATGTATATAATCCATTTAATATATACATATATAAAATTAAGCTTTAGAAAAAAATCACATTTCAAAAAACCAGACTTTCAGAAAGCAGGTATTTTATCTATAATATAGGCTCTTATGATACCAATTTTTCTCTTTCAGTATTTTAATTTGAAAATGAAATTCTCAAAATTAAGCATTAAACTTTTATGCCAGTACCCATAAGGAAAATTAAGTTATATTGACTTGACTTGTCACTCAAACTTGGAAGCATTACATGTAAATCCCTTGCTTTGCAATAAAGATGATGTTCTTAATGATCTAATATCAGCTATTATCTTACTCCAAGCTCCCCAGTGTTCTACTAATATGCTAAATGTCTTCTTACCTTGTTGGAACTTAAGCTGTGGATTCTATCACTCGAGTAGCTGTGGGGTATTGGAGGGTCGGGGTAGTCCTCGGCGCCTTTGGCTGTGTTCCTCTTCACGACTTCTACATAGGAAACAGGGAAGATGCCTTGTCTGTTGGTTCCTGGGATTTTACCTTCATACCAGTTCTGATCAACTCTTTTGAGAAGAATAACTCTGTCTCCCTGTAATGAACATGAGGAAAATGCATTGTAAGTAGGGAGGTGACAACATCAGAAATATAATTGCCAACGTTTTCTAACAAACAATAGTTTTTCATTTGGGAGAGTGTTATACCTCCAGTTTTATTTAGTCAGGAGAAGGCAACTAAAGTCTCAGTTCATTCCCAAATTATAGCTGATCAACATATATGCCATTTAGTCACCCATGCACGACATCTTTCCCTAAGGGTGCTTGGTTAATGTGAATGGGCTCATGCGTGTTCATACTGGTTCCGTGTGAAATGACTTGTGTAATGTCAAAAAGCAGAACGGTTTAATAGGCAATGTCTCCTAGACAGCAGCATCCTGCCATGGACAGTCCACAGAACGAGCTTCCACAGGAAGGAAGAGCTTCTGACAGGTCACTCAGCTCTGTGACGGCGTGCCTGAGGTGGTTGCAGGAACCAGCCTCCGGGAGGGATGAAGTTGAATGGCACACCGTTTTTCTTTTTACCCTACACATGCTAACTAGTAACAAAGGGTGAAGCCAATGGGGTGGCGCCAAGACAGCCCTCGTGTTAATCCACGTCTGTGGCCAGGGCCGACACCCACCTGGTCTGCATGCAGACGGCCTCACACCGGCATCCATGCTGAGTGATGGATCGCCATGCCACAGTGGCCATTAAGCCTGTTTATAGAGCCCCTGGCTTTTGGAATAATAGAACTTTCTACAGTCACTATTCCTGCCACCTGCAGTGATCAAGCCAATGCCACAAAACAGTTTAAATTTTAACTCGAAACCACACGTGGCCCAGAAATAAACGGGCAAGATGTGGTTCGTCCAGTGCAGTGGTTCTCGACCTTGGCTGCACATTAGAATCACCTGGGGATCTTTTGAAAATCCTGATTTCTGGGCCTCATCCTCCGGAAATTCTGTTTCTTTGTTACTAATGTTGTGGCCCCACCCCATAACCAAGAAACAGAATTTCCGGAGGATGAGGCCCAGAAATCAGGATTTTAAATAGATTCCCAGGTGATTCTAACGTGCAGCCACGGTTGAGAACCACTCGGTTAGACACTAAAACTCCGTGCAGCTGCATCCAGCAGATCATGCAGAAGTTTGGGCAGCTGCACCTGCGAGGACGAGAGAGGCGACTGACACAAGGTCAGAGCTTCAGCACCGTAGGGAGGCCTTTGTCAGGGCTACTCGAAGCGAAAGCTTGCTTTTCGCAAATGCTGGGTGGTTTATACAAACTGTCCCCCTGCCACAGAGCAGGACGTACCAAAGCTAAGTGGCTCTCCCTGCATCTTAAAATTGCACTGCTTTTCTCTGTAACACACCAGCACGAGGCTGATGCCAGGCTACTGCTCGAGCTATAAGTGCATTGGCGGAAGCTTCGATGGAAAGTATGAAACAAGCTGATACAGATGCTGTGCGGCAGCTTGGAGGGTAGGAGAGAATCTGTCGATGGTGCAGACCCAGGTCTCACAGGGGAGGAGGAGGCGAGGCTCTGGAGCCAGGAGGAGGACAGGGGTCCTTCCCTGTATTCACCGCAGGCAGGAGGCGCTCTTGGCCCGCCCGCGTGTAACCACGGTCTAGTCTACGTGGTGGGCAAACATACAGGTGCCTCAAGCAAACGGACACGATTGCTTAGCAAACACCGAAAACCATCATGGAACCATTCTCAGCTGTGTAAAGCAGCGAGGTAGCGTGCTTTCCCTACTGCTAGGAAGAGGCACTAGGATTGGCTAGGCTTCCAGTGAAACAGGGGGTCAGTCATGAGGCCTAGAGAAGGAAAAATGCTCCCCAGGAAGAAACAGCTTCATGACTCCAAGATAAACATATTAATTAAAATTTAAAGAGAAACGGAAGGAGAAGGGAGCAGAAGAACAATCTTTTGCAGTCTATTGAAGTGCTTTTCCTTTTGATGCCTTTCCACAAGTTCAACTCCATGGTGCTCAGGCCGAGGCACCCCTGGGAAGGGAAGCCCCTCTGAGAAGCTTTGAGTCTCACAGGGACCTCATCTGGACACTAGGAGGGGCAGGAAACAGTGGCCCAGGGAGTGCTCTGTCCTTTCTTTACGGAAAAACACAGACATGTCTAAGGAGGATGACAGCCTTTGAAAGGCACCAGGTCAGAAGGCAGCCCGGGTACCTTTCTCAGCGACAGCTCCACGTTGGTGTCCGCGTTGAAATTGTATTTGGCGATAGCTTCTCCGATTTCTCCAGGCTGGGCTGGGGGCGGCGGCCTTGCGGGCTGTGCTTTCTCAGGAGGTGAGAGTTTCTAGGAGGAAAACAGTTGTTTATTCCTGATCCACGAGGACTTTGGGATGAGCACCCATGTGAGAGGGCCGGGAGAGGACTTACCTCCACGTAGGAGATGGGGAAGATGCCCACTCGCCCGTGGTGCTCTCCCTCGTACCAGTTCTGGTCGATTTTCCTGAGGATGTAGACAGTGTCTCCTTTCTTAAACGACAGCTCCCTGGGAGAGACATGCTCAAATGGGTTTTTCTTGATGAAGAGCAATTATTCTTAAGGTCACTAGACCTGCATTCGGCCGGGAAATATACTTCTGATACTTAAACCATTGTACGCCATAAGCATTTACATAGACCAACTTTAAGATTTTTTTTTTCTTTTGGTGAGAATTTTCAGCTGAAAATATTCCAGAACACCTGAATTGTAATATATCTATTTTTATAATATTCATTGCAAATTTATTTTTTAAAATTAAATTAAAAATATTGTGGCGTGTGGGGATGGCTTCCGTTTGGATGTGTGGCCGTTATAAAAAAATCTGTCGAGCCCAGTCGGATAAGGATTTGCCTTACAAATTCTTAGGATTTGCTCACAACATTATATACCTTTGGAAATGTGATTTTACCTCATTTTCCTGTTTAACAATGGAGACATTACATTGGAGGAATTACATAGCTGTATTTTTTAAAATTAAATACATTTCATGTATTAGGTAAATAAAAATAGCTTTTAAAATAGATATTTATTTAAAACAGGTATCCATCTCTTGCCTGTTAGATGTTAGGCACGAAAAGCGCTCCTGTCTGGGCATTAATGGAAATGGCTTAAAAATGAGGCTAGCCCTTCTGTATCTTTCAGTGCTGGCTGGGTGTGGGAGCCTCTGAAAGTTGCCCGAGTTGGCCGAAACCTTGACTTTTGTTGCAAATAGGTCATTGTACAGGGATGATGAGCAACAGCTCTACGTATATGAGAGCAGAGCAGAGCAAGAGGAATGGGATGAAGCTGCAATAGGATATATTTATTTATGGTGGGAGGGGAACAGTTTTCTCTTCCTAAAATTATGGGATGGCTTCCATGGTGACTATTTAACCTGCTTCTCTGAGACGTACACCATTAGGCTTAGTTGGATTAGGAAGAGCTTTATGGGAGGGGTGGTGCGGGCAACCCTTAAGTCTGTGCTGTTGATGCTCCCATGGGTGGCTGGTGGAAGAGCAGGCTTCCCCGAGCCTTTGCTAACCTTGGACTGTCACAAAGAAGAAATGAAATTCACGTGTTCTGTATCATTATTTTATAAAACCAATATGCATCCTCCAATTGTCACACTATATTCAAAAATCAGTAGTAGTGAGGACCATAGTATAGTAGACACAAAGCGGATGTTACTTCTCTAATAATTTTAAAAATGTAAGCTTTTCTTTTAGGAATTTTTTTATTAACACCAGATTTAAGCCATGTTCAACATCTTAATTTCTAAATAGCATTTTTGTTATTTGGTTCATTCCCTATCTCAGCAGCCTTAGCCAATTCTGAATGATTTTATTTTCTCTCTGTCTTCTACTAGAGACAGACTCTGGAACAATTAACTTATATAATATGCATTTTCATGAATAAATATTTGAGTTATTGTATATATTCAGTCTAAACCACGCAGTGTAATTTTCGGCCAATTTACAATGAATTTAATATCTTGAATTCTGATAGAGACTGAAGTTTCTTAAATAAGGTCCGGGCACATGGGCCACTGAGAGGCGGCAGACTCCCTCCCATTTGAGCCAACTCATGTACCTAGTACCTGTACTGACTTTCCTCAACCACATGCCCATCTGATGAACAAGAGTCTAAAGAAAAAAGGGAAAGAAAGTATTGCAACACAGGAGTACGACAACACCAATATCAAAGGCCACAGGAGAGAATGTTGCTCAGACTTGCTGAGCTTTTTTTTTTTTTTTAAACAACAACAACAACATATTTTTATTGATTTCAGAGAGGAAGGGAGAGAGAGAGAAATAGAAACATCAGTGATGAGAGAGAATCATTGATTGGCTGCCTCCTGCATGTCCCCTACTGGGGATTGATCCTAAAACCCGGGCATGTGCCCTTGACTGGAATTGAACCCAGGACCCTTTAGTCTGCAGCCAACGCTCTAGCCACTAAGCCAAACTGGAATCGCTAAGCTTTGAGTGTTGATACATGGAGATTTTATGGTGGGAATCTGTGCACAGTTCTAGTCTTCAACCCCGCAAACTATCCTTGATTTAGTTGGATAAATAAATGTTATCAAATTCTCCCAGGAAGTGTTAATTACTCCCCAACTCTTTATTTTTACTTCATCTTGACATGAAAATTCGAGAAACAAAGATGCTTAATTTCTTTTTTTGTTTTACCTACCCATTTGAATTCATTGTGCTGTAATATGTTTAGTATAGTTTAAAACTCAATGATTCTCAACTAAACTCAAAATGAAAATAAAATTACCCACATTCCAGTTAATTCAGAAGGAACCATTTAATTAGAGTGGATTGCTGCATTATTTGAACATGTCCCATTGCAATATTTATCTCTTAAAGTATTATTAAAGTGTATATAGCCAACTTAAATCATATGATGAACTTATCTTACTTACTTAGATGTCTGAGCCTTAAAATCATAAACAGCTTTTGCAGGCAATTTCTGGAAAGGAAGAAAAATGATTAGCACTAACTTAAAATTTTGGGTTTCCTATAAGAAAGCAGTTTTATAGGAATTAAAGAGGAGTGAAACCTCAAGAAATGATTAAAAATATGTAATGTAAATTCTATATGCAATTTATGAATAAATCAATCATTTAGATGCTTAAGCTATAGCAGGAATATAATAGATAGCTTATTCACCATAACTACTGAAAGTCATATTTCAGCTTAGCAACTAAGGTAGATAAATGCCATAATAGGGGAATAAAATGTCTGCAGAGGATTCTGTCCCAGTTATAATTTTGGCTGTAACCAAGGCATTTCCTGGGATAATTGTGGAGTCAGTTATCTATGTCTTATGTATTGGCACAGCTCTTTCTGAATCGTAATAAAAAGACTGGTGAAAGTTGGGAAGGAAGTCATCATCCCTTTTTCTAAACACTTATGAACATAGTAGCAGAGAAACATTAGCCCAGTTATCGCTGGGAGGTTGTTTAGTGGCCAACAGTATAGGCTGGATGGTCTTGCATTCCCCGGAAGGTTCAGGAATTCTTCAGCACATGGTACACCGGCTGCTCATCTTTTAGTCATGACATGTGACGTGTGCTTCCCATCAAACCGTGGGGCCCATGGATCTGACTGGGGCACCGGTAAGCTAGCTACTCCACCTCTTCCTTCCCTACTTCGCAATGAGTCCCTCACCCCACTCTTTCCCCTGTGATTCAGGCAGCCTGGACCATTCTTGACTTCTTTTGGCGGGGAGTCCCACGGGCACAGGACTTTAACAGACACCTACAGAGATACTCCTGGAGGGGCTGCCAGTCCAAGACCAGCCTTCAGACCCCACCAGACCCTTATGACTCCAAGGTAGTGTGAGCCAGAGCTCCAGGCCTGGCTCAAGGCATTGGTCAAGAGCTAGTAGGTAGGTGGTTCCCAGGGACAGTGTTGTTTTTTTTTTTTTAAATTCTTTATTGTTGAAAGTATTACATATGTCTCCCTTTTCTCCCATTGACCTCTCCCAGCCTGCTCCCGCTCCTGCACAGGCCCTCACCCCCCTATTGTCTGTGTCCATTGGTTATGCTTATATGCATGCATACAAGTCCTGTGATTGATCTCTTACGGGGCAGTGGTTTTTGAGGGACCCTCACCAACAAAAGCAGGCCAGCAACAAATATCTATATAGCCTTTGTATTGTTCTGCAAAATGGTTGACCTAGGGCTCTCCCTACATCACTGGGCCAGGAGTTTGCAGATGCTTTTAGACCACGACTGCCCATTCATGGGTGTGAGGTCCAGATGCACAGAGGTCTCATTGCCACAGCTGGGCTGCAGCTGGAGCCGATCTGCAGCTGGGGTCAGAATGCAAACTCTCCAGTCCTTTGCTCGGGCTCCAGGGAAAACGTTCTAAGTTTCTCTATTGTCATTTTTATGTTTTTAGTCTGTGTTCTTCACTGGTTTTGGATGTAACTTTGACTGGCAACGTTTTCAGGTATCTTACTGACAAAAACTTAAATGCTATTGAACAAACTACCTCTTTTTCTGGAGTTCCTCTTCTGTCCCTTGGTGCATTCCTCCCCAAGTCAGCCACAGTGGACGCGTAGCTTCTAGGGGACTCGCGGTCTATTGGAAAGGACAGGGTGAGAGTGAGTACCCACCTATTCAAAGCAGACGTGTTTAGCTATTTTTCCTGGTGACAACTATTTCCCCCCTTAAAATATGGAGAGACACCACAATGGAGAACATGGGTATGAAACTCATAAGGAATCATACAGTTGTGACATTAGACATAAAAACAGAGCATTTCAAAAGGAAAATTACCTGAGGTTGCAGAAGTATTATAGTCGTACCTATAAATATAATTGTTGCACTGCTGATATAATTATACAGCATCCTCCAGGCCAGAAAGTTCATAGTTGCAGGAATTTTTCATCTCGAAGAATTTCAAATATTTTCTATTCTTTTTGCCTTCAACTTATAATGACTATTTTAAGGCCTATAGAAGATGGACATTTTGTGGAGCAACAATTTAAGAATGTAGTAAAGAAAAAGAAAGTATGATGATGACATAACTATGATCATGTCCATTCTCTCCCTCTCTCTGTTTTTAAATATTTACTGAGACTTGACTTGGGCCTTATTTCTGTTCTTAGCTTGTGCTCAACTTAGCTTATCAGGAAGTAAATATTTATTCCAAGAAACAAAGGGATAAATATTCTCGAAATAGAAAGTATCACGTCTGTTGCCAAATTGCTTATGAAATAGTGAATTGTTTTTGTTCCCCTTAAAGCAAAGTCTAAATAATTAGTTACTTTACAGAATTATGATTGCAAGTATCTCTTAATAGTTATCTTATACTTTACACATTTATATGTGGAAATGTAACTCAAAGTATTCCAGTAGCCTATGTTATAAAATTTTACCAGTATAACTGGGTCAAAATTTGTAAATTCTTTCTCTTGTCCCTTTAATAAATGTAGTTATGTTGAATAACAAGATGCAGTAACTGTGAAATAAATCCATCTGTGAGGATGAGAAATACCGATTTATAAAAAGAAAACATGGTCTAAAGGTTTTGACGGCTTTGATGACAAGGAAGAATTGTCCACTGATAGTAGGTGGGATGTCAGTTCCATGACAGATAAAGATAAATGCCTAACTCTCCGTGAGGTGTGGAGTCTCTAGGCTTAGGAAGGTAACATGACAATAATATTTCAGGTAAACTTAACCAGTTATTTTCGTGAATGCTAGAGGTTTATGTGCAGTATTTTTTCACTGTAAATTAGCATATTTTTATGATCATAGGGCTCTCATAGTGATCATAAATTTTATATTACTTTTGCTAAACACAACTGGAAAAGTAAATATTTGAATAAAATACAAAATACCCTTTAAATGCATTGCAAAGCCCTCTGAACTCATGCCTTACTGATAGTACGTACTCTATACTGTTGAGTGGTGATTAAACTAGGATTTTGAATAACTGGAAAAGGTAGCTAATTTATTTAAAAAATTAGATGCTGACAGGGCTCAGTTGGTGAGAATTTCAAATTGTAGAAATTGATTTTGAAAATGCTAATTTGTTGTTTTTGAATCATGTTGCATAGTATAAGTAGAGCAAAGATAAATACTAATAATATAGTGAAGTTGTGCAATGAGAATTAACAAGTGAGCCATATGCTACATTAATATGAAGCTTGAGTTATGTCTTTTTTTTGCCTAGAGATATAGTCTATATTACAAATTCTGAAGTGTTAGGGGTTTAAATCTGTTAGTGCTACCTTCTCTCGACATGCTCTTGGTCAAGTTTATTGTCCTCTCTGGATCTCCGTTTCCTTCATTGTAAAACAGTGCCTATAATAATCCCTATCACCCAGGCTTATGCCAGTGTTCACTGGATAATGTATGTGAAACATTATGCAATGTCGGGTATAATGTCTGGTGATCCAACTTCTTAAAATCTACATAGAAAACAGTTGCACCTTAAGGATTAATGAAAACAACTGTATAAAGATATCAAAACACTTTGTGCTTTTCAGTTCTGTAAACCTCAAAAAAACATTTTCTGCATCTGAATTGCTATCTGTCCTTGTGTTGCCAATTCAAGGTGATAATCCATCCATGAAAACAGAGTTGAGAGTCACGCTTAACTTAAATGGCCTAATTCTAATGTCAATAGAGGATTATTGTAGCAGAAATAGAAAATAGATAAATTAAGCAATGGAATGGAAGAGAAAATGAGTACACGGAGTGACGGAAATGAGACTGTGATATATATACAGCTTAAAGATACATTCACAAAAAATTTACCCTAATTGTGCCCTTCAAGTGGAGAAAGTTATTACACAAATCCTAGTCTCTTGTAATCACCCATCAATTACTTTGCTACATATTTCAGTTTTGCTTCCTAGAGTATTTTGCTGTAGTACGTTCTATATAGACTATAAGCAAATTACTTATCGAGTGAATGACTACAAAGTTTTTAAAAAATCAAGGAAAAAATTAGTCATTAAACTATTGCTTTTGATTCATTTCCCAACAATAAAGGAGCTAGTGCAAAGGTGTTAATCTCTTAAGGAGACCGCTAGTCAATTACGGGTTGCCTTGATATCTTTTAAAATTGGTAACGTGTTTAATTTCTTGTTGTGTTGTAACTAACAGTCGTCTCAACCCTAACATCAAGCTACAAAACCATTTTCCCTTTCAATTTCGAATGAGTAAATTTTTGTGAACTGGTGATCACGTCCAGCCACACACACCACGTCCAACCATCACACGGAAAAATGAGAACTACGCGGTGAGGGACGTGTGCACAGCAATGGTGCCAGGTGGGCTCACAGCTCAGGAGTGATGAGATGCGGGGATGGAAAATGACAGAGCTGGAGGGTGGGTATGTGAACCACAAGGAGAAACAAAGAAAGGTTCGTCCACCTGGCAGACCCAGGGCACTGTCGTGGTCTGGGTGGTAGTTGCTATTGGTGTCCATGTCTTGGAGAGAGGCACTGTGGGGCATCCTCCCACAGCCGTTCTGGTACCACGGGCAGTGGGTAGCACCGTCTTGGGGCAGCGGGTGGCAAGGCTGGGGCATGGGGCTCCTTCTTAGAGCTCTCAGCGAGGAGTTCCTCTCGGGGACGTCCGGCAGCAGTTCACTGATCAGACGGTGCAAAATACTGTTGTCGGGCAAACTCCCCCTTCTCTTTTCAGCCTTAATTTGGTCACAAATGTCTTTAAGGGCGGAGTCCAGAGCCTCGAATACGGCGGTGTTGCATGTTGCCTTTTCCGTCTGTTTTTGGGGCGGCGAATGCTTTTTCCTCCGGAAAGGCACGGGGCTGACTAGAAAGGCAAGTTTCGAGAGGCCGGCGTCCGGGTCATGTCTTCTGGGCTCTTCGGGAGGCTCATGTTTCGCTCTTTCGTGTTTTCGCATCGTGGTGAACCGAGTGTAAGAGGCCGGGCACCGGCCTTTGCAGGAGCTGACGAGGTGCCGGTGGTGGTGGTGGTGGTGGTGGTGGTGGTGGTGGCTGGACCCATAGAAACTTTCCGAGGAGGTGAACGAAAAGTGGTCGAAGTCGCTCTCGCTGCAGAAGGACGAGCCCTCGACGTGCATGCAGTCGCTGTGTTCGGACACCACCCCGTCTTGGTCGCTGTCCGAAAGCTCCAGATGGGTTCTCGGCGGCTCCTCGCTGGTGACCTCAATGTGGATGGGCACCAGGGTTTTGGACGTGCAGCTCCGTGGTCCCGGACAAGGGTGCCTGCCCGGGTTGTCTTCCTCCAGCAAGGACTCGATGGAGAAGCGCCTGGTGGGGCCCAGCCCGTGGTGCTGGGGCTCGAGGACCGCCGGGGACAGCATCTCCTCCCCCAGGTTGGGCATGGATTTTGACTTCTGAATCAACTTTTCGAACTCCGAGATGCGGGTGGGGACCATGTCCCTGGGCACCTCGTCGGCGGAGGACTGGCTCCATCCGTGGAGCAGGCCCGGGGCGTGCGGCTCCTGTTCGTACTGCAGGACCCTCGACCTCACGGAGCACATCACCTCGGAGTTCAGCAGGTCCTTGCGGTTGATGCGGTGCATTTTCTTGTACATTTTCAGGAAGCCCGGGGCGTTGTGGGCTGAGCCGTGGCGCAGCCGGGACCTGCCGGTGGCCCTGGTCTCCTGGAGGAAGGAGGATGCCCACGGCACCGGGCAGCCCTCCTGGGCGTCCTCTTCGCAGAGCAGAGAGCCCATGCTCTCCGACTTGGCTTTGGGGTCGGGGAAGCCGCCGCAGTCGTCGTTCAGGAGGTCATCGCAGCTGCGGGACTTGATTTTGGGGGACACGGCCTCCTCGGTGCTGCTCCAGACCTCGGCGTTCTGCCGGGCCATCTGCCAGCCGTTTTTGAAGGCGAGGGCCCGCTGCGAGTCGCGCGGGACGTCCAGGTGCTGTCTGTAAGGGGGACAGTCATCGACCTCCTGGCAGGGGCGGCCGCGGGGCCCTGAGCAACTGCAAAGGGGTGCACACATTTTGCTATCATCCCCACCTTTTAATCCGGAGCAGCGTGGTGGGAGAGAGACGTGTGAAGAGGTTAAAAGTTTCACAGAGAGGAGAGCAGGTCAGTTAGCATCAGACAGACAGGCAGCAAGAGAAGGCAGCGGGTTTAACATAGACACATTGTTACCCTCGAAGCTTCACTTCCAGAGAAAACAGTCTAATTCTAAGGCACGATACTGCGTTTGCAGCGAACGTAGCTTTAAAGATAGATATTAGAGTTGACAAAACCATGTGTAAAACGTCATTGGTGTAGCTAATACGACCAATAGCTATTAAGACCTATTTCTGCTTCTATTGAATACTTCGTACATCTTTCTGCAAATGTTATTTGCCTCAAATATAATATAGTACCTTATATGCTAACAGCATGTCCTGGTAGCAATGTAAAGGTTTAATAATTAATGCCCCAAATGATATGGATAATCAAGTTAATAGGGTCAGGATTTGAGTCTCATTTGATGTATACTAGTAGAAAGGGAAAGCGTGATTTATAAATTTACATTTAATTAAAACTCCCACAACTGTATTAGTTAATTTTCCATGGGCACTAGATGGGAAAAGCTATAAGACAAAGTATTTTCCGAAATGACAGCATCAAGATGCTGTGAACTATGGCTGCTAACCTTTTCCCGAGAAGAAAAAATAACTAGTGTGTCTTTAAACAAAACTACCTTACGTCTTTACTAGCTCTACCTAGAACCTTTTGGTAGCCAGGATGTCATGAGCATGGCTGGATATATATAATGTAAAGCTCTCACCAGAGGTAAAAGGCATCCTGCTTTTCCCCAGGGAGGGTCTTTTTAAAGCCTCATGTACCATTTGATAACAGAGAGCTCAGCATGGCCTCAGTTTGGAACATGTATGGGAAAACGCTTTTCTTTTGCCTGGCTGAATTAACTAGTAAGTGAGAGGCCAAGTCCATCTGACGAGGCCTTTTCTTCTTAGAAATAAACCTAGTGGAAGAAAATAACTCTGTTGAGCTCCTGCCTTGCAATCTTCCCAAATTCTTGGAAAGTGAATAAGCACATAAAAAGCAGACAGGTAGTATTTGGGAAAGGAGGTTGGCTTTACACTCCCCAGGAGGAAAACAAGTAGCTAAATCAATCAATTCTTTCAGCTTCCGGGTGGTATCCAAGCATAAAGACTCTAGGGCATTTCGTGACCTATGTGTTACCTTAAGATATTCACTTGCATGATGAGCTGACTCTGATAAAGGCAACCTTGCTAATTTGAGGACAGGATCAAAGGGCCCCCCCTCCCCCTAGAACCTACTGGTTAGTTTTCACAGCTTTATTAGGATACAGAGCAGAGCTGGTGTCTTCTGTCTATCCAGACTCTAGGCATCAAAACCAGCCTGTCTTTTGCACGCAAACCAGCTCCCTCTCACCTTTAACTACCACGTGGCCACACTTTTAGTGCCTGCATTTGATAGACGTGGCGGAATCGGTGCTATTTCACGGAAACTCCTGTGAGAGGCGGCTTTCTTCACACATTTCAGATTCCTTCTCAGTTCTGTCTCAACCCCAGGAGGCTGGGGGAGACTGTGGAGCCCCAGATTTGGTACAGACCCAGGTGCCTAGCGACACTGGTTCAATCCCCAGGCTCCGCCTTAGCCATATCCCCGTTACGGTGGCACTAGTGCACGCAACAGGATTCAGGGGCTGGAAGGAGCAGCTTGCCCCCTCTCAGCACAACTCGCTGAATTTCCGGAGAGGAGACAGGTCATATGGAAAAAGGGCTTGGTGGTGTCTAGGTTTTACAATTATGGCTGAAAACCAGTTAGTTCTTACCACCGTGTCGCTGTGGATTGAACGCTATATTGATGGATAGTCTACTGTATATATGCATATTGCCCAAAATATAGAGCAGACGATTAAAGAAATGACTTCACAGGTTAGGCAGATTTTATCTAGAATTAAATAATAATTTTAAAAAAACCCGATTTGTTTTAGGCAACAATGTTCTCTGTTGCTACTTCTAATTCCAATTCTATAAATTTGATGAATTTTGCTAGTTGTAGAACATTAGAAAAATTTGATAATATGCACATGTTTGTAAACGTAATCCTTTAATAGCCTGCCAATAAATTGATACTTTGAGTTTGAGTTTGTTCCCACCCCCCCAAAAAACACCCCAAAATGATATATTTGGAAGGAAAAAGGCATTAATAGATGATAGACTCCTTTACACCACTTGGGTGGCTCAACCTGAGTTAGTTTGTGTAGGAAGAAAGCTATTGTTCCAAAAGTTCATTTAAATGCTCTCTCTGGATAGTTATCCCTGGACCAGCTTCACAGGGAAATCCAGCTTAAAACATGCACTAGTAACTTGTTTACACTTCTATTCATGGCTGTTTACCTTTTGCTCTGGATGGGGAGGAAGGGGAAGAACTAATGAAAGACTGGGTCAGGGTGGCGCTCGATCCCGGGAGGTCCGCCCGGCCGGGGCTGGTCCTGCTCGCCCTTGGGTCCCCCAGACCCCTTGGCTGCCCCACGGCTGGCTCGCTCTTCCTCCTTTTCCTGAAGTCACTGGCCAGGCCTGCAGAGCTGCAAGAAGGAATCACTGCAGTGTGGTTGGTGTTGGAGGGGGTTAACGTGAACCAGAAAGACGGGTGGGATATGCTAGCAACAGTGTTATAACTCTTCTTCCCCCCTCCCCCAACTGCATTTTTAGGAATTTATTCCTTGATATTAAACACTATCCTATATAATAAAAGGGTAATATGCAAATTGACCCTAATAGCAGAATGACTGGGATGACCGGTCGCTATGACGCGCACTGACCACCAGAGGGCACATGCTCAACACAGGAGCTGCCCCCTCGTGGTCAGTGCACTCCCACAGGGAGAGCTCTGCTCAGCCACAAGCTGGGCTGATGGCTGTGAGCGGTGGCGGGAGCCTCTCCGGCCTTCGCAGTAGTGCTAAGGGCTCCCAGGCTGTCAGAGGGATGTCTGACTGCCAGCTTAGTTAGGCCCGATCCCCTGGGGAGCAGGCCTAAGCTGGCAGATGGACATCTCCTGAGGGCTCCCAGACTGTGAGAGGGCGCAGGCCAGGCTGAGGGACACCTTCCCTGCCCCCCCCCTTCCCCCCCACCCCCCAAGTGCATGAAGTTTTATACATTGGGCCTCTAGTTTCTTTGTAATTGTCACTTAAAAAATAGACTATTTTTAGAGCAGTTTTAGGTGTCTGGAAAAGTAATTGGAAAATATAGAGAGTCCCACATATACCCTTGCATACAGCTTCCCCTATTATTGACATCCGTTATTAGTGTGGTACATTTGTCACAGTTGGTGAACTATATTGTAATATTATTATTAAATGTAATTAAAGTCCACAGTTTATATAGGGTTTATGTGTTTTGTTGAGCATTCTATCAGTTCTGACCAACGTGGGACATGTGTCCATCACTACCACATCCTGTAGAATAGTGTCATGTCCCCCCTCCTTGGACATCTCCATGCTCTACCTCTTCCTCCCTCCCTCCCGGACACCTGGCAACCACTGATCTTTTCACTGTCCACAGGGTTTTGTCTTTTCTGGAATGCCATACAGTTGGAACCACCAGGATGTAGTCTTTTCAGATTGGCATCATTCATTTAGCAATATGCCTTTAAGATTTTCTCCCATCTTTTTTTTCTTTTTGGCTGATAGCCCATTTCTTTTTATTGTTGAATAACATTCCCTTATGTGGTTGTGCCACAGTTTGCTTACCCATTCAGCTACTGAAGGGCTTCTTGGTTGCTTCAAATTTGGCAATTATAAACAAAGCGGATTTTTGTGTGGATATGAGTTTATAATCACCTTCTTAAAAAAGTTTTTGTAAAAATCCTCACCCGAGGATATTTTCCCCCACACTGATTTCTAGAGAGAGTGGGAGGGGAGAGAAACATCGATGTGAGAGAGGTACATTGACTGGTTGCCTCCCACAGGGGCCCCTACCGGGGCTGGGGAACTTGCAACCAAGGTAGGTTCAATTCCTTGACCAGGAATCAAACCTGGAACCCTTCGGTCTGCAGACTGACACTCTAACCACTGAGAAAACCAGCCAGGGCTATCACCATCTTTTAAAGTGAAAATTCTCCAATTAGTGTAATACGTTATGACTGACAATTCAGTCTGATGCTTTGTATTGTCTACCTGTTCCCTATAAGGAAGTGTCCCAACAACACAGATCATCCAGAGGAGGGGGCCAGGATGCAGGGAAGGACTGGGAAAGAGGCCGACACCTGATGAGACAAACTTCTTACCTCAGGGCTTCCCTATGGCTCGTCCTAATAATCTTAGTAATTAAAAAATTACACTGCAACCCCAATATTTCCTGTTTAAGTAATCAATGGCTAGTGATTTGGTCAGCAAGTAGACTAGTAAAGTGTCCTTTCACTGTTCGTATTCAATGGTGTCAGTGGTTTTAATGGCAGGATGTTTTCCTCACGGTTCTCGGTCTGAGTATGTAACTCAAGACAGTGAGCGGAGATACACATCACATAGCCCGCTGTCTGCCACATCGTTAGCTACAGTGGCATGAGCAGTGGCAGCTAAAGCACAGCAGCCCGTAGGAGGCAGCCGAGTGCTGTCTGCTGTACTGACAGGTGGTCTTACCCAGCCCACAGGGTTATCACGGTTTATCAGTGGGTAAATGGAGCACGCTGGCTCTGCAAGCACAGAGGCAGAGCAGACCTCAGAATCTGCCCGCACTCCTCCAAAGAGGGCGCCCCATCTTCTCCTAGACCTGTTTTGCTGTCACCAGTCTGTCATGTGAGGGTCTGTGTGTCTACAGCAATCCTCACGCCAGATCAGAACTCTGAAATTCAAACATTTTAGGTGCAGGTGTGGATAGAAAAAGACACAAAAAGAGGGACTGGGGAGCTCCTTTCTTAGTGACATTCATGTCATTGGATGGCACTCATGAACCCAGTTTACAAAGTCTTCTACTTATGTTGAGAGAAATCTAGTGAAGGGCAAATTAATGTTATGAAAATACTAGAGTCCCGGTGCACGAAATTCGTGCATGGGTAGGGTCCCTAGGCCTGGCTGGCGATCAGAGCCGATCAGGGTCTTCTAGCTGCCTGCCAAGGCCTTCCTTCGTTCCACACCGCCTCCTGGTGGTCAGTGCACCTCATAGCAAGCAATCAAACTCTGGGTCTCCTGGTCGAACTTTCAAGGGGACAATTTGCATATTAGGCTTTTATATACATAGATGTGTTGTTGATGATAAAGTGTGGCTGGTAGTTTGAATTATTCAATACTGCTGTCAAACTGTGTCTGAATTTCTGTAATATTTTAAAGTATGATATACAAAGCCCACAGACAGAACTTACACCAGCAGACTTTTAAGGCAGGGCTAGTGGTTGGTTACAAGCTATTTTGGGTCAGTTTTACTTTGTCTCTGCTCCTTGTCAAGTGAGTAAACTTAGTAAGTTATGGAGCCTAAGTGTCAGCATACTCAGAGATAAAATGGGGATAATGGTACTTAAGTCAGAGTGGTGTCTTAAGGACTGAATATGCTTATGTACTTAGAATGCTTGGTATATAGTGTAAGTCCTTATTTATTGGTCGTAACATAATTCTCATTTGTGTGGTAAGAGTATAATGAACACATGTGTTTTATAAAATTTTTCAAATATACAGGGATAGGCAACAATAGTTTTCAGGTATGGATACGCAAAATAGTTTGTTCTGTGTTACTATTTATTCTTGTGCTATTTATTTGTATTATAACTGTCAACCTACTTTTGTCCACCCCTATATTAAATGCATCATATAACAGTATTGAAAATTAGCTGTTTATAATCCCCATTTAAAGATATGGTTATAGAGGAGACAGGGAAGAGGAGAATTTCTCAGTCTGTGAAGGAGTCCAGAAATATTTCACTTGATTTTCATAAATTCTTGAATATGATCATATAAAATGATGCAGAAACAAAACAACTTCATGAAGTGTGCTACATAAAATAAAAACATGATACATAATCCTCATTGCTGTTTAATGGAAAGAGAAAGCACTGGTATACAATATTCCAGTTGCATAATGTAATAACATTCTTACCTACTGGGTCTTTCCAGGCTTCTGTCTATAGAGGATTGATACAAGGAGGCCTGTTAAGATAGAAGAATAGGACCGTGAAAAAATTGTATTTTGCCCATGAACATTAAATTAGGTATGCTAAAAAGGATATTGCCAAAGTTGAGATTAAAAATACCATTTATTATGATCAGAAAAATGTCTCCCCTAAAAGAAATCACGCCACAGGGTTTCTACTTTCTCCCCATCTATTACTTTCTCTTCTGACTTACTGCACTGTATTGCTCTGTTTTATTCAAATTACAACCTAAACCCTGCCTGGGAGAAAAAAAGAAAATTCAATCAATGTTTCTTATATTGGAAATCGGCTATAAATAGAAATTTCCTACATAAAGGAATGGTTTGAAGATTTTTTAAAAAACTTTGTAGTCATTCAATCCTTATAAAGCATAAACTGTTTAAAAATAAATTTTTGTCATGTTGCAGGTGTTATCTTTAAAACCTAAAATTTAAGCAGAACTTGAGACATCTTTCATCTGTCAACATAGACATAACGTTTTAATAAAAACCACAGAACTTGGCTTGAAATTAAACTAAACTACTGGTACGCAAATCAGGTACAGATTATCACATCTTTCAAATAGTTAACTATCTTTCAGGTTAGTTTATAATAAATGATTTAATGACCCAATATATAGCCTTAAAAAAAGTTGACCTTTAACATTTTGATCATAAAATCAACGCTCAGTTGTCCATGGTTGGAGGAACTAAAAACTGATAAATAATTCCAAATGCTTATTATATACACCATTTTCATGACCCATTCTGAACAGTATAGTGAAATAGTTATTAAGCAAAAGTGTTACATAAGAATTTTTCACTTCCAATGGCCATCCACTGGAATAATTGCTAAAATATCTAAAAGGTAAGAGAGAATCACACTCTAGAATGCTGGAGGTGACACTGATGTCTAGAATGTATCGGAAAATGCATATTAAATAGTCTTGGCTTTGGTCATAATTGATTAATTCTTTATCACAAATAAACTGGTGCTGGAGGCCAGTTCCTGCATGTCATAACTGCAAGGGTTTCATCCAAAGGTTGATGGAACTTGGGGACTCAACAAGGGCTGAGTCACATATGTTATCGCCTGCTGGAATGGCTAAGGCATTTCCCCAAACCTGAAAAGGGATGATTGCTTGCTGCCAGACAGCTCAGGGCATCTTAATCTACATGTTATTGCCTCCTATTGGCCAAACACCTGAATAGCTGTGGGCAGATTCTTCCAATCTGACAATGGATTCTGTACCTAACCCTACCCTTTGAAGTGTATATCTCCACCTAGCCTTAGGACAAATTGTGTTAATAAAAAGCAAGGGGTCCTGAGACAAGGAGAACTTAGTTCCTTTTAGCTAAGCTCCTCTGACCCCCAAATGTCTTTCAAAATTATGTTTTGTCTCTGGACTCTTTATTAAGTTACACACAGCCCTTCTCTAGATTGCTGAACCCTTCTAAGATGCTGGAACAAGAACCCCGGCAAACTGATCTGATGAAGAATTGAAATTCTAGTTTGAAAATATTCTTCTATATGAATGTCGATAAATGTTAGCCGGAAATGCAGAATTTGACACATTTTATCTTTAGTTCTTACCTCTAAGAAATATTTTACTAGATTAAAACCTTCTTAGTGGAAACTGAACACTTTAAGAACTACTTCTAGAACTGTAGTTTCTGTTTGTAAATTAGCACACCAATTAAACAGTTAAAATATCAGTATATAATTTTGAAATTCTTTATGTAGATCAGTCTGACAAGCCCTTTTATGAAGCAGAATCTAAAATTGCTTTGATTCAGTACTATTTTCTTTTAACTCCTAAAAATTTTCTTTTAATTTATTAAATGAGAATGGAATCTTGCCCAGGAACAAACAAAAGCATCTTCTGCAAGAGAATAGTCCCCCCGTGTTAGACAGAAAAAGCATATTGTAATAATTTTAGTTCCTAAAAAACATTCAGATTTCTAGGTTCTCAATAAATACAAACTTAGGAAAAAAAAGTTTGGTCTGCTGATGTGATAAGTTTACGAGATTATTTTAACTCAACTCTGAATCAGACACTGGAAAGGTAGAAAAATAAATACTAAATAAGAAGGAAGACTAACACGTAAATACATAAAACCATGTACTTCGAGTTAGAAATATTAATTCTCTATGCTCTCAGAAGAGCGACACCCAAGAGCCTGGAACGTTGCATCTGTGTGGATGGCTCCTTTCCTGGGACACCCAACCACAAACCACAGTGGATCATCAGAAAGTGTCCATTTCAGAGAACTCTTAGAACACCCCTAGAGTGGTCAGAAATTTTGGACTGCCAGCTTGGGATGAGCCTAAATAATATTGTCATATGAATTAAAACATCCTATAGGAAGTGAAGGCTCTACACTTCCTATTTATTGTTTCAGACTTAGGCTCAGAAACTACAACAGTTCCTCCTTGTGTTGGTTTTTCCACAATCCAAAATAAACTGAAATGGATTGTGTGACCTTATGTATACTCAAAGGAAAAGGCTTAGTATTAAATTAAAAGGAAACAGTAAAAAGTCTGGGTAGATGAGCAAGAGAAAACCTTGTATGAAATTGTATGAATGGTACTCATCATGAAATGGAAATTGTCTCCAGAAAGGAGGCAACCTGCTTTACCTATTATGATCAACTGGGTATTTATATGTGACCATTTTTTTTTAACACACCTAAACAAAGGGCATTTTAATAAAGTAGAGTCACCGAATCACTCTTTCTGTTAAGTGATCATGTGATTATACTTGCTTAAAAGTCCTTCATTATTGTTCAGTGATGCCAGTTTCTCAGTTTTATTTATAGATATGTTGTTTGTGGCATGTACTAGGCATTTGATAAATGGTAGCGAAGGTAATGTCTTATCATTTACAATTTTTATAGAATATAGTACCTTATCAAAGTATTTTTTTACACTCTGAAAAAAAACAAAACACACCATGATGTGAAACTAATAACATAGCTAATATGCTCTCAGGATCATACAACAACTCTCTCAATCCCAAAGAGGTAATGGCAAATCAGTTTAACCATCAGCAAAGAGCTGTTTTATGTGATTTTTATTGTCACTCCCATAACAATATAGAATGCACAGAATTAAGTTTCTACCATTTTTAGCCCAAGAATTTAATGGAAATCAAGAGTTAATAGGAAATAGTATTAAGTATATAGTTTGTTTCTAAAAGATTTGAGCCCTAAATCCATCTCCTGGAAGTGCTAAGAAGGGTGGTATAAAGGAAATGGCCTATAAGTGAAGGTTATGAGTTCTGTTTTATTTTTAATGTGCCACTATCTTACCATGTGATTTTGGACATTACTTCCTAAAATCACTGAGTGCTACTTTTCTTGACCAAAATACAAGGGAGTTGGATATGGTTATCTCTAAATTCTATTTCAGTTCTCAGTGAGCCAACTGCCTTAAAAACAACCTAGGAATATCTGACCAAAATATCTGAGAGAAATAGCTGACCAAATTGAATTCCAAAGTAAAATTTTAGGCCATTCCTGTGCTTAATTGATACCTTTTCTTCAGATGTGAAGGAAGCATAAGAATATACTTATTTTGCTTCCCAGAATATAATTGAAATTCTTTGATTTTCTTTACATTACATGCCTATTTACAAAAAAATAAGTGTTTAGAAGTGACTGAATTCACTAACCCAGAATATTCCTGATTACTCTACTTTACTCTTAATTGAATGAATACCTAAATATTTGCATAACTTCTATTTAACATACACTCTGATACATAGCTCAGGGGAACCAATTGAAGCTCTGGTAAGCTATTTCCTTCTGAGACTGTACTTGCAATTCCAGTTTTTACCACTGTGTGTCAGTACTATTTCCAGCAGCATAGGCATTCCATTAGCTTTATTTTATTTTCTAGTTGCACGTATTAAACTGAGCTAAGATTTTTCAATGAAGACGAAATATTAAGTGTTTTTATATTTACTTAGGACCACAGAAACACTACTATTCAAACACCAGTTTATTCCCTTCGTCCTGCTTCTCTAAGAGTTCTCAGAGAGATGTTTATACAACTGCTGTTTAGCAAGACTGTCACTTTTGCTTGTGTTTACTAACGAGTCCTAAATCTGCTTTCCAAGATATTTTATTTTTCTCTGCAGAGAGCAGGATAAAAAGCTTTTGCCTCTAGATTATTTCTGCCTTTTTCATATTCCCTTTGACCAATTCAAATAAAATTTTACATTGCCGGGCATAATTTTATTGTCCCCAGCAGACGGCGATGAGCATTCCCAGAGAGAGATGGCAAATGCATTTCATGTCATTCTCCAGGGGTAACCCAGGTACTGTGTGGATGACAGGGTGGAGGAGGATTAGAAATGCCTGTCAGTGTGGAACCGGAAGTTGTGACACGTGTGCCAGTTACTTGTCAGCCCTGTCCTTTTTTTTTTTTTTTTTTAGCTTTTAAATTTTTTTTCAATTCAAGTTTACATTCAATATTTACTCTGATGCATGTCAGCCCTATTCTTGATTTTATCTGATGCTGAAATGCATAAATTGTGTTTAGGAAAATGAAACAATTACAATACATTTTAGGAATATGGGGGGCCTAACCATCTGAATATTTAAGAACCTAACGGGTCATTTTGCACCTCCAGGCATGATGCTCAAATGGCTCCGAGAAGCCTCCTGGTGGCATTTTAGTCTAATCGAAGCAGGTGGTCAATGTTTGCACAAACAGCACTGCGCTTGGTGTTTTATGACCCCACCTCAGGATACCAGGGCTGCACTGAGCAGTTCACCTCAGCCCAGATTTCAGAAAGAGCCAACACGGTATAATTCATGTCCTGGGAATAGTACCGGTGACAACGTAATGAGGCGAAGGTAGGTTTTCAGAAATAGCGTAGACACCGTGGTGAATTGTAAAACACAGACGTTCGGAATCACAGTAACAGCGCCTAAGAGAGGAATCTGAAAAAGCGAGTAATTGTTTTTTACCTCATTGGAAACACCAGGAGAATGATCTTGAACATAGTCCAGAGCCTTTTTAGGAGGCTGGGTGTCGGTGCACACCACAGAAGCAGAGTGTAGAGATGGAATGGAGGACAGTCAATGGCAGCAAGGAATGGACATGTGGAAAAGGTGACAACAGTTAGAAATTGAGTGACGACAGCATCAGATACACGCACAGAGGGACACGCATGGAGCACCAGGGGCGTGGCCTGGGAGGAAGGGGACTCTGCTCGCCACTAATCTCAAGCACTGGGCAGCGTTACTGGTGGTGTGATTAGTATATTTATAAACTCGGTTCATCAGGTCCAATTAGCACCCCTAGTCTCGGGCCACAGAGGAATGCAAGGTCGATTAAAGGAACATTAAGGGAGCAAGTGGACACGTGGAGAGCGTGCTGGTGAGTTTCCAGGGGTGGCTGGAAAAGATAATAGAAAAATGCTGCTAACCTAGGCTCAGAACAGAAATTGGGACAGTCCCTATAAACTGTCTGATCAACAATAAGAACACATATACCGTAAAGCTAGAGAATTTGTTGTCTCTGAAATAAAATACATTTATGTGATTACTTGGATACAAATTAGAAAAAAAAATGGAGAAAATATTCTTCCTTATGAGGCATAGACAGTCTAGGGAAAATTCTTTGGTTTATATTTATTTACAGTCACTTTTGGTCCAGTTCTAACCCAGTCTCCTTTGAATTTTAATGGGAAAAAGGGATTACTATGTCCACCCAGGAGGGAAAATGTGATTTAGTACCTGAGCTTATAAATCAGTCTATGATACGGCAAAAGAAAGACTGTACTCCCTGGTCTTTAGTGAAATTCTATGCAGTGTAATAAACAGTGTTTTCTTTGAGAGTTTAAAATCCAGAAACACCAGTAAAAGCATCAACAATATGTAACCGGCACGCCTCAAATGCACTGCTGTTGGTAGGTAGAGTTCCCCAGTAAAACTTGAGTTGATGAAGGAAATTGCTCTTTGAGGCCTGTTGACTCTGTACCACACAGACTGATTTCTGGAAGGTTCCCTTTGGTGGGGGTTTGGGGAGTAGGGGTGTGGTGATGGCTTTCAGTAGCAAGACTGGAAATCATTCCTTATTTTCCCCTTTCCTTAAGTCCCTGAGAGTAGAGGTGTTTCGTAGTGGGGATATTCTGGCAGGAGGTTACAGTGGGAACTGCCCAGAGGTTGTTGTTGTTGGTGTTGGTTTGGTTGATAGGACTGGGCTTGACATCTGACTCAGCCACTTTCTATGTTGGGCAAATTACTTAGCCCCTCTGGTCTCTGGTTTCTTTTTCTTGGAGGGGCCTTGTGAGGGCTCCCTGGGAAAATGCCTGCAGACCCAGCCTCGCCAGGTGCTTGGTGATTCTTCAGCAATGGGGGCTATAATAATACTAGAGGCCTGGTGCACGGAATTCCCTCAGCCCAACCTGCACCCTCTCTAATCCGGGAGCCCTCAGGGGATGTCCTACTGACAGCTTAGGCCTGCTCCCTGGGGTTCTCTGCTGTCTGCGGGGCCCATTTGGCCGCTCCTGGGTCTCCATGGCGACAGCCAAGCAGGCCCTGCTCTCAGCCGCCGCCCCCGGGACTGGAGGACTCCAGTGGGGCTGAGAGGACTGGGCGCCGCCATCTTTGTGTTGGAGTGATGGTTAATTTGCATATTACTCTTTTATTAGATAGGATTGTCATCATCAAGCCACCGTATTCTTCTGAGTGAACTAGACCAAAGTGGACTGTAAACAAATACACAGCCTCTGTAGGCCCGTAATTGTCTGGCTGCACTAGGACACCGTCTCTGAGCAGTTTGAATTTGCTCAGACATCAAGTGCGCCTCGCGGGTGACTCGGTGGTAAAGAAACACTGCCTAGCACGTGTCCGACACGTTTAACCATTGAGTCCAGAAGTGACTGTGGGCTGAGCGGGACCAGGTTTGTGCCTCTAAGGACACACTCAACGTTTGTTCTCTGAATGACGCCTATCGCTTCTGACAATATGTTGTGTAAGTCAGGCCACATTCCCCTGGTGTTCTTACATGAAGAGTCTAGCCTCACTTACCGGCCGTCCAAACTCCAGCTCTGAAAAGAACTTATACCAGGGCTCATTCTCTAACTCTACGTCATCGGGATGTATGCGGTCAGTCTAGAGCAGACGTGAAGGAAAAGGGAAGGAAAAGGCACACTGAGCAGGTGAGGAGGAGGCTGTGTGGCATGACCCGCGCGCGCATTCACACGCCAACATGCACCTGCTCTCATCCCACACGTCTCCGCCACAGAGGACAGGGGAGTGGAGTAAATCAGGAATGGAGATGAGCTTCGGGGGCATCACGGGAGCCTTGGCAGTCTCCTCTGTCCACCCTCTGCTTTCCCTCCTTAGCCTGAGGCATCGACGGTGAGAAACTGCCGGTGACAGTGAGAAGGCACGTTGACAGCTCAGCAGAGCTTTAGACCAGACTCAGCTGTCACCAGGCAGCTCCTCTGGGGGGTCAGCACATCTGCCCTGGCTGGTCCAGCATTCAGTCTGCAGTGCAGACAGTCCACTCGGGTGCAGGAGGCGGGAGCCCGGGAAGCAGGAGGGGAGGTGGGGAGAGATCCAGGTGGGGAGGAGTGAGAGGTGCTGGAGGTGGTTATGGGTCCACTGGCAGGAAGACTGGGGCTGGGTGAGGAGCAAGAGGGGCAGCCAGGTGGAGGGGGAGGGGGAAGGGGAGGTTAGAAGCCGGCCTCTGACTGTCTCCTAGCCCCTGGAACGCAAGGACTACACCTACATGTCCAGACAGGCGTTAGGAAAGTGAAGGCAGGAGGGAGCTCACCCAGATGGGAGAGAGAGCCGGGGTGCTCGGGCTTGGTGTGGGGAGCCCACTCCTGGGCGGAGGGGAGGGGCTACCAGTGACTTCTCCATATGGTGACATAGGAATGGGCTTCCGGCTGGGTTCCCGGGGAACAGGTGTCGGAGTTGTTGGGAGAGGGGGCTGCAAGAAAGGGCGAGGAGAAACTGGTTCAGTAGGTGGAGGTGCTGAGGGAATGGTGGGGACAGCAGCAGCAGCAACTTGGGCCTTGCCTTAGGCAAGAGAAGGCGGAACAACTGGGGATGGTCTGAACCACTGGAAAGATGTGGAGGTAAGGAGCCTCTCAGAGAGGGAGGAAAGAGCACATATTGCCTGGCCGGGGTGGCTCAGTGGTTGAGCGTCAACCCATGAACCCGGAGGTCATGGTTTGATTCCTGTTCAGGGCACATGCCCGGGTTGTGAGCTCCATCCCCAGTCAGGGGCGTACAGGAGGCAGCTGATCAATGATTCTCTCTCATCATTGATGTTTCTCTCTCTCTCCCTCTTCCTTCATCTCTGAAATCAATAAGAACATTTTTTTTTTTAAATGAAGAAAGATCACATTTTATTAGATACCCCAAGTATCACTTTCTTCCTGCCGACCTCGAGCTATGGAAGTGGATTTGGGTGGGTTAGTTTTTATTTTTTTATTTTTTCCCCACAGCACCTTGGTGGTTTAGGGCTGGGCAAAGGGTGGGGGAGAAAAGTTGACCCTGGCTTGGTTGACACTGTAATTTAGAGAAAAAACCAATTTATAATTGACTTGCTCCCCTTAGTGGTTATTGTATTTAAGAGAGAAAAACGGGGAGCGTTAATGTAAACTGTTGGAAAAAATACATAAATTACTTTAAATGAGAGCAAACTCAGCCTCAGAGCATTTACATTACCCAGTGATATCCTAGTGCTTTCAAGCAACTCATGCTTAAGTCAGAAAAAGACCCCTTTGGGTCCCTGGAAGCCAGTCTCCCAATCAGGGGAGGGCATATTCTTTGTCCTACTGGATGCTTTGAGGTAGTCTGTATTCAAACAAAAGCCATTATTTTGAAATTAGCTTGTCAGAGTGTTTTATTGTTTTTTTCCCCAATAGTTTTAAAATAATATATAGCCTGTATTTATTAATCTATTATATCCAAAAGGTTTTTAGAGATGTGCTTTTTATTTCATATTTTATAATATGAGGTTATCATGGTAGCTACAGACAGAAATGGAAAAGTTGGGACATCACAGCAAAATAGCGACAGGGTCTGAGTTATCCAACCTGTGCAGTGATCATCATGGTCAAAGCCGTGTAGTAACCTGGGGAATGGTTCGCGTGGCCGCTAAGCGATACGAGCAGAATAGGACCGTGTGTTTGTACAATAGTCACAGGACCGTGGCTGGTGGAGCTCCGTAAGAAAACACACGCATTTAAATAACAACTGAAGCATATAACTACTTTATGGAATAGTTCGCTGGAGCTGATCTTTAGGGAAAACCATATTAGAATTTTCCAGCAAATTTTGTTTTGTTTATAGAGCGAGGCCTAATCATTTCTCCACAGAAAAACGAATCTTTGGCTTTTTGCAAATCTCATTGTTTCTAATGTTATGTACTTAAAAAAAATGGTGAATTCTTGATTTTGTAATCTCAGCTTTCGAGTACAGTCTTTGTTTTTCTAAGGCGAGATAACTTTTTCTTAGAGGAAACAAATTAAAAAACAACACACATGTTGAACAGCAGAGGGCAGCACATTCACTAAACAAACATGTATTTACTCGTGGTTACAACTTCACTTTGACTTCCCCCTTAAAAAACATAGAAAGACGGATATACAAAATTTTGATTTTACAGAAACATATTTCTCTTCTACACTATGGAAAGGGGAACAGAATGTCTGTTGTCCTGCACCCTGCCTTAGAATGGCAATTTTCTCTGAATCATGATTTTATAGATTAAAAATTCAGTGTATAGTCACAGTGGGCAGCTATCTGGAATCCATGCCAATAGAAAATAGAGGCGACACCCTAAACAGCGACAACTGGTCATTATCTATCACATTGGAATGTGGTGAGAGGCACGTGCTTGAGCAGATCCTTTAGGCTAAAGAAGCCGTAAGCGGCAGAACTGGAATGTTCTCTTTGCTGTGGCTGATCTACTGAATCCCATTAGTCATGTGACAGTTAACGGTGTTAGGTGGCAACCTAGACCCACTGCTAAGGTACACAGAGGCCTGAAGACAGTAGCGATAGACATACAGTCAGCCAACAGACATGCATGCACACTCTTAATCTCACTCAATCAACACTTTTCACTTGTAACTTGAAAGTTCCTCTGAGTGGTTGGACGTGAATATGAACACTCAGATACTCATAGAGGTAGCTCTATTTGCTCATAAAAGACAAGAGCAGAACTGTTGCTGCATATCTTTCTAAACTTATTTCTGACTTTTCCAGAACATCTAGCCAACTGGTGCTTAAAACCAAAGTCAATCAGTGCAGAAGGAAGTGTTTATGAAAATCTAAACCTACAAGTCACACATGGTTCTTATTGCAAAGCAACCAAGAGTGAGTAATTGTAAAGTTTTTATGTTTTCCACAGTTTAAAAGCATTTAGTTGCTTTTCAGGTTTCAGAAATTCCACTGTTCTCAGTATTCTCATGGCAGACATATAGTTTTTACATATTGTTCAAACCAGAAGAAGTGTCAGCATAGAAATTTGGTTCTTTAAATTTTATGCTCATTAGATTTTCAAGCTTTAATGGCATTAGCGACTATGTTCTGTATTTGTTGTGGTTCCACAATAAATGCCATACATGTTGTGACTTGGGGTAATTGTGGTTTAAACCAGCAGATGAAACCCCCCAAATTTTTAGAGTTTAAGTTTAGAATGAAAATCTTCATTGATAAAGAAGCTTAAGTTCACTGAGATTTAATTGCATTTCAACTCTACACAGTGTTTTTAATGATTATTCCTTCTGCTTTTATCGTTATGTGCTGGGTTAGTTATGGCATAGAAAGGTAACATCTTCGTATTATTTCCATTTTTATCAAGCATAGAGAGGTCCTAAATCAATGTTGTATTTAAATTTATTTTACTTTCCTGGGCTCACCTATATACAATCCAATCCAGATGGGATGTAAAGTTTCTATTGCTATAATCCCAGTAGAGAATTTGTATGACTGTCTCATGGAATAAATGGTGGTTCAAGGCAGTTAAAGTTAGATTCCTGGTGATTGCAAAGTACTTTTCAAGATCAAACATTGGCCCATTTGATCAACATTTCTAAACTTACAGTCAGATGAACATCTATGCACTTTAAAAAATTGCATTCACTTTAACTTTCACGTTGAAGAACATAAATGCATAGTCTATGTATTTCTAAGGAAGAAGGGGTTCCTTTAGGCCAGAGTCTGGGGAAGGACTTTCATTGACACAGTCCTGCCCTGCTATGCCCTGCACCAGGGATCTGTGAAATCAGTGGATCACAATGACTAATAGCAGTGCATCGAACCTCTCCTGTGAGTTTTGATGGAAACACACTGTGCCTTTTTGTCACCAGATCTGCAGACTGTGCAGATAAGCAACAGAACAAGGATTCAGTCTCACCAACTTTCACAGCAAGGGCAAAACCTATATTCATTGATTCATTCACTTTTTAATTCAACCAGCATTCACTCAACACCTACTCTGTGCCAGGCATTGTGCTAAGTGCTGGGGATACAACTGGTGCACCAGACATGGTCCCTGCTTTCAAGGAGCTTAAAGTCTAGTGAGGGGGACAGACCAGAGACCATTACAATTCAGTGTGGTGAATGAGGGGGAAACGCCCCAGGCTCACAGCAGGGGGCGCTTTGCACCTACAGTTGAGGAGTCCGGGATGGTGCCCTGGGGAAGTGAGATGAGGCATTTCCATGTGAAGAGCAGGTGGTGGATAGAGCGTTCCTGGCGGAGGGAACAGCCTGTGCAAAGGTCTGGTAGGGAAGGAATTGGTAGAGCTGGAACAGAGTGAGTGAGGCAGGAAGGGCAGGAAGAGGTATGAGGCTGGAGAGGTTAGTGGGGCCAATGCATAAGGCTTTTTGGAAATTATAGAAGGAATTTGGATTTTGCTCTTAAGTTACTTGAGAGCCAGAGGGAGTTTTGAGCAGGAGATTTTATAAAGACTAGAGAATTAGGGAAACGAATCAGGTGGCTGTCCTTGCAATCCTGGCATGGGTGGTGGGGGAGCAGGCGGAGGGGCAGTGACAGTTCTCCTTGGGGGTAGGACTTTGGGATCCCTGGGGGAGAGGAGAATCCAAGATGACATTTGGGAAAACTGGGCAGATGATGGAGTCATCTCAGAATTGAAAAGGGCAGCGGAGAATTACCTAGCTATTTATAATTTACATAAAGTTAAATATTAAAAGAGCAAACGCTCTGCTCACACGCCCCCTGGAGTAAAATGACCTGCGAGTGCATTCAGAACTTCTGGAAATCCTTCGGTGTTGCCCATTTGCTAAGACATCACCCTCACCTAGCAAACCTGCTGCTCGTCCTCCACACCTGTGTGCTCAAGCCGCTCCAGCGCCCATGCAGACGGTATCAACATACAGCCAGTGTCTGCACCGCCACCAGGAACTTAGCCCCACCCCTTTTCTTTTCTGACTCAGGGAGGCCAGATCTTTTTGATCCGAGGGACAGTTAAAAACACCTGGGTCTTGCATCTTAACTACTCAGGGCCCAGGTTCCTGGTTAAATTAATCAAGTGCACTAATTTATTAGAAGTTGGCAAATAAAGTATGCTAGACTGCAAAAGAATCGAATAATCAAATCCACTGAGATGCTAATGACTACTAGCTGAATATGTTTCCTACTCAGCTAATCGTGCTGGTGCCTCTGTGCAGTGGTGATTGAGTGCACCAGGCATGCGTGAGTCTGGGCTCACGCGTGGTCCCAATACCCTCCAGCAGCCTGACCCGGACAGAGTTACTGACTGTGTGCTTCAGTCCTTCATCTGCCATGTGCCTACTTCATAGGTTGTTCGGATCATTACATGATATAAGGCATAAGTTACTAATTACAGGGCCTGGCACATAGTAAGTGCTCACTAAGGATCTACAACTATTGCTATGGTTTTTGTTGTTACTGTTGTTGTTATTAAGCCCAAAGATACAAGTAACGTGGGCATTTCAGTCACAGTGGCAGGGCCCATGAATGAGTTGCTAAGGGGGCAGAGGGAGGATTCCTTAGGTGTGCCTGTTTTAACCGGCTAGCAGATGGTCTATTTCACACAAATGCAGGTCTACCCTGCACCTCCATTAAATGAAAGCCTCAAGGTTCCTCTATTGTTCACTATTGTGTCCCCAGCACCTCATACAATGCCTGGCACGTAGTTGGTGCTCAGTAATTTTGTTCAGTGAGTCAATAATAGAAATATCTTTTTCCCTGATGCCACAGCCATCAAAACATTTCAATACAGTTACAACGCGCATCATCCGAAGAGTATCATAAATTGTTAGAATGATCATTGAGTTTTGGTATTGACACTTAAATCTGAGACATTATTTTGCTATTTTCAATTTTATGCAATGGTGACCTCATGATTCACTCAATTCTCATCCTAGAAATGACAAAATTCAATCACATAACCTAGTAAGTGGGGTATAAATTTGCAGTGGAGCTTGCCACTCAGGCATGTTCCCTTTTGTCAGTTTTTCTGTTAAAATTCTGTTACTTTGAAAGATATGAGTTATTTGTAGAATGACAAAAAAAGGCTTAGATAAACATCACATATGAATTATGTGCTTATGAGGTTCTTGGACATGTTTCTCAAGAACATAACCATAAATACAGGGCTTCAAAAACGAAATCAAGGACATTCAACGTGGGTGTGGTGAGGCCAGGGTTTCCAGTCAAATTTCAGAGCTGGCCTTGCATTCAATACGATAATGTAGTTTCTTGGATACTCTTAAAGGAGCTACCAAAAAAACCCTCTCTCCTGTTCACTGACACCTAAATTCTTTTAAGACAAGACAAGACAAGGCAGAGAGTAAGTTGCAAATGACATCAACTGTTTCCCTGGAAGCAGACTGGGACAGAGATGCGGAGGAATGACAGTTCAGAGATCCCCAGGGCACCGACCAAGGAGGGAAAACAGGCCAGAAAGGAAGACAGGGACCTAAACACCAGGAGGGCCAAGCAAGAAGAGCCTGTTTGTTAACTGCACTTTGGAGAAGCAAATGGTTACTTTCCACCTCCTATAGCTTTTTGTTTGCATAGGATTTAAATAAATAATCGTAAAATACTGCAAAGTTTAATCTTGATCCATTAGATGGACAATCAGGCAGCTCGAGGCTCGGTAACCTGAGAGAGATTTAATAAGAATCCATTAAGACCAACTTGTTATAAAAAGACATTCGGAAAATGTCCCCCGAAGCCCGAGAAATAATAACAAATCCATGTAGAAACGAAGGGACATACTGCCTGGGTGCATATCTATCCAAGAGATTAATGAATGATTTTCCTCATTAGTGTTGTAGACTAGCGAGTAAGTGTTGCATTTATGAGTGTTCTTTTTTTTTCCAATTAAACTCAGAGCTATGATTAGACATGGCTATAGTTACATGCAAATATAGTTACATCCTTTATTTGATTGGTAGGAACGATACATATTAGAAACTGCATCTTCAATTCCAAGACGAGATGCATAAAACATGATTCAGAATAAACGTGATTTCTAAATAATGCCAAGTTAATCCACTTTGCGACAAAAATTGCTAAATGATATGAAATGTGGGTTTACTTAAGAGCCCAGGGAGCCTAGAGAACTGGCACCGTGTTCGGGACAAGTGCTTACTGGTCGTTCATGCTGCAGGATCGACGACTTCCCCGGTTCATATTCGAAAATGCTCCTGGGCTCAGAACGAAACCTTCTCGTGTCCACCTTTCTGTCTGGAGGGTCCCAGTCATGCCTGGAAAGAACCAACAAGTTACATGTGAAAATAATTCCCTAGGCTCAAAGCAGTCGTATCTACCCACTCGCTGTTTTCAAAGTTAATTTTCGTGTAGGTTTTAAAAAAGTCTCATAGGATCAAAACTAATCTGTCCCAAACACCACATTTATGTTTTTTTTTTGTTTTTTTTTATATTTTTATTGATTTTTTACAGAGAGGAAGAGAGAGAGATAGAGAGTCAGAAACATCGATGAGAGAGAAACACCGACCAGCTGCCTCCTGCACATCTCCCACTGGGGATGTGCCCGCAACCAAGTTACATGCCCTTGACCAGAATCGAACCTGGGACCTTTCAGTCCGCAGGCCGACGCTCTATCCACTGAGCCAAGCCGGTCTTGGCCACATTTATGTTTTGTTTTACATAAATGACTTAGAGAAAGTCATTTCTTTTATTTTGTATTATGTTTTCCTCTGTTTTTTCTTTCATACATTGATATGACCCTCCTGCTGGCTCACACACTCACACAAAGGATGAGGAGACACGTGGCCAGGGAGCTGCTGTGAGCCCTTAGGGCGGACACAATGGCAGCTGTGCACGTCTGTGTTTGGAATAAGTGGTGCTTAGGCTCCATTACGCCATGCAAGTTTTCCCGTCACTCTGACCTGGCATCCTTGACTCAAAGTGACAAGGAGTAATGCACACGCCATGTTGGATCTTGTTCAAAGGGCATCATGGTTTGTGGAAAGTACCAAAGGACCACTTGGGTTGCCATCCACAGGAGCCAGCTGTGGGCCGGGATCCTCCCTTGTGTTACCCTTAAAAAGCCAGAGTCAGGCATCCATCTCATCCCCTGGGAGACCCCGGAACCAGCCTTTTCCTGAACTAATGTCCTTTGAGGGGCAGCCACAGAGGGACTTCAAAAATAAAGCTTTTTAGGTAGCTGGTGCTGAAGAAGGCTTCCAGGGGAAGAGGAATTTCCTGGCTTTAGGTGGGGCAATGTTGACCCCTGGAATGGATGGAATTCTGACTCCATGGCATGCTGGAAATAGAAATGCCTTAAGGGACAGGAGAATTAGGGGCAGGTGCTGGCGTTCTGGTAATTTTGGGAATAATATCCAGCACAGGTGTTTTTGAAATTTTTAAGAGATTTGCATATTTCTTAATGAGAGATTTATTTTTACTAAACACATAGAACAAATAATACACTTAATTCTGAGTTAATTCTGGTTCTGTGTTATGGCAGAGATACCATTTATGTCTAGACAGTTATTTATCAAATTTAAGACATCACCTTTCTAAACATAAAATCCATCATGAGAAGACTGGTAAAATGAGAATCTTCTCACATATGAAGTGTGTCCATTTTCGTGGTATCTTATACCCTATACAATCATCAGTTACTCTTAATGATACCATGCAGTGTTGAATATAATAGTTTTGAAATGGGTATGGTAGGTGAATGCTTAATAATCAGTATTAATACTGAATAATTATTATATCCTTATTTATTAACTGCTGGTATAACATGAGCCATGATTTCAGTCAGAGGTGAGTTTGAACTCTGCTGTATGAGTTGAGCAAGTTGTTTCAATTTTCTAAATCACAGCATCTTTCTCTCTAAAATGGGTTTAAAATAAACCTTATCTCATTGGGTTCTCAGAATTAAATGATATAATAGAGGAAAAATACTTTGCCTAGTGCTGGGCTCATAGCATATTCTCAATAAAGGTCACTTATAATTGGATTATTAGTCATAATCTTAATTCTTAAGTGATGCCATAAAAGTTTGCTTATAAATTTTTATTTTTGTGACAGTAGTTTTTATCAAAACACATCTGTGGGGAAATGAAAATTCGGATCATCTTGAAAAACTGGTGAAATGAGTCTCCGGCAGACACTTGTTAACGAATGACTTATTTATGATTCATGAATAATTTTCCTGCTTTCAAAGATATGTTTTTGTGTATCAGAGGGGAATTTTAAATAATTAATAGACCTAACATTTCAAATCTGAGGAAACTGAAAATGAACTGCGTAGTCTCTGGGGTGCTATGCCAAAAAGACTACATCAATGATTTCTTTTTATTTGTCTTCTTCTATGCATTTAAAAAAATAAAAAAGTAGATCTTGTGCCCATGTTATGCCAGGTCTAACTTAGGTCACTATAATATTATGAACCAAACTTGCAAAGGTGCTCACTATCATCTCAATAGGGGGTCAGTGAGGCACATGTACAGTAGATCCTTGGGTTACATCAGAGATCTGTCCCTACGGCGCGACATAAGATGATTTTCGCCGTAAGTCGGAACCCACCTACAGAAGCACCTACGTCACTCACATGGAGCACATACACAGCAGGAATGAAGTGAAACAGTAAAAAAAAAAAAATTGAAAGAAAGATAACAATCCCTGACCTTTACTTGTGGTGAATAAATAATAAAAAACATAAAGCACATATGTACATACGTCAAAATGACAGAACTTTTTTTTTTTTATAAATACATGGGAGATGGCGACGTAACCATGAAACGACGTACGTGGAGTCCGACGTAACCCGAGGACTGCCTTATTGACTGAAGATTATACATATACTGTCTCCACCAATTTGTTTACTGAATGCCATGCGGCCTTATTTTTATACTAAGCTAAACAAATATAGGCCACTTTGGGGGGAAATGCCTTACTTCTCTGTTGAAGACCGATCTCTGGGTCGAAGTGGTGGGACTGGAGGAGGAACATGGGGGGGAGGGGCTGGGGGAGTGGCATCCTTAAAAGTGTCCGTGCCGTTGTCAGAGTGGCTTTTGGAGAGGGGTCTGTAGGTCTGGGTCTTCGCAGCAGGATGGGACTGAGCACTGTAGGGCGAGTTGTACAGGCCTGTCGTGAAACACAATAGAACAAAACAAAACAGGGGCAAATGACATTTAAAAAGTGCATTAAATTCTTTGTACCCCATAAAATATCCAATGATTTTGCCCACATTATCATGAATAAGCATATCCATACTGCATGCATTGGGCAGGATGATCATTAGTAATTAACGTATTAATCTTTATGAAGAGATTAATTTGTTATTACTGTATTCTGTACACAAGAATTGGCGACAGTAAATCTCTGTCAATCATTTTAGAATTAGTAATCATTCAGACTAGTACTAGGAATAACTTACAGGTACTCAGCAAATTTTCTCCTGGAGAACATAAACTAATGACATAGTTAAGATTCATATATGATAATTGACATGTTAATTGTAATTAAACACAACACTGAGCAAGTTATGTATGTGCCGTGTAAGGCTTAAGGAAACAGAAGCCCTTAGTAAGCCTGGAGCACATCTGGGAAAAGAGACACAAATAGAACTCTGCTGGAAAATAATTGGGAACATGGTAAAGGCCAAATGCGGAAAATATACATTAGTCATGAAAGGATTTTAGAAGATGGTGGATTGGTCTGAGAAGATATCATGGAACCGAAGGCACCAGAGTGGGCCCTGAAGGGCTGGTTTGGAGGGTAGGCGAAGAGGGTAGCAGAGATGACATAGAAACCAAAATGAGGCAGAAAGAGCATGACCCATGACAGCGGGATGGAGGGTTAGTAGAAGGGAAGAGACTAGTTGCAGTTGCTTTGTCTACTGATTAAATGGTAAAACTCTCTCCAAAGAGCTCCGCAAGGTTGTATGTGACTATTGTCTGATTGACTAATCACTAATGGATGCAAAACATTCTGAATTTCCTGCAACCTCAGTCTTTTGAGCTAAGCCTATTTTCACTTTTCTTCTCCGGAAGTTCCATGCAAATTGCCATGACAAATACAAAGAGATGATGTCCGCACTTTTTGTTGGCCTCAATTCTACTGTCTGAGTTCAGCTTCAGAGCTTGTTAAAAACAGGACAACAGGCCCCCAGTGGAGTTGCTTATGCAAAGATCCCATGTCACAAACTAGACTCAACTTAATTCCAGTGTAGGCCTCTCTCAGAAATAAAACCTTAAACCAGCAGGAGTCACCTGGGCAGCACTAGTTAGGCCATCGGCCTGATAGGCCCCAGCCCTCCCCTAAGGGAAGGTGACCTCAGTGACCATCCGCTTTCTCGCCTGATCTACCTTCCTTGTCCTGCTCCCTTCTGCCTGTCAAGTCTTTTATGTTGTGCAGCTCCTCGGAGCTCCTGTCTGCCTGCTAGATGGGAGGCTCCCCAACTCGTGAATCATTGACCAAAGCCAATTAGATCTTTAAAATGCACTCAGATGAATTTTGATTTTTTTACCAAGCTAAGCACAGGGGGTGAGTTCGGAGTACCTGTGGCCAGGAGTAAAAATTGAGGCAACATCTAGTGGGCCCCATGTGAAAGGTGGACTATCGGGAGCAGAAAACCAAGGGCTTGTCACCTCTATGCTTTTTCTGTTCTCTTGTTTGTTTGATTTTTGTTTTGTTACTTCTCTATTTGTCTTTGGAGACTAGTAGCAAAATCCCTAAGAGTTCAAGAGTCTGTGCACTGGCCCTTAGGTGTCCAGGAGTGGGGAACATTTGCGGCTCTGAGCCAGGCCGGCAAGGGCACCCCTTGTGGGGCTGCTGGTGTGTACTAGTAAGGGGAGAGCAGACCCATCCACTGAGCCTGCTCTAAACGAAGAACAGGCCACGGGCAGGGGTCTGGAGCCCGAGGCTGAGCAGGGACAGGAAGCCCCGTGTGGGATTCCCTGGTGTGCCATTTAGGAGGAAGTCATGACAGGAAACATTTTCTAGGGGTTCCCTCACTTTAGTCTGCAACCACTTCACAAGATACCAACACACTCAAGTACAAGCAGAAATGCCCGGAATTGAAGTGGCTCTTTATGACCTGGGCAACTCTGAGTCAGAAGAGTGGCCGGCAAAGTGGGATTTTAAACAACCCTTCCATGAATGGGTGCACTTTGGAGCAAAAGCATGGGCAAGGTCACAGAACACTGTGCCTGACTTGTTTGCCGTGAAGTGTATCTGAAAGATCTTACGCAATGGCGCTCCCTCTCTCCTCTGATAAAAGGCGATCTTTATCTTATTTTGTACCCTTACAGTGTGTTCTTTCAGGCTGGCCTTCACAGTTGAGTTAAACATTCCTGAAGCCGAGAATCAACTAACACAGGAATGAAGGCTGTAAAACAGTGTTAGTTCTCATATCCGAGAGAAGAGATCAATCCTTTTGTTAGGCATGCTATGAGAAAAAAAGGGGGGGGAAGCCGCCTCCTCGTTGTGTAGACTGAAAACATGCGCCCACAGTGGTAAAAGTGAGGCTAAAGTTCTTCCAAGCATTGCAAGGCGAAAAATACTCATTGCACGCAAGGGACGCCGGCCTACCTGCATTATATGTATAAGGAGTATTGTACATGTCTGTGTCATCATCTAGAAAACGAAACATACATATGATGGTAATGCAGATTGCGTCACCGCATCACAACAAGACAGCAGAACTTCACAGAAACAGCAGACATTTGTTAGAAAACCAATGTACTTTGCCTAGCTCAAAATACCATAAAAATATATTTTTTTTCAAATACTGTTTTTGGGACAGTCTGTAACGTATTTGCTCTTTGGCCATCCAAGGTCAGTAACTTTGCCTCACTTCCCGGCCTTCTCTTCTGGGGCCTGACTTTCCTTTAGAAAGTGCTTTAAATATCTCTGTCAACTCAGCGAGACCTACCTATGCTCACTCTCTGGATAGGGAGCAGACACGTGGACAGAGGGATAATGAGTCTGTCTAAGTGAACAACAGGCCACACTGGAGTTCAAATTGTGGACAAGGAAGGACGAAGGGAAGAGACCAGAGCAGCTGGCGCCTCCTCAAGGTCACCACCTAAGAGGCTTCTTGGCAGATCAGGGGTGAGGCAGGAGCACAGAGTCTGGGATTTGAAGGGGTGATATAAGGAGGAATCTTCACAAGAAACAAGGGAGGCCAGGAAGCTTGTTAGGGTCTTGACATTTGGGGTGAACCAACTGTGTAAACGGGGAGGATACATATACATCCTTCAACCCACAGGGACCCGATGGGAACAGAGAGCAACATGCATACCTGGCTTGTGCACCATGTGAATTTGCTTGAACATCGTCTTGTACCAGTCCTTCGGTCTGTCAACTGTCTATAAAAGAGAATGTCCAACAGTTACAAAGCTGCTTCCAGATCGATGTCGTTTCTTCATGTTTTTCTTTCTATATTTTATCTTTTTTATTAGCAAATTTATGTTCTCTGGTTGATAAAAATCTATCAACCAGTTTAGGCTGAATTGGAGCATTATACGTGCTATGGTTTTATTTTATCCTCATCAGAGTTTTGCCCAGCACTCGACAGTTAATGTTTGCACAAACATCTATAATAATAAAAGTGTAATATGCTAATTAGACCGAAGCCAGGGCTGCAAGTGAAGCCAGTGCTGGCAGCCGGGTGAAGGAAGGCCTACTCTTGCATGATTTTCGTGAATCGGGTCTCTAGTATTTATATAAAAGTCACTGAATAAGAGATATAGGGTTATTACAGTGTTCTTCACTCCTTTTGGAGATAATTATCATTATCCTTAAAAAACTTTTTAGTGAGTGTTCTGTGTAAGACATTATTTTTAGAATTAACAAAGGAATATTTTTGACTCCAACTGTATTCTGGTCAACTTAGGCTCAGAGAAAGAAAAATTGAATATTTTCTACTCTAAGTTACTAAAGTACCAAGTGTAGGGACACAATCCAGAGTCTGAGAGCAAGTCTAAAAATGGAGATGTTGTTTCAAAAATGTTGTTAACCTGATAATAAAACATTTACAACATTTGCTTTGCTAAATGGCAAATTCCTTGAGCACAGAAGTGCCCCCATCTGCAGCCCAGGCTTTTGATGTGATAGAAGCGAGAAGACAATTAATGTCAGATCAGCCTAGATTCCTATCTCAGATCCTTTCATTGCTGTTTCCTACCAATGTGAATTTGGATAAGTTAGGTAACCTTTGAGAGCCTCGTTTCCTTCTTTTTAAAATGAAAAAATATATCCACATCATAAGATTGTTATGGAAATTGAATGAGACAATGTACACAAAAAGATTTAGAACAATGCCTACAATGCTCAATAAAAAACCATAGGGAACATCAAATCTTTATAGAATAAAAAATGAATGAATCCAGATTGTTGCATGGAACTTGACCATATTGTGTACCTGTGAAAGTAGACAGACACCTTTATAATCCTAATTAAAGATTTTTCTTGTCAAGATCTTTATCTTAACTTTTTCCAGAGCTACTAGGGCAAGAGGCTCAACCATTGTGTGTACAGTGACTAAATATACCAGACTTTCTGAGACAATTCCCTTGATATAAAATACTCCGTTAGGACTGCCACAAAAATATTCTTATACTGGTTAGACTCAGCTTTGGTTTCAATTTGATACCCTCATTTTTCTTTCAGAAATGTGGTCACTGCATTTTTTTCATCTGGGAATTGAGTTTTGTGCTATATCCAATTTTATTTTGGTGTCTAGGAATACATGAGTCTGTAATCACCACAAGTATAGATGAACTTTAAGGGCTACTTGACTTTGTGGCGAATCACCTCTTCATTCATTCTACGCTTTTTTCAGAATGGAAAAATTGAGGGGATTGTTGATGGACTTTATGTTCAAATGGTGGTGGCTGGTAGGATGGGGTGCAGTGATGAAGTCCAGTTATTATTTGCTGGTTTAAACGAAGTAACTGATCAAGTGTCTTTAAGGGACATTTATTTTCATAAAAGATCGATTTCTCTTTCATTAAGCTTCATTTCCTTTACAGTATTCAGCAACAGAAAAGAAGACATAAGCTTGTGCAGAAATGTTTTCCAGTCACACCTGGACACGACCGATGGCAACAAGGATGCCTAATAAATAAGTCATAGCCCTGTATATGGCAATGGATCCTGACAGACAGGACTTTTCCTGCCTGGCTGGAGGGCACGTATCGGGCAGGAGCTCAGTTCTGCCATCTGCTAGCTTTATATGGTGAGCACAGAGATGCCAGACATGCCCAGCCAGTTGGCAAAGGGGAATATGAAACTGGCCACACAAAAACTCTGTGTCCCGTTCTAAAAGAAGTCCTCTAAGCATTTCAACCTTGTCTTATAAATGCCATCGTGGAGATTGTTATGGCTAATCCTGAGACTAAGTAAACAGAGGCCTACTCACATGTGAGGATGTCTACTTTTGTAGGTGTCCTTCAAAATTATTTTGCATGGACACTAACTACTAGAAATCCACTATTCAGTGTTTTCAGTCACTTCGGCTGAGCATACCTGGATTTTCACATTCCTACAGTTTACAGATGATCAGAACTCTAAGTGATTTAACATGCAGGGATTTCCAACAGGGGAAATATGCACATTCTCTACACATCAGTATGCAGTTATTCTAGTCGATGTTTGCTCCTTTCAACTTTGAAAATGCTCAAATGGCCCTAGCCGGTTTGGTTCAGTGGCTAGAGTGTCGGCCTACAGACTGAAGGGTCCCAGGTTTGATTTTGGTCAAGGGCATGCACCTCCGTTGCAGGCTCCTCCCTGGTCTGGGCCCTGGTCAGGGCTAGTGCAGGAGACAACCAACCGACGTGCTTCTCTCACATCAATATTTCTCTGTCTTTCCCTCTCTCTTCCACTCTCTCTGAAAATCAGTGGGAAAATATTCTCAGGTGAGGGTTAAAAAAAAAAAAGATTAAAAAAAGAGAAAATGCTCAAATGGTGCTGTATTTGAAGGAAAAGAAAGGAGTCTTGTATTTCACTTAACTAGCTGGCCGTAATTAGACAGTCCCATGGGATCTGAACCCTGGTGGGTTCTGTTGTTGTTGCTAAGAATGGCGGTAAAAGGCTAACACAGAGGGCCCGGGTCACATGAGAGAGGGCAGTTGGGGGAGCCACTTCCCTTCGTTCAAGTAACTCAAAGGTACATTTGTTGACTCTTGGCTTTCTAGAGTTTCTGGGTTACTTTGCACAATTCTGTTCCCTGGGACTGTGCCGGTTTCTAGAATGAGACTACAACACGATACAGGAGGCGGCACTGCCTCTGGTGTATACATTCGCTCAGCAGAAAGTCCATGTGAAGCAACCCAGTCTGACAATCATTACAGTCTACATGGAGGAGAAAGAAAAACAGCCCTGGATTCTTGGCCTGCAGAGGCTCAGCGATGGCCTGACTTGGCATTTATAAACACGGCTATACTTGGGGATGTGCTGGGGCAGGCTGGGAAATAGGAAATAGACCTACACCTTCTTTGTAAAGTTCTAAATGGCCAAATAAGAGCACAGCTGTACATAGAAACTATATTTTATCTTTGACTTTATGGATTGAGAACTAGCATTGAGTATGGTATATGTGTTAACGTGTGCATGTCTAGACGTGCTCATGATTCAGCAATATATAAACAATATCAAATTTTAACATTACTTGATTTTCACCATCCACATCATCTCAGGTTTTTTTCCTTTTAAAAACGAACAAGCAAGGCCTTGCTATTTAAGAAAATTACGTCTAATGGGTTAAAAACAGAAGGTCAGGCTTTGCATGTTCATTTCTAGCATCATTTGTTGACTTAGAAACACACCCAGAGTCTCAGATAAAAATTTTCAGAGAGAATCTATAACTATATAGAATCAGGGATCTCCGAATTTATATATATATTGTGCCTCAGGGATCAATTAAACAGAACCAATGACAGCATACTTGTCTGACACGATAGCTCCACATTATTAGGAAAAACATTTTAAGTGTAACCATTCTGAATCAGAAATCTTGAAAGGGAAACCAATAACAAAACATTGTCACCAGAAACATGTAGTCATCCTAAGATTAAGAATGTTAATCATGATCCCTGAACCGTTTCTGTCCCTTAAACATGACAATCAACAGTTCCAACTTAGATTTTGAGGATTTTATAATTAGTCACATTCAGTGTTCTCAGAATCTCACGAGTATAAAACCCACAGCCACTGCTGTACAGACTTACTTTTTTGGCTTCCAATTCTAGTACAGATGCTTGGAATAGTTAATTTTTAACTTTTCTCTCTGTATACAGAACACGTAATCCCCACAGAATAAATACAGATTCAAGGAGAGAAAACCCCCACACGTGGTCTTTCGTCCAGCTGCAGCGTTTCCGATCGGACCACTGCATTTTCCTGATCCCTTTCCCCTTCTTTTCCTCTACCCTCTTGTTTTCGCATCCTCTCTCCTCCAGGTTTGCATTCCAGGGAAATAGCTCTTGGCAACATCCCAGCCAGGTATGTGGGTGTTGCGGACACGTGTAGGCAGCCTGAGCTCTGCTCTCCAACCGCCCCCCAACATCACCTGCAAAGGCGCTGCTGCTCTCATCCTGGTGGTTCCCAAGTCCGCCCGCCGGTAGCACAGACCTTGTCTTCAAGTGGACTGGCTCAGCCAGCGGCTGCCTGCCCGGCTCCCAGAGCCGCTGCTGCTGCTGAGCTTTGCCAGAAGGGGCTGCCCCGTGCACTGAGCAATGCCCTGGCAGCGTTCAGAGACTAAAAAAAATCCAGACACTCACTCAGCATCCCCGAGAGCTCCCAGCAGGCCCAGCTGAAGAAGGAAAACTCTCAAACGTGTATTTTCCTGGTTGTTTCTTTCCATGACATTAACTCCCTTCACTCTGATCACCTCACCTCCCAGCCCTCAGCCCCCAGCTCCTCACCTCCTGGGGTTAACACACACCCCTTTCAGGGAACAAACGCCCGGGCTGTCTGCAATGCACATGGGAATTCAACGCAGCAAAGCAGTCACATTTCTCAGTCCTTCCCTTTTCCTCGTCCTATTGCCCTAACACTCCTCAGTAGAAGGTAAAACAAGACTCTTGTCATTTCACAAAATCACAAGTTTCATGATTTTTCATTCAAATGGAGAAACAGATTGTGTGGTTAGCTCCCATGGACAGCCCTCTCTCCGCCACACACAGCGTGAGCTGCATGAGAACGGGCAATCCTCATCAGACCAGACAAGGGGTGCACGGAGCCGCCCGAATCCAGCCTACCGTTCTGATGGCTGTGGGGATGCCAGACTCGTCCACCGGCCCGATCCCGGGGTAGTGGGGGGCTTTGATGACGGTCACCCTCTTCTCTTCCTCCGAGGACCTGTACAGCGGGATGGAGCTGCCCACCGGGCCGTCCAGAGACTGCGCGTGCTGGGCATACGCCTCCGTGGAATCTGGGGAGAGAATGTGGCGACATAGAATGCGTGTGATGCACGGGGAATCATAAATTAATGGTGCCTCTTGCATAGTTGTGCCAAACGTGGCATGGTCTGTATTCCCATCCCGATCTCTCTTAACTCAGTGACCTTAAATTTGAGCCACTGGTTGCTAACAGGGAGGTGCATATTGAACACACCTATAACAAGACCCTCCCGTTTCATGAAGAAGGGTGAGGGCAAGAACAGCCTTGGTGAGAGGCCTTGTGGCCTGTGGCAGCCACCGTAACACAGCCCTTTGCATGCACCGCCTCTTCTCATTGTTCCAGTCATTCTGTGGGGGCAGAAGCTGGGGCGAGCTGAATCCCAGCTCATAGTTTACATTACTATTCTTTTTGTGAAACTGCTCGCTCTTTCCAAGTATCCGAACATATACTTGGCTTATGGGTAAATAAACGACTTTATTAGTATTAACTTTTATTCAAGTAGCCAAGATGGCCGTCATGTCTTTGCTTTTAGTTTAAAGTACCAAACACCACGACTTCTGGCCCCGTGAGGATACAAACCGCCCTAAGCATATAAATAAGATGGGATTTATTCTGTCCCTATCTTCATGCCATGATTATTAACTTTTGCTATACTTTCTCAAGAAAGGAGGGGACTTAGTGTACTATATGTTCACTTACTCTTAGTTCAGAGATAGTTGTGAAAATCAACATTATTACCATTCACCTGGGGCAACTGATAATACAATTTCCTGTGTTCTTATCTTTGTTGTTGTTGTTGTTTACTCCCCGCCCCTTTTTTTAAATAATAAATTTCAAAATTTTGGTGACCAAGAATGATTCTTTGTCACAGGTGGTCAGATCTGTCTCTCAGAAAGGTCTTTTTTTTTAAATATAGATATGGAAAAGTCCTAATGTTTTAGGTTAGCAATGATATACTCACTTAAAAATTTAACTCATCATTATAAGGATAAGAAGAGATCAACTAAAATCCATTATATTATTTATAACTGCTATTACTATTATGGCTATTTTCTATTTCATTTGCAACAGAAAAGCATTTTCAATCCATTTCTGATGAAGAATGATTAAGGCTGAAATAAAACTGCTTTATGTACCACTATAGTAGTAGATAAAAGTAATCTTTTCCAGGCAGCTCCAAAGTAAGATACAATGTGATATTTGACTCAGCTTTCCCATTTAATTTTAAAAAGGATTTGACTGAGCAACCATGATCTAGTATTTCTATAAAAAAAACCAAGCTTTTTGAGACCCTAATATGTGTAAAATTTCTGCCTGTATTAACTTTGTCTTCATTTATGGTTCATAAGAGTCTATGAACTTAAATAATACAAGTCAACCTTTTATTTTATTATGCTCTTATATGCTCCACTAACTCTCATTTTTGCTGTTTTTGTCCTAAACTAAACATCAAGTTTCTCTAGGTCAGGATAGGTTTGTACATTCTCCTCAGGACCTAACTCAGCATTGGCCAACTGGAATTTGTTCAATGTTTACACAGAGAATTTCTTTCCATGTTCATAGTTTATATGTAAAATCTACTCAATGGCACTCTCTAATATAGAACCCTATCTACATTCAAGTATTTATATATATTGTTTGTTGAGGTGACGTGAAAAAATTGTGTTCATTAAGGTGAGCAATGGGGGTGAAAGAGTCAGACTTTGACAATAATTATTTGGGAAAATATTATGGCTAGAATCATTTGTAGAGTTTTACTGCAGATGCGTCATAATACATAGCTCTGTAAAAAATCTAGATATAATGAGCTCCTATTGTAATACTACACCAGTGACTAATTAAGGGCAACATTCTGGCACAAGGACGTTCTGCTTTCTTATACTCTAAAAGGCCGTCGTTATAAGAGTCCCCGATCATTCCAGGAGCAGCATTAGTAAAGCACAAGCATCATTAAACTTTTCTTTAACGAGTCTCCTGGCTACATGTGAGCTACAGAGGTTGTGCTGACACAGAAGCTGAGTCCACAGTGCACATGGCGAATATTCTTGGGTAAACTAATGGCATTGTGTTCTTTCAATACACAGCAGTGTTGGGGAGACGAGGGCGCTGCTGCTATTGGGGAGGAAATGGGAGTTAAAGCCCTCTGCTCTCCTTTCTTGCTCCCTGTAGTTGGTTGGTGGCCAGAGGATGGGCCCCTCCTACTTTTCTGAGAGCTGTGCTGCGACCACGTGGTCCTCTGCCTTCCTCTCCGCTTCCTGCTGCCCTGGAGGCCTGGTTCAACATCATGAAACCTTTTTTTTTCAGCTTCAATTCATATGATGCTCTGATTTAGTCTGGGTTGGCTTTATTTTTTTGGTAATGTTCTCGGTTATTTTTTTACATTTCTGAAAACTAGGAAAATGTATGACCTTGTTTTCTAAGCTGTTGTAATATATTTTGCCACATAAAAATATTTCCATCGTTATATAGCAGTTTCTTCCCCAGCAAGCTTCAAGGAGTTCATGAGCCCCGTGAAATTATATGCTGGAAAGTTTTTTTTTTTTAAAATAAATGTTCAAGTGTTCATTTTGTATCTGGAGGAAAGCTCTCTCTTTCGTCTAATTTTTATTTCCCAAAAGAGCTATGTTTTGATGAAATCCTGGCATCATCTTTTAAAGCAGTGGTTCTCAACTTTCTGGTTCTTTAAATACAGTTCCTCATGTTGTGACCCAACCATAAAATTATTTTCGTTGCTACTTCATAACTGTAATATTGCTACTGTTATGAATCATAATGTAAATATCTGATATGCAGGATGGTCTTAGGCGACCCCTGTGAAAGGGTCGTTCAACCGCCAAAGGGGTTGCGACCCACAGGTTGAGAACTGCTGCTTTAAAGGGACTCACATATCTGACGGATGGTTTTCTGGCCTCAGTTTGAGTAGTTTACTGCTTTGGGAGGCAGTAGTTCAGTGTGTACTACTGTGTGAGGCAGCCTGTGCCCGTCGGTCTGCTTTAACTGTGAACCAGGTCTTCTTTATAGACACCAAAAGAATGTTCTACAATGACAGTTTCCCCACGAAAGAACAGGGTGCCTCCACATGGATGGTATTTACCATATATGGAAATGCACCCTGTGAATGTTCTCCTGGTGATGTGAGCTCTCCCCTCCCTAATGGCCCATCTTTTTCTCTCTAACCCCCCCTACCCCAAATATCAAATTGCCTTCCCCAGAGGAAGGTACAGAAGCAGTCGCTGCCTTGGGATGACTGGGTGCCTGTTTCTTCCGAGGCTGAGTTCACGTGGTCCCTAATGCCTCCCGAGGATAGGGTCTTTAATCGTGAGCTGATGAACGTGTCTGCCTCCTTTCTAAAAGTTACTCCAATGCTTTATATTATTTTCCTCATGTGGTCTGTACTCGCTATTTTGAAATTATCATGAAAATCATGATGATCCAGCGACTTACCGAGTGACCGGCCATGAGGCATGATGATGCTGGAATTGAGGGAGCCTGGCAGGGAGTAGGCTGAAGGGGAGAAGGGCCGCTGGTAGTAGCTCATCGGACTCACAGCACCTCCCGAGTTTCCATTCACTGTTACCTGGCTCTGAGAAAAGTGCGGACATCCCGTTAAAGCATCGTTCCTTTAGATGACAGTGAAAGACTTCATTCAGATGACAGGCATCAGCTGTCCAGCTTCTATTTACTCTGAAAACTGATGTCTAGAGGGACAGGGTGCACATTTTCAGTGTCTTCTCACTCTTCCCTTATTTCTGAAATCACTCTCCTATATGCCAGAGGGCGCTGGGGGTGATTAGAAAGCAGCTGACTGGTGGGCATGCCCCTTTGCCAACAGAGATGCCAAAGGTACCAGTAAGGAGTCAGTATAAAGTAAGCCTGGAGGGCAAGTTTGCTCTTATTGTCGAGTTAAATTGTCAGAGCACGTCACACTGCTCTGCATGGAGATTTGAAGTGAATGCTCTTTGACCGATGAAAGGGATTGGTTCAGACTTGGTCAGGGATACCCTCTAACCAATCAATGTTTCCGGGGCAAGGTGATTATTAATAGAAGGAACACAGTTGTTTGGATTTATGCATCATAAATCAATCTATTCTAGGAGAGTCAAATACCTGGTAAAAGACATGCTAACCGCTGGCTTCTCCCTCCTCCGATCTCATTTAGCACTTTATGGGCCTCTGTTTGGTTTCTTAATAATGTATTGTTTTGATTGCTTTATACCTGAGTATTGTAATCCCAAAGGTATTTCAAGCTTCTTGTCGGAGATGGTCATATAAGTGCTTCTTTTAAACACAGATTTTATAACACGCATCCTGGTGCTAAGAGCATAGTAGATACTCAACAGGTACATATTCTAACTGAATTGAATCGGCCGAGTTCACAGAGGCGGAGCATGCCCCTCTGTCCACACACGCTGAGCACTGAGGAGGTTACATAATGCATGCCAACGACACAAAACATTGGTAAGAGCATGGAGTTAAGATGTCCTTACAGCTGAGCACACCAAACACACATATGCACATAGATAAACAGAATTGGTGAACTTTTTCTACTTAGTTTAACACAAAATAAAGAATTCTACAGGCCTGACACACAGATGCATGATTAGTTGCTTATTTCCATGATTTTTTCACTTTAAAGTAGATGTTTTCAAGTGACCTAGACTAAACCTAATTTCATGACTCTATAGCACTGCCACATCTGCCCTGACGTCAAACATTTCATTACAGTGAGGTGCTTCTTGACTACGTACTTTTCTAAGTTGTGGTGGAAATCACCCTCATATCCCAAGTGCCTGTGTTTTGAGGATCTTCTACCTGAAGGGCAGTGGGCATGCAAGTAAGTGTGAGGCACTGGCTTTGGAAGCACCCCAAAGCTTCGAGCTCTTATTTACCTTGGATGAATTATTTGAGACTATTTTTCCTCCCTGCCCAAATCAAGTTTGGTTGATCTTTGTAAACATAACTTTAAAACTGTTGGTATAATTAATGTTAAAACCAAGAAAATTTCTATTTAAAACTATCATGGTACTATGTTACTAAACTTAAAAAAGTCATTCTAAATCCTATTTTGTCTATGACAGTGCTTATTTAAAACTTCATTATAAAGTCAATTTTTTAGAAAAAAATATTCCTATTTTTTTTGCCTAAAATTATATGCCTTTCAAATTGAAGTCATTATCTACACATTATATGCAACTGAAAATCTGTGTCATAAAATTTTAAGCACTTTAACCATTCATAAATCATTTAGTAGAGACTACTTGTCACAGACATTGAAATGATAGAATATACATGGGAAATATGTATTGCTCTAAATGGAAGATAAATTATTGATATGTGAAACAATATCTGTATTCATAAAATTCTATCCTGGAATGGCTCAGGAAAAAGAATTCCAAAAATATTATAGGGCTCAATTTCTGCAGGGTAGGTTAGGATCATTTACATCATTTAGTCCTGAAAGATAGTTTGGGTTCAGGAGATGAAGGTGTTAGTGAGGTGGAGCAAGAGGCATTAGCATGATGTAGTCAGTAATTGTGCAGGCGAGAAAGAAATACATAAACTACTCACATGAATCTCCCAGTTAAACCGTTACCTACCATGATCTAATATTGGGTTACCATTTCTGAAAAATTCTAGTTTCTCTATAATCCAATCACCATAATATTATATGTGTGTCTATCTACATTTCTGAGGTGATTTCTTATTAAGGCCAATCACCGTCCAACTAATTAGCTAGAGCAGCCAGTGTGAACGTAAATCACTCTAAAATGAATGAAGAGAATGTAACTGATTTTTCGGCCCACAGTGGGTTTCTGAGGATGAGTGTCATGGATTTCCTGGTAGACTACAGAGAATCAGTTTACTAATAATCAGCATCTATGGGAATAAAATGCTCCGCAGCAAAATGAGATGGTAGACAAGCAATCAGTCCTCTGGCCTTTGGAGACCTGTTTGAAAATGACGGGGTCAGAGGGATGAAGCATAGTTTTGTGCATGGCAGTGGCCACTAAGGCGATGACACCTGTGGTGTGAGAGTCAGCCATCAGGGGCTCCTCTGGGATGGCTGGGAGCACTCCCTCCATTGGGAGGAGTCTATGGTGGGAGCCCGCGGTGCTGCCTGTGGAAGGTAATCAGGAGCAAGGAGAGGTGTTCATGTCAACAGGGGTCCATGTAGGTGTGAAGGCCCCAAATCAGCAGGTGGAGGCAGGGCAAGGGGTGCTGACCTGAAGCCTGGTTTTGGTCAAAGTATTTTGGATAAAAGGTGGCATGGAAGGGGGAATGGGGAGAGACCTGTGAAGCAGCTGGTCTGTGTGTCTGTGAAGCATTTACCTCCAGCACACTGGCAGTTAAGCTCTGGTTTCGAAGCTGAGTTTCAGGAAGAAATAATAAGAGGAGATATAAATTATCCAATTAAGAAAACATCTATTTGTAACGTGGAGAGAAGGCAAACCTTGGGCTTTATTTGCAAGCACTTGAAGGAAATGCATTGAGAGGATTAGGTGCTCACCACACAGGACAGAAAAGCATGAAAGCACGAGGAAAGGGAACACAGCAAGTGGTTTTTGGAGACAAGACCAGATTTCATACAGCACTGCATGGTCTTTCTGGATGGGGGCTTGAGAGTGTCGGTATAGTGGAATTTTTGTCTTCAAAAGTTTTAGGTTTTGTACTTGTGACAGTAAAATGCCATCAGGTTGTCTATTGATCAAAAGAGTTACTTTTCCCTTCACTAGAGAAATCTTTGTAGCATATCTACTGTCCCCAGCCCCTTCCTGGGAAATGTCCCCGAAATATAAATCAGTTTGTTTACTATTTTATGATTAAAGATATACATCAGGACTGATCAAACTGAAAAACAACTAAAGGGAAAGGGAATTTTGTCTACTTTCCCACTCACTGAATCTCTTTCTTGATTTCACTAGGAAATACTAAAAGAATTAAACGTTGAAATGTCCTACCATGCAAATAGTGGTAGCCATGTGTGACCATGACGTGCAAAAGAAAGCCAGCCACTGATGATGGTTAGGATAGAGCCTAGTTCGTTAGAAGAACTACTGTAGGTTTACCTACCAAGTCATAGGTAAAGGAGAAAGAAACTGAAGGAGAAAGAAAAGGTTTAAATCCCCCAAGGCTATGACCCAGGAGGCTCGACATGGTGGAGGGTTGTAGTAAAAGGGAGGGAGGGGTTGGCCCATTAAAGGTCTGGAGCTCTCCATTCTAACTGTGAGGGTGTCTGGCCACACATGTGTAATCCTATATAATCAAAGGCTAATATGCAAATAGACTGAACAGCGGAACAACCGAACAACTAGTCACTATGATGTGCGCTGACCACCAGGGGGTGTGCACGGAACATGGTGGGATGGTGGAGCAGGTAGTGGGGGTACCAGACCAAGGCAGGGTGCTGGTCAGTGTCATCGGGGCAAGCCTCTGGTGGTTACTGAAAATTCTTTGCTACCGCACACTGCAGTCCTGCCCAGTGCTCGTACCCGCTGCCAGTGCCCGGCATTGGTCCCAATCGCCCCTAAGGGCTGCTCCACCTCCCTCTGCTCCTGAGGGGCGATTGGGGCAGCAGCCGCTGCTTGTACCCGCTGCTGATGCTGACCCCAATCACTCTGCACTGTCAGCGGGTGCGAGTGGGGCTAGCGCTGTCAGTGTGTGGGAGCAGCGGCAGCGTGAGTGGGGCTGCTTGCAGACAGGGGACCAGGGGCTGCGGTGGAAGGGGTTGGACAGGGGTCACAGATGATGGGCAGAGACCTGCCCCTGTCCACAGCAGCCTTGTGGCCCACAATTTCTTTCAAGGTGCACGACTTTGTGCACTGGGCCCTAGTATGATGATAAGCATCAACCTTTTTTTATTTTATTTTTTATTTATTTATTTTTTTATTTTTATTGCTTAAAGTATTACATATGTGTCCATTTTATCCCCCCGCCCTAGACAGTCCCCTAGCCTCCCCTATCCCCCAATGTCTTATGTCCACTGGTTATGCGATAAGCATCAACCTTAACATGAGTGAATGTAACTCTGAAGGTATAGAGACATTCCCCCCCGCCCCCCCCCCCACACACATACCTTCAGAATAGAGGGTTTTATTGTTGTTGTTTGGTGTGGTGCCAGTGGTAAGGTAGATAGCCAAAAGTACTACAGAATATTAATACAATTAAAAGGAAAAATCTAATGACTATAAATCTCATGGGATTGGCTGGCCCGCATCCTTTGGAGTATAAACATGTAGAAGGCTAAAGCACATTCTATTTAAAACCCTCATTGTTGCCGAAACCGGTTTGGCTCAGTGGATAGAGCGTCGGCCTGCAGACTGAAAGGTCCCAGGTTCGATTCCGGTCAAGGGCATGTACCTGGATTGCGGGCATATCCCCAGTGGGAGATGTGCAGGAGGCAGCTGATCGATGTTTCTCTCTCATCGATGTTTCTGACTCTCTATCTCTCTCCCTTCCTCTCTGTAGAAAATCAATAAAATATATTTTAAAAAATATAAAAAACAAACAAACAAAAAAAACCCCTCATTGTTATGGGTAATATGATCAGTTGGTATAGTACTGTGTTCAGGAATGGTCTTTAACCATTTATTTGTTTTTCCAAAGAGACTCTCTACAGAAAACAGAACTATTACACTTTTTGAATTTCTCTCTCTACTTTCTGATATGCTCACAATTTTAAGTGTGTGTTTGTGTGTGTGTGTGTGTGTGTGTAACAGATGAAATGCCTCCAGGTGAATCATACCACACTTAAATTTCTATAAATAAAACTCAGAAGTTCAACAGTCCATTGGTCACCCACACAAATGCTCTGAAATATTTTGAGATACAGGTGTAAATTACCTCTTAGACTAGTTGGGGCTCCTTTCACATAACCCTCATGTCCACATTAAAGAGATACCCTCTTATAGGAGAGAAATACCCTCTTAGACACAGGAGGAGAGAGAATCACAATATACATATTTCCTGGAGGAGGATGTGAGGTGAGTAGGGAAAAAGTGGAATGTGTGAAAAGGGGAAGAAGGAAGTATTTTCTCAACCTGGACTACCTTGAAGTAGGAAAAACAAATTCAAATAAAAACAGGCTTTTTTTTTTTTGAGGGGTGTGTGTATGTGTTTTATTTTTCCTACTGAATTGTCAGCAGATAGATGACTGCAGAAAAATCTCATAATTGTTTGTGTCTCCATATTTTCAAGACTATTTAAAGTTGAGGTATTTGAACATAAGCCAAAAGTCACCAACTTGTTGTAAGTTTAAGTTTCTTTTTACTGTTGCGCTGGAAGGGAGGTCAGAGCTTGAAACACCAGTTTGCTGCTATCGGGTCTCGACAAGGGAAGGGCAGTGCTTATGCCTCAACATACGAATGCTCTAAGAGAGAGCACCTAGTATTCAAGACCACATTGAGCTTATTTGTCCAATGGAATTCAAACCAGAACATTAAGGAGAACCTGTGGATAAAAGGGATCACTAAGTTTAGGCTGAACCCCTCGAGGAATTAGGGAGTCAGGGAACTCAGGAAGTGTGAGCTTCATCAGTGGAAAAAGCATGTTGGGTTGGACGTCAGCATTGCAAACTCAAATGCCTGCCTTGGGCCTGGGATGGATTCAGAATGTGCAGGCCTAGTGTTGGACAGAGGGGATAGGAACTGTGGTGGAATGGAGAGAGCACGGTCCTCCTGAAGCCAAAGTAAAATTAAGTCAGTGGCAACCAAACAAACTAGATGTGTAGTCATAAGCTCCCAGGCCATCACTTCGTTGAGCCAGAGATATAAAGGCAGAGGGTGAGATGAGTGAGGCACTTATCCTGGGTGCAAAATTGAATGGAGTAACAAAAACTCACTGGAAAAGGGAAGAATGCAATCTTGGAAAAATGCACTCTTAGAACAAAATAAAAATCAGTGCCCCAAAAAAGTCATACTGAACAAAATTTAAATAATGACCAGTGCCATATCAAGCCATATTAAAGACTGAAGAAAAGGAAAGAAAAGTCTGTATCCTGGATTTTTAATGAAAGCAATCTATCTATCTATCTATCTATCTATCTATCTATCTAAGCCTAAGCGACCAGCCGACTGGCGGACTGGTTGACTATCCGGTAGCTATAATGCGCACTGACCACCAGTGGGCAGACACTCAATGTAGGAGCGGAAACCATAGGCTTGGAAACATGGAACAGACTGATGAATCTCAGAGAAAAGGGGGGAGGGGAAAGGGCGGGAAGAGATCAACCAAAGATCTTATATGCATACTAGAGGCCTGGTGCACAGATTCATGACTGGTGGGGTCCCTTGTCCTGGCCTGCGGGGATTGGGCTGAAACTGGCTCTCCAACATCCCCCAAAGGGTCCCAGATTGCGAGAGGGTGCAGGCCAAGCCACGGGACCCCACCGGTGCACGAATGCATGCACCAGGCCTCTAGTAATATTATAATACAATAATATTTTCAAAATCTGTATTTTCCTGATCTTATTTTCAATTGAGAGAATAGCCATGTTTGATAATTTCACCATGACCAGTGATGATGTCACATATTTTTAAACTAATTTAAAATGAAGTAAAATGATAATAAATTCGATTTTGGTATAAATAAAATGTTTAAACTTAAAATAATGTTCAGTTTTAATGCACTTACTTTTCTACTTTTCAATATTTTTTAAACTATTGAAATGTTCTAGAAAAAATTAATAATACCTAAAAAAATAATTATGGGGACATGTTTTTCTTTCTGTCTCTGGTTCCAATTGGCTTAACATGGCACTGTGCTCTGTAGTCTTAACACCCCTCTTCTAAGCTCTGTAATGGCTTAGCTTGTAGGCCTCACTTCTCAAGGAACATACAGAATATGTTAAATACCCAGCAAAGGGAATTGATGGGTTTTGTTCTCCTTTTCAATACAGTTGACAGTAATATACTTAAGAAAATACCTACCCCAGCCGTGGTGGCTCAGTGGTTAAGTGTCAACCAATGAACCAGGAGGTCATGGTTCGATTCCCAGTCAGGACAAATGCCCAGGTTTTAGGCTTGATCCCTAGTGTGGGGTGTGCAGGTGGAAGGCGATCAATGCTTCTCTCTCATAAGATGTTTCTAACTCTCCCTCTCTTTCTCTTTGAAATCAATACAAATAAATTTTAAAAAAGAAAATACCTAGGGAGGAGTGATATAAAAATTGATCTTTATACTAAGAAATTATTTGTATTGTATTAGGTGTCATAATGGTATTTGCCTCATTTTTCTCTTCACCTGTTAGATATAGGTACTAACATTTTTACAAACTTAAGGATCTTACACTGACTTTACTACCAGGATAACTGGAGTTGACAGTTGGAAACAAGTGAAATAATAAAAATTGCTGGCGCTTTGCGATGGGTACTTATAATGATAGAATTACCTATATCATTATTAAGACTTAAAGTTTCCATGATAATTTAAAAATAAATGATTTAAGCATTTTTGTGAAAGAAAATCTTTCCCTCCTACCCCATCTCCTTCTGTGATAATGGACGTCCTCTCTGACAGCCCTTCTCTGGGGACAAGGAGGAGACGTCCAGCAGCCACTTGTATCCTTAGGCGGCTCCATTTCACCGGCCACAGCTATTGGTCGGGAGGGGGAATGACGGAACTAACCCGGGCCCGGGAGCCACTGCCTCTCCTTGGGGATTTGAATTATATGTACCGAATGCCCCAGTCGGGGAGTTTTGTGCCGCAGAACCGCAGATGCAAGTTGACACAGAGAATGTCACGGACTTTCACAGGCAACTTGAAGTAATGAGAGAGCAGAGGCTGAGAGATGAGAATGAGGTCAACTCAGAAACAGGAGAGACAACGGGAACTATGTGGCAGGTCAGGTGGAGAGAGAGCAGCTAATGTTCTCCAGTTCCCCTAAGGCCTGGCTGTACCACCTCCTTTCATGATTCAATTATTTTTACGTAAGTCTTAATAGCCTTAGAGTTTCTACCCAAGACCTGGGTGACAAGTGACCTAACATGGTCACACAGATTTGGGCACACTGAGGGAGTGTGGCATCTGAATCAGGGGAGTAAATAGTTAAGAGATTTTGCGCATGTGAATCAAGACAATTTTGGTGCTGAAAGATCTGGCACGAAACACATTTCTTTAACACTTAAAAGTACTTGGAGTGCCCTAGCCAGTTTGGCTCAGTGGATAGAGCGTTGGCCTGTGGACTGAAGGGTCCCAGGTTCGATTCCAGCCAAAAGCACATGCCTGGGTTGCGGGCTCGATCCCCAGTGGGGGGCGTGCAGGAAGCACCCAATCAATGATTCTCTCTCATCATTGATGTTTCTACCTTTCTCTCTTTCTACCTTCCTCTCTGAAATCAATAAAAAAAAATATATATATAAAGTACTTGGAGCACCGAAGTGGTTTGCAGAGTCTTAAATGATAAATGACCATAGATGATTTCTAATAAATCAGTAGGAAGAAACTTTTAGAACATGATTTCTGGATAAAATATCTGAATAATTACATATTTTTCAAATTAAAACAAATCACCCTAGCTGGTTTGGCTCAGGGGCTACAGTGTCGGCCTGTGGACTGAAGGGTCCTGGGTTCAATTCCTGGTCAAGGACATATGCCTGGGTTGTGGGCTCGATCCTCAGTGTGGGGTGTGCAGAAGGCAGCTGATCAACGATTCTCTCTCATCATTGATGTTTCTTCCTCTCTTTCCCTCTCCCTTCCTCTCTAAAATCAATAAAAATATTTAAAAAAAGAAACCTAGAAATGTGTTGATGGGTTTCGTAGGGTTATACATGGGAGGATGGTTTCTTTCTCCTTTCCCTTCCTGATTGGACACTACCAAAGCAGTAGGTTAGGCAAGAAGCCCAGCGCGAAGGGGTTAGGGTCTCTGCAGGACACCGTCAGAAGAGATTGGAAAGTGTAATGGATCACCCGGCAGTCTGAGGACTGAGCGGTCGCAGCCACTGCAGGTTTTTGTCTCTCTTGCTGAAGAGGTATCTTTGTAGTCTCTGGAGAAAGCTCAGGTAGCTGTTTGTGGCTTTCGGGATCCTGTCCTGACAGGGGAGCTATCTGAATGGAGAGAGATGCTGTGTGTTTCTCAGGCACTGGGTTAGGGGGCGGTGAGCAGGGCCTTTTGAGGAATGATGGTAGGTCGACAGATTTGGAAAACGGTGGGGTATTAAAGGGGATGCTACTTCCTAGATCTTGGTTATGGATTAGTTTCCGTGTAGAGATTTTCCGTGTTTGAGAATCTTGCATGTAGTCCTCTTGTAGAAATGGGGTGCTACTCGTGTCAGCACTGGGTGGGGAACCTGTGCTAGAAGCTGCTGGTAGCAGGTTAGTGATTTTCTGTGTGTACGACACAGTGGTGTTAGATTCTTCGGAATATACAATGGTCTGGCTGGGGTCGCCTTCATCAGAATGCATAGCTCCCTGAAGAAATTTTTTATTAGTCAAGTACTCTGGACTGGAAGGAACGTGTGTGTTAGTTACTAGTTGGTCTAAAATGTCACCCTTTGTGTGACTGGTTGTCAAGGGGCTACAAAAGCTTTCTGTTCTGAGTGGTGGAAGGGGTGCCTGGATTGCCAAAAGCATCCGGAGGAAGAAATAATGTTGAAAGAAAAACAGAGAGAAAGTCAAAGTTAGTCATTAAAGAAACCAGTGTTAACTCCATCCTTAAAGAGGCTACAGCAATGTCATACCTTCTTACTATGGCATACATTTTGTTGGCTAGATTGATCAATTTTATTCCATTAGGAATGTGTTTTATTTTATTATCAAAAGCTGCCTTCGAGGGGAAAATAGTCTTTATACAGAATACATTATAAAGTTTGTCTCTACTGACATCCTGGGAAATTACCTTAAAAGTGAACATATGTTCTCTTGCATACGTTTAGGCTTTGAAGTGCGCGTGCGCGCACCCCCCCCCCCCCCAATTTAGTTCCATTGTTTTGATAACTCTTTTTATGCTGCAGCACAATTTTGCTTCTATCTCCAACACAGAATTCTTTTATATAATTAACAGTTGCATAACTCACATTTATAAGTGTATAATGATTGCTGAACTCATCACTTTGAAGTCTAAATCATCAGCTGATAACGTTTTATAATTCAGAAAATAACCTAAACATTAGGTTAGAAACTGATCTGCTTTTATCAGCTGAATGAAAAAAAGAACCTGTTTTGAACTTAAGACTTGTTTTCCATATTGTCTATACAAGTCTGACCAGTAGTACAAATACGAAAGCAAAAACATATTAAAAATAAAACATGTATCAAAATATGCACCTACTACTAGAAAAGTGATGCCAAAGCAGAGGGCCAACAGCCTTGCTTTAAAATAACACAACAGACAAGCGTGTGCACGAGTACCTGAGTGGGCGACCTTTTTTCTTGCAGGTTTGGTCGAACGCTTCTAAAGCCTTTTGCTGCAAGAGAGGAATATGTAGCATCTCCGTTCAGTGTGTCTTGACTTTGGTCATTGTAAGATCTCCAAGCTTTTATTAAGGGAACACAAATTGGATACAAACATATCTACATTCACTTTTAACATTTTTTGAAATAAAAATAAATGTGAAATTTTCTTCAGAAATTTAATTTAATTCAATATGCATAACTGTACATGCAAGTTAACTTTACTGTGAGGTTCACAATGTGGTTATGAATATGTTAAAAATACACACAACTCATAATGCCCTAGCTGGTGTGGCTTAGTTGATTGAGTGTCCTCCAGTGCACCAAGAGGCACGGGTTCAAATTCCAGGTCAAGGCACATGCCTGGGTTGTGGGCTCAATCCCCAGGAGGGGGTGTGCAGGCGGCAGCCAATCAATGATATTTCTCTCTCTCTCTCTCTCTCTCTCTCTCTCTCTCTCTCTCTCTCTCTCCCTCTCCTCCTCTCCCTCTCCCTCTCCCTCTCCCCCCTCTAAAATAATTAAAAACCCCACATTTAAATAGCAAAAAAAAAAAAAAGCAAATGGAATGCTTATTCAGAAGAGCTTTTTTGTACCTGAGTCTGGTGACTGAGAATCACGCCCTAAAAGAAAAAGAAATGTTCAAATTACTATGAGGGTAAAGGAAAGGAACAATTCAGTAAGATCATTTGTCAAAGAACTACATGCATTTGGGGGGGAACAATATCTCAGTTATAAAATTCTGGGTACATAAAATATACCAATGAGAAGTTTGTACATTAATTTTTTACTTCAATTAGAATATTATTCATTATATAACCATAATTTATAATTAACACACATATAAAGCATTGATTCCCCCCTCCCCTGTGTTATGGCAACCAGTAATTTTATCTTATTATTGCCCATGCAGAATGTATGAATTTCTAAATACCAAATTAAAGCATCAAAGGGTATCTGGCTTGTACACAATAAGTGTTTCTCCAGCATTAAATCAAACCTCCGGATCCTTAGCTTCTGGTGCCCTGATATTTCCATATTCAACTCCTGTATGAGACAGCAATAAATTTTTTTGTGATTTGCTTTTTTTTTATAATTTGGAGAAAGTGTAAATGTGTCTACCATATTATGTGATACTTTGAATCATTCTCTAGACTTTGAATTTTCTTCTTATTGCCACTTAAAGTCACATTCTATTCAAATATAAAAGAGCTGTTACAGTATAGTTCATTGTGTTGCAGTAAGCTGTGGAAAACAAATTTCAGTACCAAGGAATTGCTTTGATAATGCAGGAGGGAAGTGGCTCAATGACATGTACTATTAGTTCCTGGATCCCTTCTATATGTCCCCTGAGACCGTTATTAAATTGCTGTTATTTCAATGCCTAGTAGAACATGAATGTTACGTGTAAAAAGGACTCTTTGTTTTCTTTTTAATGCTTAGGAAATGGCTATTTTGAAATCTAAACACATGAATTAGGAATGATAAAAATTAGTTGAGAAATGCGAGAGTTTGAATTGAGATAAAATATGTGATGTAGATTCTTTCCAAATCAAAGGAAGAGAAATAAATGAGCCAGCACAGAGTATGTTAGAATGACTCCAGCTCAAATGCGGAAGAGAAGACTAACAAATCCGCAATTTTTAAAAAGGATATTTGCTAATTCAGTATGGATCGTAACTCCAGTAAATTCCAAATCAGGGTGGTAAGTGGGGACCATACAGTGAAAATAACTTCGAGGAGTTACATATGAAATGCTTACTAGACTATCTCTAGGATTTGATGGGAGCAGAAATGACTGAACTTCTTAATCACTTAAATGATAATGATGTCTCTATAAAGAAAACGGTGTAACACACAGAGCAGCAATTAGAATTCTGCTGTGGGCAGTCAGGGAGGGAGATTTAATAACCACCTGGTTACCACACACTGTAGATATGGAACAAGTTTTCGGACTTGAAGAAATGGCAATGGAAAGATGAGCAGTATGGATAATAGTAATAATTATCTGTATTATAATTATATGCTTGAGAATAGGGATTTCACTTTCCTCTGGTTTGATAGAACTGGGCTTTTATAAAGAAGGGTGTGTGGGTATGTATTGGGGATGGAGGTTATAGGAGACCGCTGCTTGGAGGTGCAAGAGGTATAGGCCTGGTGAGGAAGAGGAGGGCATATTGAGAAGATTTGAAGGACACTTTGAAATAAACTTCCTCTAACTGATAGTTTGTAGAGGGCCAGTTCTTTTTCTTACTGGTGACCACATTAGAGATTATGGAATGGTGAGTGGGATAGACAGTAAGTGTGAGAATCAGAGAAGAGTCATTCTAAGCTGAATCCAGGGGCTCTCTTCCCGCCACCCCCGCCCCTGCCAATACTGCCCAGGGATTTCCAAATGAAATTGTACCTGTGCTACCGGAAATAGGAGCTAGTGATCAGGGCAAACTCTGCTGAAAAAATCCTGCTCAACATAGGAGACTTGAATGTGTAGAAGCACGAGAAAGGACAAAGAATAAAAATGGCCAAGGATTAAAACTTTAGGATGAATCTGTATTTTAATGAAGTTTATGTTAATGACTAAAGTCCACACCTAAGAGGGTGGTCTCTTAAGGACACTCAAGTGTACAGCATTGCAGTTTATTTAAAATAAATCCAATTATAATATTTAAAGCACCCAGTCCTGATTTTCTATTTTATTATAGTTCTTCAGAGGCACTGAAAGATAAATAGCTCCCACATGGATACTGTTGACCTCAGCCCTGCTTTTATTTCATTCCTGCCAGGAAAGGGTAGGAAAGGGAGGATGAGTGTGGTTGGAAGCAGGTGACAGAAAGCTTGAAAACATCCTGGATCCATGTCAAGTAAAGAGAATATATGTTAAAAAAAAACTATTGAGGGTATTATGTTAAGCAAAATAAGCCATTCAGAGAAAGACAAGTATCACATAATGCCACTCATATGTGGAATCTAACGAACAAAATAAATTGATGAACAAAAGAGATCCAGAGATATGGAAGCATGTAACAGACTGATGGATCTTAGAGGGAAGGGAAGGGGGCAGGAAGAGAATAACCAAAGAACTTATATGCATATATGCATAACCCATGGAAACGGACAATAGTGAGGTGAAGGCCTGGGGAGGAGTTGGGAGCGGGGTCAATGGGAGAAAACCGGGACATCTGTAATACTTTCAACAATAAAGATAAATTTTAAAAAACGATTGAGCTGGTAAACGACTTGGCAGATGCATGGGGAAGATGGTTTTGTCCAATATCTTCAATATTATTTATGATCATTCATTGCGAAAAAACAGAGCCAGAATTCTAGGGATCAGAGCTCTAAATTTCTAGTGTTCTTTAGTAAATGGTCATTGCATCTCTGAAAATTTAAGAATGAGTAACTGGGACAGATGTGAATAGGGTCTTGGAGAATGAAGAGCCATGACCTCTCTTCACTGGTACCATGAGCACTCGCTGTGCCCAGCGGAAGGGGGGTGAGGACACTGTCAGAGAGGTTGTCCAGGCTCATTGCAGGGTTGGTGTCAGGGGCTGGACTGCATGCCCTCAGAGGTCCTTTCCAACTTTATGATTCCAACGTTTAAAGTCCTTTTAACTGATGTGGTATATTAGACATAATAAACTATATTTTTCTTGAAAATTATGATGATTTTAAATCTTATAGCTCCTTCCGTTAGATGGCTCAATTACTTTGCAAGAATTAATTTAAACCCATTAGTTAAATTCAAGTCAACTAATTGAATGCCTACAGTGCTTCTAAGTACTGGGATAAGACTTTTTATTTATTTTCTTTTTAAAAAATATATTTTATTGATTTTTTTACAGAGAGGAAGGGAGAGGGATAGAGAGTTAGAAACACCAATGAGAGAGAAACATCGATCAGCTGCCTCCTGCACACTCCCCACTGGGTATGTGCCCGCAACCAAGGTACATGCCCTGGACCAGAATCGAACCTGGGACCCTTGAGTCCACAGGCTGACGCTCTACTCACTGAGCAAAACTGGTCAGGGCTATTTTCTTCATTACCCTCATTTAATTTTGACAAATCTTTGGGAGTCTAGGAAATGATTTTCTCTTAGAAGTAGGGAGACAATAAATTCTTCTTCTTCTCCTCCCTTCCTCCCTTCCTCCCTTCCTTCCTCCTCCTCCTCCTCCTCCTCCTCCTCCTCCCCCTCCTCCTCCTCCTCCTCCTCCTCCTCCTTCTTGTTCTTCTAAAGGAGAGTTGAGTTACAGACACAAATTTTCCCAAGGGTGTAAAACGTGCAGGCGCTGTTTCCTGGGGCAGTGGTCACCACTGCATTTCATCCTTAGCAGTGTTACCTGAGACTGCCAGGTGGTTTTGGTAAAATAAAATTAATTTCGAAAGGCTTATCATCTCTCTATACTTGTCATTTTGGTTCTAGCTTAGATTTTTAAAACATCTATGTGCCTATGAATTATCTGATGGGATTCTACTTCTTGTAAAAGGGAAAGAGAAAGACTGACTTAGACAACTAATAGTTGATGACCAGCAGCTTATCAATATAAGCAGCTTTTCATCTGAGAGAGGGAACCTTTTGTGGAGGTAGTTAGTCTTTTACTTAAAGGCTCTGTGGTTTTTAACAATACCTAATGCAATAAATACTTGATAATCCCCTTTTAATTCACGAAAAGATACTGTGCCAAATAAGTTCTTCTGAAGGCTACCATAAAGTGAAGGGCCTACAAAGAGGATGTTTTCTTTCTTCAAAATGGAATTAAAACTAATTTTAGGAAGGGATCGTACCTATGTGTCTTAATACAAAAGAGGCCTATTTTTAATGTAACAATGAAGTCCAAAATCCAGGGGGCTTCATTCTCTAGAAATCTTATTCCCTTATGGTATAAAATTTAAAACGGCCCATAGCCACTACATACTTATTGCTGAATATTATTTCATATTCCTAAAATATTTAAATGTTTGCTATTATTTTGATTCTGAAGCATTAAATATTTTCTTGTAAGTTTTGTGATATGAAGTTGCTGATATTCTAGTGTAGACTCTCCAAAGTGGCAATCTCTAACCCGGTCACTTATTCCTTCAGTGGTTACCTTTGTAGATAATGATGACTCGGCATTGTTGAACCGATGCCACACGTCCTAGAAGGTGCTGCAGGCCGCGGGCCACCTCTGTGTAGCATGGGCTAGAATTTACTTGGCTGAAATGTCAGCGGTATTCATGGTATAGGCATTCCCCTTTCCTGATGGCTCTGGACTTCATTTTATTTATTTTCTTATTTCCCTTTATTCCCATTTCCCTCAGGTATCGCATGTAAACACATTTGTAGCTTTTGTAACATCTTTTCATGCTCATATACACATGAGCAAACATGTACAAATACATACTAGCATATATATGTATAGAAATATTTTTTAACTAAACTGAAATGGTACTACATACATTGCAATGAAACTTGCATTTTAAAAAAATGTAATATATTCTGGAACCACCTGGCCTGCTATTTAAACTTGGACATTGAGATCCGTTTGTGGATTGGAGGTGGCGGGCAGGAGTGGGTTTCTCCAGATGGAAGCTTGCTCTTCCTCAACAGCGTGGGATAGTTTCGGACCAAGGACATTTTGAGCATTTAATCAACGACCACATGTATGTGTGTACAAGATACTGACGTGCAGAGTGAGAATTAAAATTATTCAAACACTCTCCATCCCTTTTCCACTTCTGCTCCAAAACCCCACAAATAGAAATAAAAAACAAAGAACCGCCCCCTCCCCCCCCCCGCCCCCACCCCCAAGTAACCAACCAAGAACCAAACCTATCAGTCAGAAAGAGGTGCAGGCCTGTTTCTGGGTCTGGAGTCCCTGAGGTTCTCAGGCTCACGTGGAGCTGCCAGAGCCATGCCCCCTCTCAGAGCAGACTGTGCCCACCAGTTTAGGTAAGTCCCCACAGACATTTATTAGAGATACCCACCTCGGTATTTGCTGAAATATCACGCTCCCAATTACCTTCTAGAGTACATGTATATCTGTGGTTGCACCCAGGTATACATATGGTGCTAATCTTAATTGCACCAAGGTGTTTAAAAATACGTATGAGAAGGGTCTTTGCTGACTGGGTTAAAGGAAGGTTTAAGATCTCTTTCAAAACAAATTATCATCCTGTTTGCAACCTTTGGTGAAAAAGTGAATTAATAAATATTCAGTTTCCTACAAATCCCTCTCTCTGACCCCTGTGTCCCCATCCCTCAATAGTTTTTAGCTTAAAACAACAATAGCAAAAGCAACTATGAGTTATCTTGATTAAATATTGTTACTTTAGTTCATAAGAGACAAAAGCTTAAATAGTTATTAACACTTGCAGTTACCCAACACATTTTGGCAAGTCACTGTTGTTTTTAATTAGATTTTTAAAATGTTTTCTACAAGATATCGGTTTCCTTTGGCTTTTTTATTTTTAGAACAAAAACAGTCAGGAGGGATAGGAGCTATTCTTGAGACAAGAAATGTAAGAACTTGTGGGCCATTCACAAGGTATTTACAGTCACTTTCTTCATCCAAACAAGATAATTCTGGAAAGAGAGAAAGGTCAGACAAAGCCATTCAAGTGTGACATTCTGGAGTTAGTGATATTATACCTGCAGCCAATAGGTTTGGAGAACTTTGAACTCTCTTCACAGATGTTAATGTAACAGACATGGCGGCACGTTTGCGAGCACACCCACCGCTATCTGGAAGCAAAAAAATGATATAGCAGAAGCCACAGCAAAGGAAAAGCACATGCAATCTCATGCATTTTAAGTGGAATATGCCAGACATCCATGGGAAAGATGAACAGCCAGAATTAGTAACCAGGAGAATCCATACGCAAATTTTACAACCACCCCAAACTCAAAACAAAACAAAACAAAACAAAACAAAACAAAACAAAATAAAACAAAACAGCAGGGGTTTGTTTTAGAAATAGATGCCAATCCTTTAATAAAAATTTTTTAAAAAAATGATTTACTTAACATTTTATGGTTTTTCTTTAATGAAAACATAAAAGTATAAAACTCAACTTTGTTTATACCTTTTTCATCCAACTGTTAAATTTTTATGCAGAGTAACTAGCTTTTAGAGTTATGAATAAGCGCTCGTTCAGGATTAAGAGCCATAATATAATATACTTTTGTAGCCATCATTTAGGCTTACTGTGTTTTAGCTATTATGAATCCTGAAGATGGTTTTAAGCACCTCTTGAAGTAAATGCTGTTAACAGATATAGCCATGATATGTTTGATATATGGGATTCTTAAAGAGAAATATAGCATTATGGAAATTCGATGTCTTCCCATAGTTACTATAAGTTATGGAAATAATTAGCCTAGTTGAAATCAAGACAATATTGACACATAGAGTATTGAAATGACCATGCTAAAAATTAATTTGGCTTTATAGTTTTGAACATGTACATGATGATCTACCTATTTACACTTACACAAATATCAACTTGAAGTAAAGTAAGTGAAAAGGTACCAGCTATTATAATGTGATATAAGTTTTGAGTTACAAGACTTCTAAAATTGAAAGGTTAATGTTCTATTTATGAACAGATTCCAATTCCATTCCCACATTCCTTTGTATATGGAATGTGCAATAAATAGTTTTTCTCATTCCCCTGAAACCAAAATAACCGAAGTTTAAATCTTTTTTAAAGTTATAACAAAAGAGACAAATAATGTAACCAGCAATATAACATAAATCATTATATATTGCCACATGCTATTCTCATTCTTTTTTTCTTTTTTTAATATATTTTTTTATTTTTCAGTTACAGTTAACATACAATATTATATTAGTTTCAGGTGTACAATGTAGTGATTAGACAGTTATACTTCTTGTTTATTTCTTTAAAAAAAGTATCCACTTTGTTTACTGAACATGAAGGAACTTAATGCTTGGAAGTATGATCTGAACTAATTACTGGTAAAATCACAAGTAGTAAGGTCAGTAGACCTTAAAATTGGTGGAATTGTCTTCATATCAAAATACAATTTCTTAAATATGTTTAAAATAACAGTTTTCTAATGCAGATAATAATTAGAATAGAAAAATGAAACAACATAAGAAAGTCAAATAAATCAAAGACTATAATTCAAAGACCCAACATAAAAAGACATAAACGGTGGAAGCATCAACTAAAGATGTCTTCAAGGGAGGCAACAATGGGACACAGCAAACTCTGCAAACTGAAAATAGCTATGAGGGATGAGAGTTTCTGATAAATGGAGGTAATGTTCTTGAATATACGGTTGTAGCAGCTTCGATGGTCTAACAGGGTTGTGTAGTCAAGGGGCTACACATACAAGTGAACTGATGGCTCTTGGAGAGACTTTATTTTCTAGTTCTATTAATTCTGAACATCTGAAGACAAGCAGTGAGAAAGATAAAAAGGGGGGATTTCAGAATGAGAAGATTCAAGGTCATTGGTAAAACCTATGGTTCCCAAACTGTGCTGAGGTGCCCTGGCTACTTCAGTTGGTTCATGAGGGTTTTGAGGGATATTTTACATTTTTTAGGAAAACTCAGTGGTATCTATTAGATACTACATCAACTACTAGCCTGAGTTAGTTTCCAGTTTCACCATAATAAAGCTTGTGTTGTCTTCCTTTAGATGATATTATATCTTTGAAAAGTTGGGTTTTTGGTGATGGCTGTGACAAAGTACCCCATGAAAGTAATTTTGGGCAGTAAATGAGACTGGTGATGTACAATCTGAGTTCAAGGTCTGCGGGGTTTTGCAGTGCCCAATAAACACACACGTTCCCTTAGTTATTAACTGCAGTCATAAAAAACAAAATAAAATGATTATTTTTTTTCAATTTAAGTGTATTATTTTTTCAAATTGCTTCTGAGTTGACAGAATATAAGTATTTATTAAGTTGTTTGCCCCTAGATAATTCATAAATGGAACTGTTGGGTATTTCTTTTGGCCTGAGAGTGTAGGAACCTCTGGGTTAAATAGTATCTATATTCTAAGGAACTCTAAGACCTAGATGAAATAAATGGAGAATCTGTCTTTATTAACAGCTTAATAAGGAGCTTAATTAGAAAAGTTGAGGCATTTGTGAAATTGCTGGAACAGAGAAATCTTTTCTATCCCATTCCTACTTACTCGTGTGTTGATACTTTCTGTGCTTTCTTAAGGGTGTTTTTAAGATCTCAAAATGAGGATCTGTCTTGCATGCCTTAGGTCATTCTGAAGAACCCTAGTGCCACTCTCACCTTCACCTAGTCATGAATGACTTGCACCTCTTCCTCCCAGATGCATGATTCTTGAGAGCTGTTTCCACTGCTGAAAACACTCATGGGTAAAGCACATACAATGGATTACTTCATGTCTTTCTCTCTTTCCTTTCTTCCAGAGCTAAGATTTGCCTTAGAAAATAATGGGTCACAGATTCTTAGAGTGGAAATATAGCATGTTTTGCACATATTTTATACATTGTTCAGAGACTTTAGTGTAAAAAATGAACACATTTCCTCTGGCTCATTTAGTATTTGACTAAAACAAAGAGCTGCTTTGCTTGAAAATAATCTTTTTTTTTAACTTCAGTGACTGACACATAGGTATTTAAATAGTAATATATGTCTTTAGTGATTAGTAGGTAGATAACGAAGACTAATTTGATGTGTTAGATATTTCAGTACTAACGTTTCATTTTGTAGATATAGCAACAATGCTTTCTTCACCTTCCTACAGCAATATTTACACATATATTAAAAAGTGGCATGTTTTTATAATAGCACTATAGTTTTAGTTTGGAATTTTAAATAAAGGGTTTGTCACTTCTTACCAATTTTGTGTGCATAAGTTTGAATATCATATTTCACATGCATATGTACATATAGGTTCGCCCATATAAATAAAATAGCTGTGCAAATTGGCATTCTACATGGAGCCAAGCTCCTTTTACATGAGAGGATGCTTTAGAGCAGCGGTTCTCAACCTGTGGGTCGCGACCCCTTTGGGGGTTGAATGACCCTTTCATAGGGGTCGCCTAAGGCCATCAGAAAACACATATATAATTACATATTGTTTTGTGATTAATCACTATGTTTTAATTATGTTCAATTTGTAACAGTGAAATTGGGGGTCACCACAACACGAGGAACTGTATATTAAAGGGTCGTGGCATTAGGAAGGTTGAGAACCACTGCTTTAGAGGGTTATATTCATGCTACTATAGCAGACACCTGGCTCAAGTACCCTAAACAAATATACAAATGTCTATTTGCCTACTTTGCCATTAGAGTTGAAGTCTATGCACAGGAGGATTAATTATTTAATCACATATTATACATCTGTCATGATAGGGTTATAATAAATAGAAGTCAGCACTCCACAAGGTGAAGGATATTGGGAAGTTATGTCTTAAGTCAACTTAAGTCTGTGAGAAGATGTCTCAGAACGATTATGGAAATCAATGCCTTTCTGTTATTATTAGTTGTGGAAATATAACCTCCTCCTGCGGACCTTCTGCTGCATTGACTGCAGTTTCACAACATGACTTATCCTAGTTCAGCTACGAGCTGTCTATTCTATTTGCTTTCTTTAATCTCCTTTACCTAATACTATTCCTTCTTCTATTTCCCATGTCCAATTCCCACACTTCCCATTGTCCAAATGCCTTTACTTGGTTCATCTCCAGGGTTATAATTTCTCTGGGTTTCTAAGTCTTCCTTGTATATTTTGACTGTCTCCAGTATCCTTGTCTTGCCTGTTGCTCTACATATCTATGAGTTGTCGACATTCACAGGGGCCAGCTGACCTAGAGTTTAGAGGTCAGTTAGGGCAGGTTTCTGCTAAGGGGCAGTCACAGCATCACGGGGAATGGGGCATGTTGTCTACACTTGATCTAGGGATTAGAGACTGGTTCTCACCAGTGGTTGCTAATCCTCCCCTGATAACAAGAGACAGCAAACTTTCCAGTGATTGCTTGCAGATAGGAAACAGTATTTTTTAAACACAAGTTACAAAATTTCAGTGAGAAAGTTGTTTTCCAGAATTACTTACGATCGAATATAAAGATTTCAGGGGAGAAAAGGTGAAAATGTATGCGAAAACATTTCTACTATGGAAAAAAATTCATGTACATAGCATGTATCACAAAGACTGTACAATTAATCTGTATACAATACAGAGTTCAGAGGCACCCATGTTGTTAAGCTAATTGGAAATACTGTTCTCACATCTAAAAATCTAATGCTTATGTCAGTGGTTCTCAACCTTCTGGCCTTTTAAATACAGTTCCTCATGTTGTGACCCAACCATATAATTATTTTTGTTGCTACTTCATAACTGTAATGTTGCTACTGTTATGAATCATAATGTAAATATCTGATATATAGGATGGTCTTAGGCGACCCCTGTGAAAGGGTCGTTTGGCCGCCAAAGGGGTCGCGACCCACAGGTTGAGAACCGCTGCTTTGGTGTATTGTGTGTATGGATTAATTAAGCTGATTTCATAAGAAGCTTTGGCACTGTCTGCTGGCTGTCAACATAAAGGGTTTATAATGGGAAACTTTAAATGTTTTCCACTCAGCAACCTGCCTATGAATTTAGCCTATTCTAAGAAGGATTTCAAATGTATACATGCAAATGACATTCCACCTCTTCCTAGGGTACATAGGAGTTAATTTCAAGACATGATTAACAGAAAAAAATTGAGTAAGAGTAGATAAAACCCAAAATTCTACTTTTAATTGCTATAAGACTAGAACATAAAGACAAAGACATTGAGTAATGAGTGTACACTATCCATCTAATCAGAAACTCAGGATCACATTTGAGTCAGCAGAGTGCTAACCTAATGATTTAGGGCCAAGATGGTGTGTAGAGAGCAGTGCTGAAAAGGTTAAAACTAAGAGAGACGGCATACCTGTATTCATTGTGACCTTGGAGGGTTTGTTATTAAAGTCTTCAGTTTTCCTGTAGAAAAAAAATGATGTTTTAATTTGTTCATTAGCGCGCAGAACAAAATATCATAACGTGCAACTGGTTTTTGGTGTACCTGTGAGTTAATATCTCATTATCATTAGTCTTATTTAAATCAAGATGTAATAAGGTGGGCAGAATCTATAATTCTATTAAAGTTAAATTTCAGTTATTATTAGTTCTATGCTCATAACCATAAACTTAAGTTTTTATTTTACGGTGACCATTAGTGGGTGAAAATGAAGAAAAGCTCTCATTTTAAAAAATTCAATTTCTCTCATACGCATTTATAACTAAAAGGTTTTGCTCTTTAAGCCTGAAGAGATCATTAGTTATAAAGTGTCACCTTTCAAAGTTTTAAAATATACCCAGGAACTTTGAAATCTAACATATTATTCAATTTATTATATTCAATTTATTACTGGAACAATTTATTACCAGGGAATATTTAATGTATTAAATTAAAAATAAACATTTTAATAAAATGTTTGCAGAACAATTATTGTGGAAAAACATTTTTTAATGTTGAATATTATTTTATGATGCATGAGATGACTTAGTTCTTTCCCTGTCATATCGTCTTAGCCCATTTTTAGAGTTTCTGATTTATCCATACCCGAAGACCAAAGATGAGGAACATGCTCTCATAGGAAGCAAACCTTACAAGAGCCAGAGCTCTCTGGAGATGTTTAATCCCAGCGACGCGGCCGTTGCTAATGGCTAGGGCCTACTGTTGGATGGACATGAACTTCCCCAACACCACTCACTGAGTGCCGGAGTCCCACCCCAGCAGGTCCAGGGGTTCCCAAAGGTGTGGATGGAGTCGGCGAAGAAGGAATGACACAGAGACAGTGTTCAGTTGATCAGCAGCCTAGCCAGGATCTCTAGCCAGGATCTCAGCCAGTTCTGGTCTGGATCTCCAGCGAAGTTCTGCTGTTTATTGTCTTGTTACATCCGTATTTATCCCAGTTGATTTTAATCCTGTCAATTTCTATTATAAAGGTTAGGGCGTTTCTTATCTCCATTCCAGGGAGTAAAGATTATGTAGCTTAAGCATGATTGTTTGTAGTGATTAACTGCCCGCCTGGCACTTAGTTAAGGAGTTTCATCCCCTCCCTGACTTCAGGGAAAAATTCCTACCTGGGGAAACAACCTTTCTAGGAGAGGCATCCCCTCCCTGACTTCAGGGAAAAATTCCTACCTGGGGAAACAACCTTTCTCGGAGAGGTGACCTTGGTTAAAACACACAGCGCTAAGGGGAGCAAACATATTAAGAACAGTATGCTATATACGCCAGGTCCCTTGAAACATATGCTGTGCAGATGTTTCTTTCCTGCAGCGACTGTGTCAAGCAGCAAGGATGGACCGGCTTCCGGCAACTGAGTTGCCATGCATATTAGCACTCTAACATCTGATAGTTTAATTTTTTTTTTATACTTTGTGGATGAGTGGGGATAATGTTGAAATGAAATAATCTGTCATGATTTGTCAAAAAAGACTGTCGATAAATATGTTTTTCTTCAATCCGTAAAGGGCACCAAATGAGCTTCTTTGGCTTTCTTGTCTGTCTGCCTGGTTCTCGCCCTCTCCACCTTTCAGAATGTTTCTCCTGTCCTCATGTGCTCTGCTCCGCTCACCATCTATCATTCTCTTCCAACATGGCCATTGCAGTTCACCTCTGTTAGAAAGCTGAGTTTTGTTCATTACTACTGTGAAATTCTAATAAAGCTAAAATGCAAACACCAGCTAACTATGATGATGATACCCATTTTCTCTCCCAGGGTGGGGAAAGAAATGGTGAAATAAAATAGCATGAAAGTAGTCATAATTAGGGAGCTATTTCTAGTCAGATTTCCAATGCTTTACTAGAGAATTACTTATTTCCAGGGACTTTAATTTTTTTTATAACATTAAGTCCCTAAATGTAACCAGTTTTCATCAGATGGTTTCATCTTCATTATTTATCTAGAGCAGTTTTACTTATATTTAGCAGCTATTGTTGGAGGGAGATTATAGCACTGTTGGAATTTCAGATTTTATTAATTTATACTTTACTATTTTGAAAATGTGTATTATTTCAAATGACTATTTAAATCTGTTTCTTTTTTTGTTTCTTATAAAAATCATACTTGGCTTATTCAGTCAATTGTTTTGGGCTATGAATTTTTGCAAATGTATTGGAAAATATATCTTGTGACAATTTTGAAACATGGACTATGCTATTGATTTTTTACAGAGCTTATACTGTGAAAGGAAGAGGCTGAATTTGCATATTGAAATAAATGGGAAAATTATACAAAGAAAAAGTAGCATAAAAATGCACCTAAAATATATGAGGTATAATTATGAACCAAGAGGAAAAGGATTTTACCTTTGATGACTAGATTGAATTAACTGATACCTTGGTACTCAATGAGGACAAGGGTAATGAACATAAAGAATGAATACAATCACAGTGCTGATATTCACCCCAATTTAATCTTAGAGTTATAAACGGAAAACAATTCAGATGCTATTCTTGTTTTGTAGTGCTTTCATATCACCCAATTGTTTTCACTGTTATACGGAACCGAACACCTAGTACCATGATTTTACAGTGGAGTTCACAATAAAATTTCATAGGCCAATTGATGTTAAAATGCGATAGGGAGAAACTTATCTCTTATATTTCAGTGCGTACAAATTAACAGCTCCTCTCCCCTCCTCCCCTCCCCCCAGCTTCCTCAGAATACACAGACAAATATGCCACATCACTAAGAAGCTCTGCTGGTAGCCTGCACACCACCTGTGTTGAAGAGACAGAGGCCAGTGAACCGGGAGGAGGCAGTGGTCAATGCAGGAGGCTTGAGAAAGCTCCGTCAAACTATTTATTTTACTCTCTCAGTAGCAAAACTCCTAATATGTTAACCTTAAATGGAGAAAATAAATGGAAAGGAAAACCCTCAGGGGATGTCTGTGACCAAGGCTAAAACAAGAAGGGATAAACATTCTCCAGAAATTGAGGACTGCAAGGACATTCCCCAAATTCTCTTTTCTCACTCCTTTCCAAGAACACTTTATGTTTAAAACTGTTTTAAGTTTTAAAACTGAATGACAAGAGAGCGCTTGGACTGGAACACTACTGATTGGTGAAATATTAAACCTGTCTCAAAGGTTGGGCTCTCAGAGTCCAACACCTACCAATAAGCCAGAATAGTGCTTTTGATAGTGAGTTAGAGAATGGATTGTCAAAATTTGTGGTTTGAATTCAACTGCATATATTTACAAAATATCTGACACTCCAAAAGTAAAATCGGATTATCGGGAACAAAGAGAGGCGCCACAAATCCTTGAGCGTTTCACCTTTAAAGTGATGTATCCTGTTACTTATAAATGAAATTTGTGAGGTTTTTCGACTTCACACTGTTGTACATGTCAACATGTGAAATGACTAACTTCCTAATCAGGCAAGATGTTTTCCAAGTTGTTAAGAGCCGAGTGATGGAGCCCCCGTCCCCCCCTCGTCCCCCCAGAACCTGAAACCCAAAAGCTTCTTGGGTGACTAATAAAAATGCATGATTCCATTTCCATTATTTGCACAAAAGCCATTAACAAATCCATGACTGAGAACTCTCTTTAGACAGTCTAAACTGAAGCGGATCTAATCCCTTTTGTTCTGTTCTGAAAGTGTGTCTTTGATTGGACTTACATAACAAGCATGGCTTATTCTGGAAAGCATCAAATTCCTGGAGTGTTTGCGTGCTACCAAAAGAGACAGTATTTCAAGTATTTCCTTAAATTGGAATTGAACCAGGGCCAAGGCAGTGAGAACTGACGGGAAAATGCAGATTGCCTTAAACCTCAGCAGATAATCCACAGAGCAAAGAACTCTGCGCATTAGTGAGTCAAAAGGGTGGTCAGTAGGGGGTGTGGAGTTGTATTTACTTAAATTCAGTTCTTGCCAAAGTTTCATATGAAAGGCAACTTCATAGGTATCTGAATTTATGTACAGCGATGGATTTGCTTTTTGTTTGGGTTAGAGCAGCTTCATCCCCAATAAGTATATGGCAATAGATTGTGTTGGTTGTTCATGCATGGCCACAACATCGGTCTGTGTGCATAGTCTTTTAATTCTGCTTGAATTTCTTTCAATTATCAGACATCCCATTGGATCTATGGATCAGAACAGCCTTTTATTCCCAACATGCACTGGGCAGTAGATGGGGTATTTTAACTTCTGAATGAGAGTCCTAGGAAGATGTTTGATTGTTCATACAGAGGCACCTACGTGACTGTGCCCAGGATCTTGTAATTTGGCTTGAGTTCTTTTATCAGGCATCTCATTCTGAAGGGGAGCAGAGGCAAATGCTGTCCTCAATTTTGTCTGAGAATTGTGTGTCACTTTGCTTTTGTAGACTTGAATTTAGACATCAAGGCCATCTAAACAACTACAGGACTCCGTTTTAGCTCGGTTAATGCTAGAAGTTGCCCAAAGATTGTTCATGGAATAATTGTAATCAAATAATTGCTAGGGTTAGTTTGGAATTAACCTCTTCACAATTCATATACAATATTATTCAGAATAAGGGGCAGAGTCTACATGGTAAGAAAACACTGAGGGATGTTTGATTTTTTAGAGATCTGTTTGAAACACAAGAAGGAAAAAATGATGCGTATTAAGGTTATGCACCAGATTTAACCTGAATTTACTTTGAAATGGGATCATGCGTACCACTTTTTCTGGATAAACTACCCTGAGTGGTCAATACATTCCGCTCTCTTTCTGACTGGGGTAGGGAAAGTGCCAAATGATTTCATTATTTAATTATAGTCAAATGACTTAACGTAGGTGGGTGACGTTTACTTTTACTTACCTCTTCTAATACTCTGTCAAACATGCTGCTTTGAAGTTTGCACAGGAAATACACCAAGTATTTTATTTTTCTCTTTAGAGTCCTTGAGATTAGAAACATAAGAATCCACCTCAACTACTCCTCTGAAAGGTTCCTCCTGAC